CCAGGGATAGCATGATGTTATTCACTGTCTAACAACTCCCAGCGTTGTTGTCACTCATGCTGTCAACCACTAGTTTGGCTGATCAAGACCTAGTTATTTTCATATGTTTGTGGAATATATTTATCTCTGGAATATTGCTGACAATGAAGTAAACCAATATTAACTCACTCACTGATTCGTAACTAATAAGCCGTTCAAGATAAATATGTGCCATCTCTCAGTGGCATCTCAGGACTCGGAAGATTATAACAAACCTGAATTAGCATGTTATTGACGTCAGTGTTTCCGTCTGTTACGACAATGTGAAGCGACAAGGAAATACCATGCTACACTTGAAAATTTAAAAAATGACAAACTCTTGAGGAGATAAAAATGGTATTTGGCTAAAAAGCCTGGATCTCCTTGATTGCTGTGTTGACTGCTGTTGTGTGAGAGGAAGAACAGGAAGTAGCAGGATCTTGTATCGGCACAGTGATAAGACCATGATGAATTAACTATTTGATTTTCATCCCTGCCTGAGGGGCGGTCGGGTAGCCTAGTGATTAAAGCGTTCGCTCGTCACTGCGAAGACCCAGGTTCGATTCCCCACATGGGTGAAGCCCATTTCTGGTGTCTCCCGCCGTGATATTGCTGAAATATTGCTAAAAGCGGCATAAAATCAAACTCAATCCCTCACTCATCCTTGCCTGCCTCATTACCAACACCCTCCCTCATCATGTTAATGTTAAAACTTTTCGTGATATCAATAAACACATCCACAGTCTAGAATCTAGTTAAGATACAAGAGACCACTTGTCCAAGATAAGCTGTGGACTGGTTGGATTTAACTTATGGTGAATACCCCTGCTTAATGATATACTACTACTCTTGAGGGATTAGAATTATGACAGCTAATCAGTGTCAGCAACTAACATTTTTAGTCCACTAGTCCTTATTATGATAACATATAGCAAAACCCTTTAAAAGGGCAAATTTCTACTAGTCCTTATACCTTAACTATTGGGCAGTTTGGCAAGGACTACAGACTAGTGCCAATTTCTAACGCTGCTAATATGTTGGTTTCGACAGAGGTAGAGTTGGGTTATCTGTAATATTCTTACATAGACATGATACAGAAGCTTGGAAGATGCTGCTTTGATATTGATCAGTGTGTAAATTAAGTCTGGTGGGTAATACATAGGAGCAGTGTTGTTCTCAGGTCTTTGAAAGGCATTTAGAAGTGATACACATAAGGAAGAGAATTAATATATCGATGTCAAGTTCTTTATTATGAGGAACACAACGTTTCGGAGTATATGCTTACTCCTTCATCAGGTGAATGAATGCCATAAGGCAGAGAGCATCTATATGTACCTGTAAGGACAACAAAATTAATAAGATAACAAAAGGTGGAAAATAACTAAGGGTAGAAACTAACAAGGGAAGCCAACAGATGATTGGCGCTGATACTAGTGATAGGTGATTAACAATAGACAATGGAAGCCAACACTTACTGTAATTAGCGCTGACAGTATGGAAGCCAGTACTAAGTATCATTGATATTATAGTGTAACCATGGTAACAAGTCCTCCTGTGTGGGAGGACAAGGAGATGGTGCAGGGCATGTACGGACTAACACTAAGTCCCAGAAAACATATATGTTGGATAGAAACAGGCACCCACATTTCCTGTATTCACCATAATATGCACCCCGGGCACTTAGAAAATTGAGGGGCACTTATTGAGACAATACGTTTTACTTGTTGTCAGAGATCGAGCAGTAGTGAAAAAATTAGTTATAGGTCAATTATATTCCCATTTTACACTGCTGTTTTCTGTAAATAATCTGCAATTTACACAAGAAAATTCAGACTGTCATGTACATTTCTGGTCTTAGTAGGGGGCGCTTAAATAGCCTAGCTCGGGGGTGGTCAGGGGGCGGTTATTGGCACATAGCGCTTAATACGGCTAATAAAGTAAATTGAAAAGGAGCCCCAGTGAGATGGGAGTTTCTGAACCCAAACCTGTGGAAAATCTTAACCTGCTTCATTTACAACTATAGACTTACAGTAAGGGCTAGGCAGAAGGGAAAGTAATATGTTTCAGGATCCTGTGGAAAATCTAGACTTGCTTCATTTAGGGCTATAGCATTACAGTAAGGGATTGGCTGAAGGAAATATAATATGGTTCATGGACTGTAAGACAGGCAAAGGGCAAGCAGTGCCCCATAGTTTATGATGACATATGTTATGTGTTCACTTTATTATCCCAGTTTGGTATGAGTATCAGTAGAGGTGACTCTTGAATAAAAGCACCTGTTACCCTAATACAGCCTTGTAGATGAGCCTATCATATGTACACCAATCTTGTGCAATATCTGTAACAGGACCGCTCCAACTTTGCCCCGAGGGAACAGTCATTTATTGAAGGGGAGTGCATCCATTTGAAAGCCTGCACTTTGTGTTAGTGGCTACAAATAAGGTTATACAGTACCTTGGAGTGTCTGCCTGTCGCACCTGACTGTGGTGATGGGTGCACTGGTAAACAGTGGAGTCCATGGTTTAATATTTCATTGTGTACCTTATTATCTCTGTTTGATGTGCACTGACATGTGGCAGAATGGTTCTCGTGCAGGGTATGAAATACTTGTTCAGCAGCACTTACATCTGGCCTATATAGATACCTATTTCTAGACAATATTAGATTTGAGTAGCCTGGTATGTTTGCACTGCTGAATATAAGAAGAAACTTGGTAGCAGAGAGAGATATTGAGAAAGTTATTCAAGTTTAAACAGGGTTAGAACTGCAATGTGTGTCAATAACTAATAGGTTTTTGTCACTTACAAAACTAGTGACAAGCACGACAAATGTTCCTCTACATCTTTCACATCAGAATCTTGCCATTTAAAATTTAACACTATCTCATGACACTGAAGGCACTGTATCTCATGACTGCAGACACTATCTCATGACACTGAGGCCGATGTATCTCATGAATGCAGACACTGTATCTCATGACACTGAAGACGCTGTATCTCATGACACTGAAGGCACTGTATCTCATGACTGCAGGCACTGTATCTCATGACACTGCAGACACTGTATCTCATGACACTGCAGGCACTGTATCTCATGACAACGTCAGAAATGTCCTTAATGGCGACAGCGATCCACATAACTATGGAGCCAATAGCTTACAATATATTTCTATCCGAGTCCATGCTGAAGAAGTATGAAACAACATACCTTTTCGATAATTTGGGAAGTATTAAAACGGAAGGTGTCGGCAGGCTATAGTAATGTCCATGGCCTTATTGATAACTCAGGGGCAGTTAATCTTGAGAGTAGTTTCCCTTCTTATTCGCCCAGCGAGACCTTGCTCAATGCTACAGTTATCATAAAGCGCAGAGTTCCGCTGTTATATTTTCTGGATTGCATGTCAATGCGTTTGTCTTTATTTTCGCATTTTGCAAAATTACATCAATCTACATATGTGATGAAGTGCAAAACCATAATCGTTTCTCATCAGTTTTTACATCTAAAATGGTGTTGGACCAAAATTGCAGAAAAAGTTAATTGAATGAAATGTACTGATCAATGTAAAGTAGACATTTTCATCACAATAATCTTTGAATTTTGTATTCAATGGACCGATTTTAACCAAATAAATGTTTTGTAAGTGTACATTTCCTGTTTTATGTTAAATAAAATATAGATACATGAGACCATTCAGACAATAAAATCATTGTTAAGGGTAAGGTCACGCCCAAATACTAGTAAATGACCCTAAGCAAAATGACCCTCAGACAAGCCAAACGTCATCGAACTTTGTTCAGAATAGATTTCACACATTAACAATGTAGTTATTTTGCTCCTCAGCTAGATTTAAAATAAATCAGACAAATCAGTTTCTTAGCTCTACTTAATTTAAAAGGATAGAAAAGGACAAGATTATATGTATTTTCAATTTGAGGCGTGTCCCTGAGACAATATAACTTGACAATGAATAAATTATCTCCCTTTGTGAACGAAAATTATTGTCACTTTCAAATTTGGAAAATAATTATTGATCTTGATAGATAAAAAGAAATGATTACATTATCATCTAAATACAAATAGCTTGATATTGTATTTGAGTCCTGTGTTTATTCGTGTGATATATTGGACATTGTCATTACAACTCGCACGTGGGTGCGCTGCTTCCTGAACACTTTTGTTTTGAGTGTTTCCAGGTATAATGTTGGTGTTTCCTCTATAAACTTGACTTGACATGAACACAAAAAGCAAGTGGTATTGTCAAACTGATCCCGTATGCATCACATAACATCAGACTTGAACACGCATCTTAAATGCCTGCTGTTCGATCAAAGGTCTCGTCATTGTCATTTGGAATAACGTCCCTTACTTGCGTCCTTGACTTTGTACAACATGTGTTGACATGAAGTTCCATGCCACAAGAGGACCATTTGAAGGGAAAATAGCGAAGTATTTCTTTGCACATTATTTCATTTCTAACAGCTATAGTGTGGTAACACTACACTTATTGATTAAAACATTTATTGGGTTTGAAAAATGCCTATGCATGGGACATTAATACTATTTGTGTTCGGGTAGCATCTTTTATCATAACAACAAAACGTCTACATGTAGGACATATGTAGGATTGTATGGAATGTCACTCAAATAATTGTGTGTCAAACAATGTGACCTGGCAATGTGATCATGAATTCCGTGTCACTTCTCCATGTTGTTATTGTCAGCTTCTGGGTAATCCCTGTGACGCCATGGGAAACACTCCGCTTTCTCAATCTCTAACACAAATGAGTTCTCTGTCAGAGTTACGAGAGGTATCGTAACTGTTAATGATCTGCGACATATTTAAGATAGTTTCGAAAATGTATCTTATCTTAAACGTAAGATATCTTATCTTTGAACAAAAGTTGTTAAGATTAATCGAAGCTAAGATCGTTTCAAAAATCTAGAGCCTGAGTATTATCTTGATAAGTTGTTGTTTGTTACAGTGGAGAAGACAGAGGAAGAACCAGGTTTCTATGAAAAACTGGCCACACACTTTGTGAGCAGGATCCAGGTACATATGTCTTTGCTTATCATGAATGAATATCAGTAATGACTTTTTCATATTTTGAAGTGGGGCGGTGGGGTAGCCTAGTGGTTAAAGCGTTTGCTCGCCCCGCTGAAGACCAAGGTTCAATTCCCCACATGGTACATTGTGTGAAGCTCATTTCTAGTGTACCCCGTGATATTGCTGGAATATTGCTAAAAGTGGAGTAATACCATACTCACTTACTCACTCATATTTCGAAGTCTGACATGACAGATAATGTATATTAATATGAAAGAATCGGGTGGTCCTTAACTTCTTTTGAGTAGTATATGTAGTATGTATATACATACATATATAGATAAATGACCATACAAGTCCATGTATATATGATGATGTGAAGTGAACCCCTTTCCACCTATCATACAGGTAGTAAGAAGTATCAGATCTGTTTTAGGTTTCAGTACGTAACATCCACATTCGGTATGAAGACACAGTTACCAATGTGGATCATCCATTTGCCTGCGGATTGATGCTTAAGCAGATTGCCATGCAGTCCACCGATGCCAGGTGGGAGCCCCTGAAGGGAGACACCACCTCGAACATGCTGCACAAGGTGGGTGGGTGTGAGATATGGTGAAGTTATACCACCTCCAACATGCTGCACAAGATGGGTGGGTGTGAGATATAGTGAAGTTATACCACCTCCAACATGCTGCACAAGGTGGGTGGGTGTGAGATATGGTGAAGTTATACCACCTCCAACATGCTGCACAAGGTGGGTGGGTGTGAGACATGGTGAAGTTATATCACCTCCAACATCCTGCACAAGGTTGGTGGGTGTGAGATATAGTGAAGTTATACCACCTCAAACATGCTGCACCATGTGGGTGGGTGTGAGATATGGTGAGGTTATACCTCCTCCAACATGCTGCACAAGGTGCGTGGGTGTGAGATGTGGTGAAGTTATGCCACCTCGAACATGCTGCACAAGGTGGGTGTGAGATGTGGTGAAGTTATGCCACCTCGAACATGCTGCACAAGGTGGGTGTGAGATGTGGTGAAGTTATGCCACCTCCAACCTGCTGCACAAGTTGGGTGGGTGTGAGATATGGTGAAGTTATACGACCTCCAACATGCTGCACAAGGTGGGTGGGTGTGAGATATGGTGAAGTTATACCACCTCGAACATGCTGCACAAGGTGGCTGTGAGATATGGTGAGGTTATACCTCCTCCAACACGCTGCACAAGGTGGTAGGGTGTGAGATGTGAAGTTATACCACCTCCAACATGCTGCACAAGGTGGGTGGGTGTGAGATGTGGTGAAGTTATACTACCTCCAACACGCAGCACAAGGTTGTTGGGTGTGAGATAAAGTGAAGTAATACCGCCTCCAACAGCAGTAGAAACTAACATTTTTATTCTACTAGTCGTCATAATGATTACGAAGAGCAAAACCCTTAAAAATAGCAAGTTCTACTAGTCCTTATGATACCTTAACTATTGGTCAGTTTGGCAAGGACTACAGGATTAGTGCCAATTTCTAACGCTGCAGGCTACACAAGGTGGGTGGGTGGTTGATGGTTATGGTGAAGTTATACCACCGCCAACACGCTGCACAAGGACATTTTGACTGGCATATGGTGAGGTTATATATCCTTGTATGGTGACTGCCTATGTAATATCATGGTAAGCCATATGAAGTGTTTTGTAATTATTTGTTGCAGTTGCTGAGGCTGGAGGACTTGAGCATCTACTGGAACCCTTACATTCCGGAGCCCCACCTCGTCAAGTCCAGGCTCAACACTGATGGATGGCGGGTAGGGACATGTTTTCACGATCCCTTATATTTAGAATTGTCTCTGAGCAATGTTATTTTCATAATCTTGATGAATGTGTATTTGGCATTTTGTCATCTATTTGGCAGATATAATTATGAATTATGAATGTCTTTTGTCATATTCGTATGGATCTCATTGTTTAATACTGTATGTTTTATCTGCAGTGTTTAGGGTGTGTAAAGTCTAATTTCAGATACTCACATGTTGCCAGATTGTTATATTCTCAACTTTATCATTTCAGAACCTGTTAAGAATGTCTATAGATTCTCACAGCATATTCCAGGAGGACTTTGATTTCAGTGAGTCCACATTTTTTGCTTTCATTACAGTTGCAATCAACAAATGATATCATTTGCAGACAAGGATCGTGGATCATCTCACGCATTCCTATATCTGGAGGGGGTCTCAGTATCTAACAGCTTGGCTTTCTGTATAAAGTGTCTAGCCATGCTGTGTCCATGCTGCAGAAAGTTAACACACCTAGTTTGATTGTTTTAGTGTGGGTTTCAATTAAGTTAAATTGCTTAATACATTTTGTTTTGGCTGGAGTATTTTAACGTTTAATGATTGGTTCATTTCATGTATTTGTTGGGCCCATTTTCAGGGTTAGAAATTGGCACTAGTCCTATAGTCCTTGCCAAACTGCCCAATAGTAAAGGTATCCTAAGGACTAGTAGAATTTTGACATTTTTAAAGGTTTTGCTATATGCTATCATTATAAGGACTAGTGGACTGAAACTGTTAGTTTCTACCACTGATTTTTCAAACCAATTCCATCAGTTTTTAAGCTAGTAAGAAAGTTTCAGACATATTTGTTGTTGTTTCAGTGAAAAATATGATTAAGAAGGGATCAAGTAAGTTGTGCCGAGTTCCTGCCTGCTTCTGTTGGTAGCTGTAAGGTTTCAAATGCAATGCCAAAGAAGCTTCTTTTGCGCAATGTGCTTTTCTCATTTGCTCTCGCTCACCTGTTGATGATTGTTTACCTGTGCAGCCACTGAAGGGCTCAGCCTGGTTTAGGATGAATTCTGAAATGTGTCGAGGAAAGAGAGTCTGGTTTGAAACCTATGATGATGTTTATTTTTATCTTTTGTGTTCTACTTCCTCCCCCCTATTGGATTTGGGACTTGGTTTTCTAGTTATTTCTATAAGTGATCATTGACTGGTACAGGTGCCGATACTGGTAGTTCACATGTGTATATGTTCATGTTTGTATGTTTGTATCAGGTGATTTCCACTTTGATTGTGATGTATAGATTCGGAATAGAATTTGTCAGTTTGCAGTCAGCTGTTTGGTCTGAAACTGTCCCTGTGTCATATAGCGAGTGTAAAGTAGTCCTCACTTCCCTAGTTTGGTGTAAAGAGTGGGCAGTGTTAGAAATTGGCACTAGTCCTGTAGTCCTTGCCAAACTGCCCAATAGTTAAGGTTTCCTAAGGACTAAGAGAAATTTTCCCTTTTTAGGGGTTTTGCTATATGTTATTAAAATAAGGACTAGTGGGCTGAAACTGTTAGATTCTGTCGTTGGTGGGGCATCTCATTTTCAACCTGTGTGCTCTTGCTATCAACCATTGGTCAGCTTAAGGTACCGACTGAACAGTGTATAGCTATATCATATAATGGATAGTGTTATCAATGTGTTATACCAATCTAATAAACTTGATATTACCATTTGATAAATATGCAAATTGGGTTACCTAACGGGAACTAATTTTAATAAGCTCCATGTTAAATAAGCTGTTGCCTGACGCCCCCAACAAGTTTAGATGGGTGTGTTTCCATGTGTTGATGTTTCTTTACACAAACATGGCTTCAGATCATTTGGAAAAGGGGAGTGGTTCACTGTAGCATTGTATTCAAACACATTTCAAAAGTTCCTTCAGTGAGTTCTCTTTTTTTTTGAGAATGACATATGATAAGGACATTATTACCTTGTTTTTCCTCATCATAAATATCATATATCAAGAATATAACAAATGTATTAATTATGCTCACCAAAGGCTCACCAAAGTTTTATTCCTAATGTATAAGATACTGATCCAAACTCTATGGCTAAAATCTCTATGGAACATTACGTGCAATTCACTCACTCATCCATATTGTCCTTACACGCAGTCTTTGTGATGGATGAAACATGTGGCCGCTAGATACAAGCACCTGCATGTTGATGTGATGCTCTACATGCTGTATTTTCTTGTATATAGGGCACACTTGAGCCTAGTGCGCAGTTTGCTTTTTTGGGTACAAGTTTCTGGACAAATGGCTATTTAATACATTGTGCACAGGCAAAACCTACATCAATGGCTTTAGGTGAACAAACAGTAGATAATGGTCAAAGGAAATGTGAAACTTGCAATAAAACATCACAAGATGATAATTTCAGTTGTATATCCTGTTATGCAGGCAGTTTTTTATATGCAGAGATTTAGTTTCACATGTGTAGTTTGCTTGTAAAATAAGCCGGAAATAGCAGTAAGCTGTACACATGTTTTCTTCCATAATTGCGTTGGGGAAAAATAATCAATACCAATTGTCTGCATGTGTTATGCACACAAAAGTGCCAACTATACACAAGAAAATATGAAATGTTTCTATTCGTGTCCAGTTCCTATTGAGAATGTAGAATGTGTAGAATCATAGGCTGGAACATTTGTCTGTGTGTCCCTGCCATCAGTGACATCACAAATACCACTGTAAGAAACAGGGCTCTGCTTCACAAAGAGATGTTAGTGATATGACTGTCATAAGTCTTGGTTTTAATATACACATGGGTTTTTGCATAAAGATCACTGAAGGCACGGGTGGCCCAGCTGTCTACGGCTCTGCAATTTCACTGTGCAGAATTGTGTCCCTTGGGCACACCAGAAACTATGATTGTGGGTTCGAATTCCGGTTCACCCTGATTATGTTTCTAGGTTTGCCAGCACCGTACCCATACTCGTGGGTTTCACCAAAGTGATAATGTCTGAGGCCTATATTATTTCGGGTGTTCCTCCCACAATAAGCTGACATACCGTGATATAACTGGAATACTGCTCAAAGTGGCTTAATTTAAACCAAACTCACTCACTAAAATCACTTTGTGAAGCCCAGACCAACAGCAGTGTAAGATCTGTAGAGTGTTTTGATACGATTGGTAGGTGTATGACAAATGGTGGCATTTAGACAGTGCCATTCTGATCTTTGTCAGTATTCAATATTGTTGAATCAGCACATTAAGTTTTGAACCTCTGAAGTGTGAAAGCTGATTTTACCTAGCCGAATACACTTGCTTCAACATGCCAGATATATTTCAAGATGAAATATTTTATTTACCCCAATATTATTTTTAAAAGTCATTTTGATCTTCACACATTATTTCAGCTTAATCCTGTCCACCCATCCCAAATACCTAACATGACATGACTTCATGCAATCTTTACACTTCATTGACTTTAGATTTGTGGAAAGTCGAGATAAAGGCCATGATATTGGCATGTACTACTGGTAAACAAATTTCAGATGAACTGCAGCTTCACCATTTGACCAGTGTGTGAAATAGTTTCAAAATATTGCAGGTCAGTTAGGCTAGCTAGCCGCAAAAATTACCTGACAGTTTCAGATTTCACCAGAAATTTCCTCCGGCTATGGTATCTATGAAGTAAGCCCAAATTGCAAATCATGAGTCAAATATTATGAAGGGGGCTAAACTTGATACATTATGGATATTTATTTTATGTTGTAGTTTTGATGGATGTATTGATCTTCAGAAACAGAAGAACATTTGTGTATATTGTATATTTTAATTACAAAATGTGTGCATAAAAAACATCACTGTAAATATCTCTGTAGCTTGTCAGGCTAGGGACAATTCAGAATCATCGGCCCAACCGATATTTTGCTTACCACAGGCAGCTATTTCGCACATTGCACTTAACCTTAATGAAAGTGAGGAAACTGAGGAATTCTTTCAAAAAAAGGGGTCACATTGCTTAATAAGATGCTTTAAGATTGTGAGCAAGTCATGCAATATTCTGGAACTCCTAGGGTAGTTAGGACTGGCCTTCTGTCCAGGTTCATGTCCATTGTGCAGGTGTTTCTAGACTTTGTTATCCAGTAGTATTCTGATTATTTAGCAAATACTTTGATACAGACATAAAATGTTCTTGTTGATCTTACTCTTGATTATTCCTTGATAATAGATCAATGAATGCTGCTGCAAAATCTGAGTAAAACTGAGTAAAATATGTTTCATTTGATTTGTTAATATTTGTTCAAAGGTTGATATTTTTGTGAACGCTGAATTCTGTTATGATATACCAAGTTTGTAATCACCCACATATGACATATGTTTCAGTCATAGAACCAGTCACAGCCCAGGCTAGGCTGATCATCAGCACCGAGAACAATTCCCTGCCAAAGGTGTTTGCAGACTTCACCCTGGAGGAGATAGAGGTCCTCTTGTCCAGGCAGCAGGTGAGGTGATGCATAAGAGGAGTGAGTGAATGAGTGTTTGTAGACTTCACACTGGATGAGTTAGAGGTCCTCCTGTCCTGTTGGTGCAGTCTTCACCCTGGATGAGTTAGAGGTCCTCCTGTCCTTCTGTTGGTGAGGACTTTACTCTGGAGGAGTTAGAGGCCCTCCTGTCCACCTGTTGATGCAAACTTCACCCTGGAGGAGTTAGAGGTCCTCCTGTCCTTCTGTTGGTGCAGACTTCACCCTGGAGGAGTAAGAGGTCCTTCAGTCCACCTGTTGGTGCAGACTTCACCCTGGAGGAGTTAGAGGTCCTTCTGTCCCTCTGTTGGTGCAGACTTCACCCAGGATGAGTTAGAGGTCCTCCTGTCCTTCTGTTGGTGCAGACTTCACCCTGGAGGAGTTAGAGGTCCTCCTGTCCTTCAGTTGGTGCAGACTTCACCCTGGAGGAGTTAGAGGTCCTCCTGTCCTCCTGTTGGTGCAGACTTCACCCTGGAGGAGTTAGAGGTCCTCCTGTCCTTCTGTTGGTGCAGACTTCACCCTGGAGGAGTTAGGGGTCCTCCTGTCCTTCTGTTGGTGAAGACTTCACCCTGGAGAAGTTAGAGGTCCTCCTGTCCACCTGTTGGTGCAGACTTCACCCTGGAGGAGTTAGAGGTCCTCCTGTCCTTCAGTTGGTGCAGACTTCACCCTCGAGGAGTAAGAGCTCCTCCTGTCCTCCTGTTGGTGAAGACTTCACCCTGGAGGAGTTAGAGGTCCTTCTGTTGGTGAAGACTTCACCCTGGAAGAGTTAGAGGTCCTCCTGTCCTTCTGTTGGTGAAGACTTCACCCTGGAGGAGTTAGAGGTCCTTCTGTTGGTGAAGACTTCACCCTGGGGGAGTTAGAGGTCCTCCTGTCCTTCTGTTGGTGCAGACTTCACCCTGGAGGGGTTAGAGGTCCTTCTGTCCACCTGTTGGTGCAGACTTCACCCTGGAGAAGTTTGAGATCCTTCTGTCCTTCTGTTGGTGTAGACTTCACCCTGGAGGAGTTAGAGAGAGGTCCTCCTGTCCCTCTGTTGGTACAGACTTCACCCTGGAGGAGTGAGAGGTCCTTCTGTCCACCTGTTGGTGCAGACTTCACCCTGGAGGAGTTAGAGGTCCTCCTGTCCTTCTGTTGGTGCTGACTTCACCCTGGAGAAGTAAGAGGTCCTTCTGTCCACCTGTTGGTGCAGACTTCACCCTGGGGGAGTTAGAGGTCCTCCTGTCCTTCTGTTGGTGCAGACTTCACCCTGGAGGAGTTAGAGGTCCTCCTGTCCACCTGTTGGTGCAGACTTCACCCTGGAGGAGTTAGAGGTCCTCCTGTCTTTCTATAGTGCAGACTTCACCCTGGAGGAGTTAGAGGTCCTACTGTCCTTCTATGGTGCAGACTTCACCCTGGAGGAGTTAGAGGTCCTCCTGTACAGACAGGGGGCTTGAATAATGTTTAATGCTTGCTCAATCATCCAGGTCGTCACAGTAGCTGCAGTATCAGGATTACAGGATTAGAGTCTGCACATCCTACTGTGGCCACTTCATCCCCACTGGACTACTGTAATGACAAGCAAACATAAAGATGTATTGTATCCTGGAATTCATGAAGTGATATGACTTTAAGAAACACAGGATTTGTGATCTGTGAGAAATTGTTTTAGTAAAGGTAATTTACACATTCATGGTTAAATACATTGCCAACTGTCACTGTCTGTCACAACCAGATGTTGGTTTTGAGTCTGACAAGAAGGCTGTAATTATTGCTGGAACATTATCATCTGCACACAAACCTCACTGGTTAATATGTAACTTTTTTTCAGTTCCTGAATCTGTTGACGCTGAGTGAGTCTTTCCAACTTATGAGCATCAACCAGCGGTACAGGAAGTACCACCCCAACATCCCTCTCAAGGTCAGCCCAAGGTCATGGTGGCATTATGCCAACACAGCCATCTTGGAGGAGATGATCCGTCCCTACTCCTGGGAGAGAATTAAAGAACACAGGTACATAGTTGAATACTCCCTTGCTAATAGGTACTGTAAAATCTGTGATGAAAAGGAAAATAATATTTGAAATAATACTTTCCTCATATTGATTGAGTATGCTTGCTAATTGTGCAGGAACCAATACCGGAAGTATAAGGACCTTTACAAGCGGAGCCTAGAACGACCAGACCATGAGTCCATTCGGAGTAAGATGTGGGAGCTGGAGGAAAATCTGGATGTATCCAACATACTGCTGGCCAGAGAACATTCCAAGGTGGAGGTGAGTTTACACACTGCTGGAAATAGAACATGTCAAGGTAGAAGTGAGTGTACACACTGCTGGAAATAGAACATGTCAAGGTAGAAGTGAGTGTACACACTGCTGGAAATAGAACATGCCAAGGTAGAAGTGAGTGTACACACTGCTGGAAATAGAACATGTCAAGGTAGAAGTGAGTGTACACACTGCTGGAAATAGAACATGTCAAGCTGGAGGTGAGTGTACACACTGGTGGCAACAGAACATGCCAAGGTAGGGGTGAGTGTATACACTGCTGGCAACAGAACATGCCAAGGTGTAGGTGAGTGTACACACTGCTGGCAGCAGAACATGCCAAGGTGGAGGTGAGTGTACACGCTGGTGGCAACAGAACATGCCAAGGTGGAGGTGAGTGTACACACTGCTGGTCAGAGAACATGCCAAGGTGGATGTGGGTGTATATACTGCTGGCCAGAGAACATGCCAAGGTGGATTTGAGTGTATACACTGCTGGCAACAGAACATGCCAAGGTGTAGGTGAGTGTACACACTGCTGGCCAGAGAACATGCCAAGGTGGACGTGAGTGTATACACTGCTGGCAACAGAACATGCCAAGGTGGAGGTAACTGTATACACTGCTGGCAACAGAACATGCCAAGGTGGATTTGAGTGTACACACTGCCAGCAACAGAACATGCCAAGGTGGAGGTGAGTGTACACACTGGTGGCAACAGAACATGCCAAGGTGAAGGTGAGTGTATTCACTGCTGGCCAGAGAGATCATGCCAAAGTGGAGGTTAATGGACATTCTACATGCTTGAGAGGGGTGCATATTGCTCTACATGTTAAGCATAGCAAATACCAGTGGTGTTGTTCCATCACATTTCGTTGTTTTCTCTTGGCTGACAACACAACTAGATTGAGTAGACAATATTTAACTGCCCAAGACAAATAAGCAGCATGTTCCAATCAGTACAAAGACTGTATTTTGTTTCGCCTGAAGGCTGTGACACTATACATCAGTTTATCAACCCGTTTGTAGCGAGAATATATCACTTCTGAGTCTATCTTATGTTTCCAGTTTGCCCGTGAGGCCCCTGAACGAGCCAAGCATCGACCAAAGAAAGAAAAGAAGGGCTGGTTTAGTTCATGGTTTGGTAGCAGTGAAGATGTGGATGACTTTGAAATAACTGGAAAGCAGACACGTGAGTTTGTTTTTATTTTGAATCCGATACAAGTTCACTTATTCTGTTTTTGTAATTCATCAAATTTTAGTATTGATATTCCAATTTATCATTCCAAACTGGCTTCAAAGGCAATATCACTGCAATATGAAATTGCATCACAATGCTTTGCAGACCATTGTGATGTCAGCGGTTTATATGACATCACAATCAAATTACATCATTAATCTCTCTGCCACCGAAGTTTGTTGGATTGGTGTAATTGTGATTGGTGATAATTAGAATTTTACCCTTGTGTGTTTTGATATCAAATATATCAACACTTTTAAACTACAGTTGTTCCTCACAATAACACTCTTCACGATACCGCGAATTCGGATAAACCTTGGGGGTAATGACTGGCTCCGATAAATTTATCAACAAGTGATGATGTACTTGATGTCAAAGGACATGTGGGTAACAATTTAAGACTGGGGCAGTATATTGAAGAATTGAGAATTGGGTGATATGGTGTATAACCCTTGTAACTCCCTTACAGAGGACTGGCTGGACAAACTGAGCAATGAGGAGAAGGAGAAACTGTATGATGGCATCGGCTACGACATCAACGCAAATACCCAGACATATGCCCCGGAGGTGAGTGGGTGCAGCGAGTGTGGCATGAACAATCCTGTTCCTACAGCTACTAGTATTAGATTGGCCAGTAGTCCCTTAAATGTTACATAGTAAGGGTAGAGAATAGGTCTTCAGCAACCCATGCTTGCGGTAACAGGCGACTAACGAGAGGGGGTGGTCAGGCTGCATGTCATCATATTCCAACTGTGTTGACCGATGCTCAGGATGTAAATCACTGGATTGTCATGTCCAGACTTTATTATTTACAGCCTGACGTCATATAGCTGGAATATTCTGAGTTCGGCGTTGGACAACAAACACACTGACCAACAAATGTTAAACATGATGCCTCATTTCAGTTCCGCTCATCAGTTTTATGTGTAAGGGCAATTCTTTGTCTCCTCTTCAGTGTTGTCTTGCAGTGTTGCTAGATTATATGAAAACCTCAATGGTTACTTGTTGAAGGCAGAATAAGTCTTTAGTTCCCCATTAATGTTGTAAGAGAACAGTTCAGTACCAGATCATGTCATGACAATCCAGTGATTTACATCCTGAGCATCAGTCTACACAATTGGGATATGATGACATGCAGCCTCACCACCTCATCTCGTTAGTCGCCTGTTACGGCAAGCATGGGTTGCTGAAGTCCTATTCTCTTCCCTTACTGTGTAACATTTAGGGGACTACTGGCCAATCTAATACTAATTTTGATACTGTAAAGTGGAGATTGGGTAGTTCAGTATTTACCAGATTTGCAGTGTATCATTGTACCCATTCAGTGATGACTAGGGCTGGCAAAAAAGATCGATAATCGGAATTATCGTTGATGGGAAGATATATTAATTATTATCAATATGAAAATAGTGTCATTGATAATATCTAACATAAACTATTCTGGTAAGTTTAGATTGACCAAAACAGACTTGTTATTATCAATAATGTCAATTGCTGAAGATGGAAAGTAGCTGTTTTTGTTATATCTCAAATGTCCATAAAGTAATCCATGCAAAAATGTGCACCACACACCAGTGGAGTGAACTATGTTGATTTCTTTCAGAATTCTTTTTTGTGTATATGCCCAAAGTTACTTCTCTGATATTTATCAATAATTGATCAATATTTAGTTAACGATTATCGATCTCTATGAATCGTATCAATAGCCATCCCTAGTGATGACCATTGTTCACCATTGACCATCACAAAATACTGTATTTGACGTAATAAGCGCCCCGCTCTAATAAGCGCCCACGGCGATATTTGCTAATATATTGGCTAGTGAACAATCCCAATTGGCACCCCTTCCGATTGATCAATGTACACAAGACTTATTTTTTCGCGTATAATATGCACTCGTGTGTTATATGCACCCTTAATCATGGGCAATTAAATTCTGGAAAAATGTATCTGTCATACATAAACATTCCAGGCTGTCAGCATAAACCACGAAATTTATCTTTGAACTTTGTTTTTTTCACTAAAATTATATTCTAATAAGAGCCCCCTATTTCCAATTTTGAGAGCACCCTGGGCGCTTATTACGTCGAATACGGTAGCTAGAATATTGACCAAGGTCAGATATGAGTGGACTGCTGTTGACTGGTGTAACACAACTTTGGGTGAGTCCAGGTCTTGTCAGTGTCCTCTCTCTTCCAGTATGTGAAGCACAAGGTGCAGGTGATCCTGAAGAGCTGCTGCGTGTCCCTGGTCAACTACAGCAAGAAGATCCTGCAGGTGTCTGTCACTCACCTCCTGGCCACCTGGGAGGACAGACCCGCCACCGGTGCCTTCAGGTGGGTCAGCGTGACACCATTCCTGGCAGTCTTGGAGATAGTCATTTACAGGAATTCACAGTTGGTGTCATGGTTACATGATTGATGCAGAGTACCAGACATTAACTATTTACGTATTGACTCGCAGAAGATGCAGCTGACGTTTGGCTGAATAGTATCATGGCAGATAATCTGCCATTTCTAACTGTATCACATAACAAAGGTCGGAAAGAATGGTTACCCAGATGCTGCCTGATAAAAAAATCTTGTACATTCGTCACATTGAATTTGACAACTTCACCACTGTAAAGGGGAGTTGCGGTAGCCTAATGGTTGAAGTGTTGGCTCTTCTCACCTTAACCTTGGGTTTGATTCCCTACATGCTACAATCTGTGGAGCCAGTTCTTGGTGTGCCCTGCATTGCTATGGCTGGAACATTCTAAAATGGCGTAAAACCGGACTCACCCTCTCAATCACTGTTGCACAATATTGTGAAACTCATGGTGACATAGGATGTCTTGTGAAACAGTGAATTCATTTAATAGGTACAGTTTTCATTAAAAAGGGTCTATTCCAAAACTTGCTTACAACCAGGCAGAATCCACAGAGGATATTTTTTTGTTCTGTCTTGATCCACTCAACACGAAAATAAATACATGATACTTTTGTGCATGCCACTGTCAAAGTATCTGGTGAATCAGTTTGTTGTGTGGTGTACATGTCAGCTGCTACAACGTATAATGGATAGCTGTCAGTGCTGTAAATCCAATAACCTTGGTATCACGATCTGATAGATATGGAAATGAGGTAGCCTAGCAGGAACTACTTTTAATAAGCTCCATGCCTCAATGCAATGTCTGCTTGCTAAATAAACTGTTACCAACACCCCCAATAAGTTTAGGTTCTTTTTTGGATGTGTGGATGTTTTTCTACACAAGCATGTCTTCATTACAGAAACATACTCGGCTAATAACGTCTGTGTCTGTATTTCAGGATCTCCTCCAACACAGAGAGTTTCTCCATAGAGGGGGCTTCCATTGAACACGAGCTCATCCCCATCCTCACCTCCGACATCGGAGTCTACGGTGCGTTCACGTCCCTGTACCAGCCTAAAGGATTCCTATCAAGTAGTAATGATAATCTGATCATTGTGTTAATGGTAGAACTAAAGATCAATAGATTGATCAGGGTTTCATAAGATAGATCTTGTTTTGACTGTATGTGAGAAAGGTTAGATCATTAATTCCCCCCGCCACAATGTGGAAAGAGGATAAAGGAATAGGTGCTGTCCGTCCGTCACGTTTTGTTTCCAAAGCAGAACCCCAAAACCATGAGAGATATCTAAACCAAACTTATCACATGGTTAGGTCTAGTGGTGAACTGGTGCCTTTTGAAAGTTTGGGAATTTTTTTAAATTTATTTTTCGAGTTTTCACAGCAAAGACTTTGACTTAGTCTGAAAATGGTTGTAGTGCTTGTTTCCGGAGCAGATCTTGAAGAACGTACAATATTTCTTGCCCTGCACACAACGGACATGTCATATTGGCGGGGGATATGAGTATTTCATGCTTATTGTATCCTCTATGTCAATATTTATCAGCAATACTTGTGTCCCCAGCCCCCTCAGTGAACCAGGTGTGCACGTTGGACTTCGAGGTGAAGCCGCTCTACGTGGATGCAGACTACTCCCTCAGTCTCAACATTCAGCCAGTTGAGATTGTTTATGATGAGGTGAGAAGTTCCTGAGTGTCATGAGTCTTCCATGCTAATTGCTATTTTATGAGTCTAACAGACATTGGGCAGATGTTTGTTCCCAGTGGGTACTTCGTGAGTTTTTTGGTATTAAGGTATATAGCCCATGGAATTCTGGGTGAGAATAGGCCTCTAGAAACCTAGGCTGGTCATAAGAGGCGACCAGATGAATTGGTGGTCTGGCTCAATGACTTGGTTGATAGCGTGTTTTCATTTCCCAAAGGCATGGATTGTTGCTCACAATATCACTTGATTGTCTAGTTCGGACTTGATTATTAACACGCCTCCATCACATAGATGGAATGTTCCCGAGTGTGGTGTTAAACAACAAACACATACTTATCAAGGTATATTTTTGTGTCAGTTTGATGCAGTGTAACATACATTTCCAGCACTCTATCTCGGAGGTCACGGCTTTCTTCAACGTCCCCCATGGAGGGGTGGACATGAGGTCTGCTGCCATGGTGACGCTGCAGGAAGTAGCCAAGTACAGCCGGGCAGGGCTGCAGTATGCCATAGAACAGCACAAGGTATTTAGAGATAATATGTCCGTACAAATGATTGCAAGTAATTCCATCTCATTTTATTGGGTAACAAAGCAAAATGTTCTGCATTGATGTTTCCATAAACTGGAAAAAAAAAATATCCACACCTTCTAACTGACTGCTGTTTCCTGATTGGCTGATAATAGTTGGGCGGGGCTTGTGCTGCATTATTGTGCTGAACAGTGTCACTGATTTCATATCATTGTCTATAAAAGAAAATTGTGTTAATGATTAAATATGCAGTCTGTGAAGTTATTATTGTTGACATATATATTTATAAGATTTGACTTCAATATGTTTTTACATTAATGGAGGTATAAATGTTAAAAAACTGTGTGCACACTGTGTAAATCCGCATTTCAATTTTTTTATTTTCTTGTTTTTTATACCTCCATAATCTAAAAAAATATTGATACGTGAAAATCCGGGTTGGAATAGGTCTTCAGCAACCCATGTTGTTGTAAAAGGCACCTAACCTTGTCGTAAGAGGCGACTAATGGGATCGGATGGTGAGGCTCGCTGACTTGGTTGAAGCATGTCATCGTATCCCAATTGAGTAGATTGATGCTCGTGATGTTAATCACTGGATTGTCTTGTCCACCCTCGATTATTTACAGACCGTAGTCATATAGCTGTAATATTGCTGACTGTGGAGTTGCACTTAATTCTTAAATGTACTGAACAAATAGCAAACCATCGTCAAACTGATATGTCATTGCCACTATCACTTACAAAGTTTGTGTCTATTTATCAGTTGATGATGGTTTATCATGTTGGTTTGTGTGCGTTGATTTTCATGACAATAATTTCTTTGAATAAATTCATCAACTGCATGTTTTTATGTCCGTTAAGCCACTCATGAACTTTCTCTAACTTTCTACTCTAGTGTACGATTGTGTTGTGTTTCAGACGGTGCATGTCGCCCTGAACATGAGATCCCCGTACATCGTGGTGCCCGAGTTTGGTACACTGCACAGGTAAAACATTCCCAGGTTTTATAAAGGGCTTCATAGTTACCTGAATGTGACCTTAAACCACACAGAGGTGGAGGTGGAGTCCAGGGTAGAATAGGTACGCTTGTCGTATAAGCAACTTAATGGATTGGGTGGTCTGGCTCTGTGACTTAGTTGATTGTGTGTCATCGTATCTGAACATCTTGGACCAGTGGTCCACGTGATCATTATATCACTGATTTGTTTGGTCCAGACTGGATTATTTACAGGCGTTAAGGAACAAACCAATCTCATTAAAATCAGTTCTTAGTTCTCGCTATCGTTGACTGAGAGGGGACTTTGATATTTTGGGCCCCTCCCTTTAAAACATGCTGGATCCGCCTTTGCATTGTTTGTTTCTTCCTAATCTCATTAAAATCATATCTAAGTTCTCCCTGCCGCTAAACAAAGATCTGAGGACATCCCATAACGGGTCACGTCAGAACAGAGTTTCATCCGACCAATCAGAGTGTCGCTTACCAGATCATGAAAGTGACAGTTGGAATGTGTTTTCTAATCATGCAACCTCATAAAAAGTTAACAAGGGGTATTCCGAATGACATTTACGGCCCATACGACTGATTTTGTCAAAATTATTGTCTATCTCTTGCTTCCGTGGGATAAACATTTGAATGGAGGAGGCATTGCACAGTATGTGGGAAGCACTGCCATACAATTGTAACCATATATTAGACCTTCCGGAACGTTTGTTCAGTTTTCAAAATTGTAATCGAGAACTGTGTCAACATATTGATCAAGCGTAGTCTGAAATGGAAGTCGCCAGGTTGAAACAAGTGCCGTAAAGCTCGAGAAAGCTGCTTTCTAATTGGCTGATGTCGACTTCTTGTTAGTTGTTTCAGTGGTCTGTCAAAGTTCGCGAAAGGTCATTCTGAAGTGACCCGTAATGGGATGTCCACAGATCTTTGTTTAGCGGCAGCGAGAACTTAGATATGATTTTAATGAGATTAGGAACAAACAAACAATGCAAGGGTGGATCCAGCATGTTTTAAAGGGAGGGGCCCCAAATATCAAAGTCCTCTCTCAGTCAATTTTACTGCCTACAACATACTACATTTGGTTTTCAAAAGCTACATTTGGTTTTCAAAAGGAGGGGGTTCCGGACCCCCTTGATGTACAACCTTTTCATTTGCTGATCTTTGTATGAAGACTCAGTTCAGTCACATTTCCTTGTGATCTTATATCTGGGAGACATCCATAGATTAGCCTTGTTTACCAGTCCGGTGACTACCTAATTGTAGGAACAGTGCCAGTTTCTCAAGCTGGTGAAAGGGTGTCTGGAAAGAAGACATTTACCATGGTTTCATTCCTTCAATCCGTATACTCTGTACAGGGTTCTTTTCAAACTGACCTCAGCTTTATGGAATGCATGTTAAGATACATGCTCGTCAAGACGTCTCTTCTCTCATCTGAAGAAAAAGCAAGTTCCATTATGGAGTATTTAAATCTAGGAAGCCCTAATTCTGGAACTCATGAACCTTAACGTAATGGGGCCCCATGACATTTATTCTTAATTTAAAAAATGTTTTCCTTTTTCAGAGGAGGAAATGTTTTGATAGCTGATTTTGGAACACTGCGTATAGAAAGTGAATTACAGCCAAAAGATGTCTCCCTTGAAGTAAGTGTTACACAACCTACATAGTTAGTGGCTCTTGCCCAATGTATATTTTTATACCAATAACTGTAGTACAGACTCAACATTGAAAGAACTGTGTGGTCCATATGCAGATGAGGATGTTGTGATTAGATTTAAATTAGAGAACTCATGATGATATCTTGTAGTAATGCTCAGCTTCCCATTGTTCTCGGAAGCAGTACGTGGAGGGGTTGTACGGCCACAAGCCTTCTGTCCATTACAAAGATTAACAATCAACCAAATTTTAATCTTTTTGTTACAATCGGCATATCTAAGATTCAAACATATATTCAGCTGATCCTGGCATGGCTAAAGGACACAACTCTGCTCACCGGTTAACACCATTGGTCATATCCAACTAATTCATGCACATTTTGGACAAGTGTTTTCTGTAAAATCACTAGATTTATTCAGAAACTGGATTTTCACTAATAGGCTAACATACTAGTGGCATGTCTATCCCAGTGCACAGAGATTAAATTATGCAATCATTGATATATATACGTGTGTTTGCAGGATGCGACGATGTCGGAGATTGAGTCCCGCCTGTATGACCAGTTTAACATCACAGTGAGCGACGTCAAGGTGCTGTTGGCAGACTCAGGTGAGGAAGGTCAAGGTCGAAGTGACCTCTTGTATAATGTGCTGCATTGCACAAAGTGGAGACAGTGCTATGGCAATTGTAAATCTTTGTTAAAGTAAGGAGCTATGACAATGTTAGTGCCAAGATGGCCTGCACATGCAGCTTGTAACTTATAGAGTAATTTGAAGAACCAAAGGGCTAAGGATACAAAAAGAAAGACCTTTTCATATGCATGTTATGAATATCTGTCAGTGTTAATTTTTATTACATGATGTCTTTCAATTTCTAAGCTTACAAATATTTGCTTACAAATTAATGTCTAGCAGAGGGACATGTTTAATTTAGAAGAAATTTGGTGAAACTTGACATAAGTAAAAATAAAACAAATGTGAAGATAATTACTAGGATTACCATGGTTACTGTGTTATGAAATTATTAATATTATACTATATTCTAATATATACATTTTTGTCAGTTTTGGGAGTGGGGGGTGAATCGAGACATGCATGTATGGAAACCATGAGCTATTGTGCCTCCAGGTGATGACTGGCACACAGCGCAGACCCAGCCCGACTCAGACTACCACATCCTTCCCAGCGTGCAGCTGGTTGTGGCGTTCTTCAATGCTGTCCGCAGAGACTACAAGCAACTGCCACAGTGAGTCGTCCATCACCTGCACCCACCATCAACAACATATCACAGTCACAGTTAGGGTTGACGCCAGGGTCCATTTCCACACAGCGACGTTAGAGCTGTCGCCACAGACTTAGGATTGTCAGAGTGCTAAGGTCGTTTTGTGGAAATGAGGCCAGAGAGTTTAAAGTATTTAACGCGTGGGCCCTATTTGTTCATCCCATTCTAGAATCCCTCCACCGTGACATTACTGCAATAAAGTACGGGAAAAAACAATTGCTGCTACTCACTGCCTCCACCCTGCATTACATTGAACTGTCCTCAATGCAGTGTTAAACCCAAACTCACTCACTCACTCTTCAGGCAGAAGCTTGTTGCCAGTCTGCCGACCATGAAACTGAACATCTCAGACAAGCGCCTCCTGCTGCTCATGTCGTTCTTCCGCAACTTCCCTATCCCCGCCAGCACCAGCATGGCCACCCTCGGCGAGGACATGGTCGACAGCTGCATCATCATCCAGCCCGCCGTGCCCCTGGTGAGTACATCCTCCTGCAGTGGAGGAAGGCATCTCATCTCTGTACCTGCAGTTGTGCATTGCGCTCACAGATCATGAAGATGTAGTGCCGACTGATCCTGGCAGAGTGTTGATTGACTGATCCTTTGAGAATGTTGATTGACTGATCCTGTGAGAGTGTTGACTGACTGATCCTGGCAGCATGTTGATTGACTGATCCTTTGAGAGTGTTGATTGACTGATCCTTTGAGAGTGTTGATTGACTCATCCTGGGAGAATGTTGATTGACTGATCCTTTGAGAGTGTTGATAGACTGATCCAGGAAGAGCATTGATTGACTGATCCTGGGAGGGTGTTGATTGACTGATCCAGGGAGAGCGTTGATTGACTGATCCTGGGGGAGTGTTGATTGACTGATCCTTTGAGAGTGTTGATTGACTGATCCTGGGAGGGTGTTGATTGACTGATCCAGGGAGAGCATTGATTGACTGAACCTGGGAGAGTGTTGATTGACTGATCCTGGGAGAGTGTTGATTGACAGATCCAGGGAGAGCATTGATTGACTGATCCTGGGAGGGTGTTGATTGACTGATCCAGGGAGAGCATTGATTGACTGATCCTTTGGAGAGTGTTGATTGACTGATCTTTTGAGAGTGTTGATTGACTGATCCTGGCAGGGTGTTGATTGACTGATCCTGGGAGAGTGTTAATTGACTGATTCTGGGAGTGTTGATTGACTAAACCTTGTAGTGTTGATTGACTGATTCTGGAAGAGTGTTGATTGACTGATTCTTGGAGTGTTGATTGACTGAACCTTGTAGTTTTTATTGACTGAACCTTGTAGTGTTGATTGACTGAACCTTGTAGTGTTGATTGACTGATTCTGGGAGAGAGTTGATTGACCAATCATGGCAGAGTGTTGATTGACTGAAAGTTTCATTGAAATCATGAAAGTTTGTTGCTTCTGTGTAGTATAGTATTGTTTAAGTCAGAGATCAATCACTCAAATCTGTAGATTCTACTTCCGATATCAAGTGTTTTTTTTAGCCACGTTTATAAATCGCTCAACAAAATCAGCTGGGTCTACTCCAAGACGACCTTTGTGATGTCTGCATGGAAGGCTGTAGGAGTTAGCCTTTTCAGTTAGAGATACTTGATGACTGCATGGTAGCCAATTTTGTGGGTTTTCGTCAACAGAGAATGCTAAGTCAGTATGATGCTTGCAGATATAGAAATATGCTGCCTCATTGTGTATTTGGTTCAGATGCAACCTGTAAGCATGGATAGAGTTGTTCTTAATACATGCGAACTGTTAAGTGTGTGCTAACAGAACATTCCAGCCACCCTCGTACACCTCATTAAAAGAAATGCTGTATCTACTTTATGACCAAATATGAACACGTATCACACACACACGAACCCAAGCAGGCCTCATGAAGCATCTTTATTCCGTATTACCATGTTGTATGAACCGTTTCAGGTATCTTGTAGTGGCGCCAAAAATGGTAAAACTAAGGATAAAGTAAGAAACAGATATATGTTTTTTTTCAACAAGTTAATAATTGTTGCAACAAAATGTTTGTGCATGTGTGACTCTCTACCTTCAAGACGTTCTTGTTTCACCATTCTAGAATGATTGTGCACATGACTAATTACCACTTGAGTATGTGTGTCATGAATGCCCATGTCCTTCCCTACTGACAATGTCTTGTCACACACTTAGTATTTGCATGACGCCAGGAGCTGCTTGCTATGGCTTACAAAGGTCAACCAATCAGCCTGCAGATTTTCTGCCTGAGAGACTAACCAATTCTATGAAATTCTTGCACTTTTCAGCAAGTCTTTTTACAGCATTGTCAATCCTTCATTGCTTTAATACCGGTACACTATGCTCCTCCATCACCCATGTATACATATGGCTGCCATGAGATGTAGTCGCGGTTGTTAACCAACGATTCAAGCAAAGGCCTGGTTCTAGCGAGAGGGAACACAGCATGTGCTCAGCCCAGTGATCTTCAGTTGCAGTGTGTATGGTATTTTATGAGCTGAATACTGAGCTGCATGGAGACAGAGGTCATAGAATGTACATCGTGTTGCTTCTAGGATGCGGAATTGCGAGATTTCTGCAAATTTGACTCTTTTCCCGCAAAAACCGAACATTTATGCAGCCATCGTCCTGCACAGTTTTCAAAAAAGGGTGTACATATATGTTCAGCGCATAAAATACTGTACACCCCACAACTGACACATTTATCATTAAGATTTCACAAGATTTATTTTATCTCTCTAGTGACCATCATCAGACTTTCAGGATGGTAACACCAAGTGTGAACAGGATCAGTCGTGTCCCACTCAGCAATATTCCACCTATTTGGCGGTTGTTGTAAATATTGCATCTGGACCGGACAATCCAGTGACTAATATCATGAGCATTTATCTACGTAAGGGATACAGTGACATGCATCAACCAAGTCAGTGAGTCTGACCACCCATCCCGTTAGTCGCCTCTTACGACATGCATGAGTTGCTGAAGACCAACTCTAAGCAATATGTATTCACTAGTGATGGAGGAATGTATATACAAACCCATGAAGTATTGACGATGTGTGAGAATGTGTTTGTTGACTAATGTGTTCTTTTTACATGTGTCTTAGCTATTCAAAGTGCAAAGTTGAAATAACATCCTTCATTCTTTATTTATTGAAATAAACTTGTCATAAATTGTTCTGACAAAGTACTGTTAAGTCGTTTAATAATGGAGTCTTCAAACATGATTTTTCATTCATAATGTTGCGATGGTTAAGGCAGTTTATGCCTACATGATTTGTTCATTGTCATTAGTCCTTGATTTATGATTGGGTCTCCGACAGATGATGTGAGTTGGGGTTTAGTGCGGCTTTGAACACTATAATCATGATTGAGTGAGTGAGTGAGTTGGGCTTAACGCCACTTTTAACAGTATTCCAGTTATATCGCGGCGTGTCAGCTTAATGTGGGAGGAAAGCCCAAAGTGATGCAGGTCTCAGAGGTTTACCACTTCGTAGAAACCCACGAGCACGGGTATGGTGCTGACAAACCTAGAAACATAATCGGGGCGAACCGGGATTCGAACCCACAATCATAGGTTTCTGGCGTGCCCAAGGGACGCAACTCTGCACAGCGAATCGCGGCGCCTTAGACGACTGGGCAACCCGTGCCCCCCCTATAATCATGACCTGATTGAACAGTATGATCATCGTCACCTTAATGTGAAGAAAGTAATTCGCCACACATGGGGTCTCGAGTCACTCAGTGGGGCGGCTGGGTAGCCGAGTGGTTAAAGCGTTTGCTTGTCACGCCAAAGACCCAGGTTTGATTTCCGTCATGGTTACAATGTGTGAAACCCATTCTGGTGTCCCCCGCCGTGATATTGCTGGAATATTGCTAAAAAGGGCGTAAAACCATACTCACTCACTCTAGTCACTCAGTTACAGTTCTGTAACTCACTGTTCTGTATTACTATATATGATAACCATAATGTCTATCAAAATACTGTTCAATATTCTATCAATCTGCTACATGCTTTGATCATCAGACCACAATGAATAATTGCATTTTCATCCAATTGTATTTTTTTAAATGTGAGGTGGGAGGAATTTATAAAGAAACTGTTTGAGCAGGTGTGAGATGAGGTGAAATGGGGTTTAATGTTGCATTCAGATTAATGCCTGTGTATGGTGTGTGCATGGGCTGCCACCAAGAGTGCATTACATGAAGCACAAATGTTTGATTGGATTTCATGTATTGTGTATTCCGTCAAGAAAAGAAAGAAGGGAACACAGATTGATGTGTTCTTTGTCTTCTGTAAATGATGCAAGGCATGTGTTTGGTTGTGAGTCAAGGGGATTCCGGGTTAGAACTGATCCCTAGCAACCTATGCTGGTCCTAAGAGGCGACCAAATGGATCGGTGGCATGCTCGGTGACTTGGTTGATTGCTTGCATGTTATTGTAACATGACACGTGGATTGTTGTTCACAATATCAATCACTGGATTGTCTGGTTAAGACTTTATTACTTAAAGGCCGCGGTAATATAGGTGGAATATTGCAGGGCGTTGTATTCAACAACAATCATGTGAGGCAGGTGTGAATGGGAAGCTAATAATTAATTCATGATTGCCTTATATATAACAAGGTCATCATCAAACTTGGGCAAGATCCTCTGAAAGATGTTTGTCTCTTGTATTACAGCATTTGATGAATATCATGATCAGTGTATATTGTATCAGGTTCAAGGAGACGAGTGAGACAAAATGAAGGTAAGATTGTTCAAAGTATATTCCTACCCTTGTTTCCATCCTTAATGTATGTCTGTCTTACTATAGGATCCATCAGAGACCCAGATGGAGCCTGATGTTGACACATTAAGGAGGATGCGACGCTCAGTGCTTGGGAGGAAGGTGGTGATGAGGAATGATGGAAGGAAGAAGACGAAGAAAGAGAATGTCCTCTCTTCTCAGTTATCCAGAAATAGTGCTGGTGAGTGCAGCTGGTGCGAGCAGCCATCTTGAAAATATACATTTGGAACATTTTTGAAAATGTAGTGCATCTAACCTGAGCCATCCAGGGTCACTTTTTACATGTTTACTTCTCTGAATTCGGAAGGACTATGAAATGAATGATATGGATGATTCCAGTGGTTAAAACCTTGCCAGTCATAGGTGAGCTACAGGGCCTCATGGGTCTGTGTTTTCTGGTGTAAGTCCTACTGATGTGACTGTTAGCTGAGGTGAGGTGAAATTGGGTTTAACGTCGCGTCCAAGATTATTGCAATCATTTAGCGACATGCATGCACGTGTGTGTGTGGTTTCTTGTACTAGTCTTGGCTGATGCCAATTTATAGTACTAGCCCATTGAGATACCATGCTGTAGTTTAACATGAATACCCCACTCAGACACAGTATACTGACTCCGAGCCGACCAGTCATTGTCTTAGCCCCTTAATGCCGAGCGCCAGACAGGTAACAAGAAGTACCATCTTTTAACGTCTTTTGGTATGATGCGGACGGGGATCAAACCCGGACCTTCCTCTCTCCGGGCGGATGCTCTACCACTAGACCACGGAGGCGGTCCGACAGTTAGGTACTTTTATCAAGTGTACGTATGTAATTTATGCTTGTTGTTATCTCAACAAGAGATAGTCCAGTAAAAAAACTTTTGTAAAATGGCTGTGCATCAACATGCTGACCTAATGTTTCAGGTGAGGAGGTGTTCTTCTCTGCATCCGATCATTCAGACGAGGATGTGGATGAGTGGTCTGAGTGAGTTGGAAATAATTATTTGATATTAATTATGTTATCTTTTTGTGCACTATCACTGTAGTCACTTACAATTGAGTAGTGGTTTAGAGTAGCAGGTCATCGTTTTGATCAATCTTGAGAACATAACTAGCTAGTACCTGTTCGACTGTACAGTCAAGTAGGAGGTGGTCTTGAGTTGTTATTCATAATAGCTGACAGTCCACTGAAATCAGGAGACATGTCTCCAGGCTTGCATGCACTAGAAAATGACTGGGATTCAGATGTTTTTCTTGTAAACGCCTTCAATACAAGATAACCTTGAAAAGGCCTGAAAGTAAGAGTAGTTGCATTGACAGGCCTGGAGGTAAGTGTAATTGAATGACAGGCCTAGGGGTAAGAGTAATTGAATGACAGGCCTGGGGGTAAGAGTAATTGTATGAAAGGCCTGCAAGTAAGAGTAATTGAATGACAGGCCTAGAGGTAAGAGTAATTGTATGACAGGCTTGGAGGTTAGAGTGAGTGAGTATGGTTTTACGCCGCTTTTAGCAATATTCCAGCAATATCACGGCGGGCTGGAGGTTAGAATAATTGTATGACAGACCTAGAGGTAAGAGTAATTGTATGACAGGCCTGGAGGTTAGAGTAATTGTATGACAGACCTGGAGGTTAGAGTAATTGTATGACAGACCTGGAGGTTAGAGTAATTGTATGACAGACCTGGAAGTTAGAGTAACTGTATGACAGACCTGGAGGTTAGAGTAATTGTATGACAGACCTGGAGGTTAGAGTAATTGTATGACAGACCTGGAGGTTAGAGTAATTGTATGACAGACCTGGAGGTTAGAGTAATTGCATTGAAAGGCCTGGAGGTTAGAGTAATTGTATGACAGGCCTGGAGGTTAGAGTAATTGCATTGAAAGGCCTGGAGGTTAGAGTAATTGTATGACAGGCCTGGAGGTGAGAGTAATTGCTTTGAAAGGCCTGGAGGTTAGAGTAATTGTATGACATGCCTGGAGGTTAGAGTAATTGCATTGAAAGGCCTGGAGGTTAGAGTAATTGCATTGAAAGGCCTGGAGGTTAGAGTAATTGTATGACAGACCTGGAGTTAAGAGTAATTGCATTGAAAGGCCTGGAGGTTAGAGTAATTGTATGACAGACCTGGAGGTTAGAGTAATTGCATTGAAAGGCCTGGAGGTTAGAGTAGTTGTATGACAGGCCTTGGGGTAAGAGTAATTGTATGACAGACCTGGAGGTTAGAATAATTGCATTGAAAGGCCTGGAGGTTAGAGTATTTGTATGACAGGCCTGGAGGTTAGAGTAATTGCATTGACAGGCCTGGAGGTTAGAGTAATTGCATTGAAAGGCCTGGAGGTTAGAGTAATTGTATGACAGACCTGGAGGTTAGAGTAATTGCATTGAAAGGCCTGGAGGTTAGAGTAATTGTATGACAGACCTGGAGGTTAGAGTAATTGCATTGAAAGGCCTTGGGGTAAGAGTAATTGTATGACAGACCTGGAGGTTAGAGTAATTGCATTGAAAGGCCTGGAGGTTAGTGTAATTGCATTGAAAGGCCTGGAGGTAAGAGTAATTGTATGACAGGCCTTACCTCCAGTAAGAGTAATTGTATGACAGACCTGGAGGTTAGAGTAATTGCATTGAAAGGCCTGGAGGTTAGAGTAATTGCATTGAAAGGCCTGGAGGTTAGAGTAATTGCATTGACAGGCCTGGAATCAGTATCAGTAACTGACCTGTGGCAGATGTTTCTAGGTTTATCTAGAATAATTCCCTTTGTCTTTCTCTCTCCCAGTAGACCAAGCAGAAATGTAGCCAAGTGGTCAAAGTGTAATTCATTATGCTGAAGATCTGAGTTTCAATTTCCATATGGGTTCAATGTATTTTGTTTAACCTCTCTAATAAGCACTTTTTGAAAAATTTAAGGCACATGTGGAGAGGAAAATATGCAGAAGTATTTTGTTGCCTCTTTGTTGCAGTTTCCTGCACATCAAGCCTGTAGACGACAGCACCTTCCCTTCCAACTCGGTGAACATCCTGGTGCGGATGACCTTGGGGGAGTTTGTCATCAACCTGTCCAGGGTCATGGACAAGCACGAGACTCCATATCTGATGTTTCGCGTCAACCGGCTGCGCATTGACTCGGCGTTGACAGTGCATGGCTACGCTGTCCACGCAACGCTGGGAGGTGTGCAGCTCGTAGACAAGATCCATGTCGGTAAGGCACAAGGGTTGTTCCTGGTCTGATTGGAACACCTCATTTAGACATGTCATTTCCCCGAGTTATGTTTCTGATTTCTTGGCCCCTGACGTAGACTGGAGCAGCTTTCACTTTGTTATAAACAAATGCAATAATGTCTTGTATTACCTTATACAATCAATGCAGAACACAACCATTATGAAAAATATATGCCTAGTGTATAAATTTCAAGCAATCAGTGTTTCAGTACAGATTTTCTATATTAATGTGTAACTGCAACTTTAGCCCTGTGCACTGTGGATTTTAATGGATTACCAAAAACAATTTCTCATGCCCCATGTGTAGAAGAGTAGAGGACCTAGGACCCCTTGGATACAGAATACATGCAACATGGAAACATAATATCATATGGTAGAGTCTTGTTTCTTGTTTCTTTACTCTCTCTTGGGCCTGTGAAGATCCGGGCTAGAATAGGTCTTCAGCAACCCATGCTTGCCGTTAAAGACGACTTTGCTTGTTGTTGAAGGCGACTAGGTCAGGCTTGCTGACTTGGTTGATGTATGCGATCAATGCTCATGATGTTAATCACTGGATTGTCTGTTCCAGACTAGATTATTTACTGACCGCCATCATACAGCTGAAATGTTGAGTGCGGCATTAACCACAATCAAACAAACACTTCCTTGACCAGTGTTTCGGTATAGACAGCTGTACGTGTGTCCTTTGTTCTCTCCACAGGCTCATCTGGAGAGTACATGGAAATCTTGGGCACAAATTCCGCGACAGATCTGGTCTCCATTGTTTACAGAAAGGTGGGTGCAAGGAATGTCATTCAGAATGATCACCTCCGACCTAGCCACCCACAGTCCCTTGTGGTCAACAATGAAAGTGCAGATAGATAGCGTCCTTGGTCCAGTTATGTTTCTACTTTACAAAAGCCCTCTAAAAGACATAACAGAAAAATTACCTATACAAATGACTGATCTTTAGTTGATACATTTACCAATTGTGACCTGTCAGAATCAATGCTGTCAGCCAGTTGTTGAACTGATCCTGGCCAATGACATGTGCTTTTGCTGACTATAGCTTGGAACCCTATTCACTCAATCCCAGTCAATAGCAAATTGTGGTTGTTCCAGGTGGAGGCGTCGTGTCCTGACTTCAGTGACGGTTACGGCGGCGTAGAGCATGCCCTGCTGCTGAAGCTGCACACGATGTCGGCACTGTGTGACCAGGCCAGCATGATCTACCTCAACGCCTTTATCCAGGGGCTCATCACCAGGTATGCCTCACTTCTTTCAGGGGTCATCACCTGATAGGACTCACTTCTAATGAACTCAAGGACATACATCGGTATTTTTTGGTTTACACATTTGACTGTCTGAGCCAGAAGTCACAATCTGATGTTTATTTATCTTTAGATGATAATCAGGTACTAGGTTTACCTGAAATAGCAAACAATCAGAATGTTGTTTAACAATAGTAATTTCTTCCAGTCGTCTAAGGTGGAATTGGGAATGCAGAGTTGCATTCCTTGGGCATGCCAGAAACTATGATTGTGGGCTTGAATCCTGGTTCGTCACGATTATGTTTCTAGGTTTGTCAGCTCCATAAACATACTCGTTGGTTTCACCTTATTGGTAAACGTCTCAGACCTGCATCACTTCAGGCTTTCCTCCCACATTAATTAAGCTGACATGCTGTGGTATAACTGAAATACTGTTAAAAGCGGTGTTAAACCCAACTCAGGCACTCACTGAGACTTTGTGTGTGACAGCGTGCACAGCATGGACATGAAGACCAGCACCAGCACCGTGATCTCCTCCTCCGACCTCAACAATAAGGACCGACCCTCCCTCACTGAGCGACTCACATCCATCACCGATGAAGGTATGTAGCTTCTTTGACTAACCACGGGCTTGCATGGCTCGGACTGTAGCTGGAATAGTTCTATGAAACAACATACACTTCTTCACTCCTCTTACTTTTGTTTTATACAGCTTGATTTAAGACCTGCAGAAATATTTATGAATGATGAGACTTTTTACTGAAGCTACTGACCGCCTCCGTGTTCTAGTGGTAGAGATTCCGCCCGGAGAGCGGAAGGTCATGATTCAATCCTCGGGCTGCATCCTACCAAAAGATGGTACTTATTGTTACCCTGTTTGGCGCTCAGCATTTAGCGGCTAAAACAAGGACTGGTCGGCTCGGAGTCAATATACTGTGTCTGAGTTGGGTACACACTTTGCATGCACATGGCTACATAAGTGCAATAATCTTGGACCCGATGTTAAACCCGATTTCACCTCACCTCTACAGCTACTTCTACATCTGGAAATTAATAATTCTTTTCTGTTCTTTGGTTTTTGATGGGGTTTTTTAATTATTAAGATACAGAAAAGCCACTATTATATGCTATGGTCTTACAAACCCATGTGGCTATGGGATAGAGGGCTGAAAAACAGGAGAGGGAGGAAGGAGAGAGACATGAGGATATACATTCATGATTTGAAAATATTTTTAATCCTTATAATAAAAGTAATATTTGTTTGAATTTGTCTTGTAGTCCTTCTATGGACTGTATTATTTTAATGATTTCATGTAAACATTTGTCCCTGTGTTACAGTGGACTATCTGCCTCCACGGTGTATCAAACTCAACATGGTGGCCAAACTGGAGAACTTGAGTCTCAGATTGTGTGACTCTGAAAACAGCCTCTCCCATATCGACATCACAGGTGAGTGCCCACAAGGCAAATAGCTTTTCAAGTGAGTGAGTGAGTTTGGTTTTACGCCGCTTTTAGCAATATTCGAGCAATATCACGGCGGGGGACACCAGAAATGGGCTTCACACATTGTACCCATGTCAGGAATCAAACCCGGGTCCTCGGCGTGACGAGCGAACGCTTTAACCACCAGGCTACCCAACCGCCCCTCTCAAGTGAGTGTCTGACAAACTTTGTTTTGTTGCTATCTGTACCACTCACATGTTCTAATATGTTGCATGAATACTTTATTATGGGAACCTATGTCCCAAACATTTCTTTTATAATTTAACCATTTGTACCATCCGCCATGTGTCTTCTATGATGGCCATGTTATTCACGACATTTCTTGTCATTATGTGTCATGTCTGTCATTGTGTTGTCTTCAGGTTTGGAGAGTCACATCCTGGCCACAACTACCAGGACAACTGTACGATTACGTCTCAAAGACATGTCCATCCAAGACTGCTCTGTCGGTGCCATATTTCCCAGGGTATGCCTGTCTTGTCGGCACTGAATATACTCCATGTGATAAATATGTATACTCTATGTGATAAAATAACTGTACTCCGTGCGATAAATGTGTATACTCTGAGCGATAAAATTACTCCATTTCATGTGATAAGTATGTATTCTCTGTGTAATAAAAGTACTTTACTCGAAGTGATCAATATCTCTACTCTGTGTGATTAAGTTACTATACTTCATGTGATAAATATGTATACTCTATGTGATAAATATGTATACTCTATGTGATAAAAGTGTATACTCCATAATATACTCAAAAGTTTTCATATTTCTTGCTCAAGCATTTGCACCAATGTTAATGGTAGTTGTGATATAACATGTAGGTTATAATATAAAATAATGGGAATGTATAATATTATTTCAACTCTGTCCTTGGAGTGATTATTTTCAAACTAAAAAGCTATTATAATTTTGTGCTTAAGATTTTTTCTTGTCATGCAGATCTTAGTCATTGAAGATGATAGCTGTTTCGATCTGAAGGTGAGTGTACAGTTACTGGGTGGAATTTGAACATTCGACCTAGTTATTTATCCTTTAGATATATTGATTCTGTTGTATGTTTAGAAATCAATACAATTGTTTCTAGTTTATTGGATACCCTTGGCTGAATCAATTTTGTGGAATCAACATTGGCTTAATCAAACTTGGTTGAATCCACCTTGGCTTAATCCACATTCGCTGCAGTTAATGTGGTCAAATTAACCTTGGTTGAATCACCCTTGACTGAATCAACCTTGGCTGAATAAATTTGCCTGAATGAAGATTGTTTGAATCAGTTAGACTGAATGAGTATTGACTGAATCTGGAGTTCATGTTTTACGTTTGATTCATGTGGATTGGTGTTTGATGTGTTTGTGTATGTTCAGTTTGTGAAGTACAACAAGAACTACGAGGGTCGTCTTGACAACCGGCGCCAGAGCCAGGCCCTGGACTACAGCATCCGTCTCCGTGTGGGGCAACTGCAGACCGTCTATCTCAGCAAGTTCTACTGGGAACTTATTGTAAGTTCCACTGCAGGCACTCCCAACATCTGTGGGGCATCACACAGTAATCAGAATAATGATTACTGAAAACTGATGTCATGTAACAGTGGGTTAACCATTGGGTTAACTTTGGAAAGATTAAATAGACACGATCAGTTTTCCTGATGGAATATTTATACATAATTGTGACCAACCATGAGATAAGGGACCTTTATAGATGAAAGAATCACAATTTTACTTCTCATTGTATTTAGAAACTACAGTATCTTAGGAACACAAAAATACAATTCACAAGCTTCAATTCTGTGGAATTACAGAGATACATGGCATCAAATATTTGGACACATTTTATGCAAAGATCCATTTTCAGACTTATAAATGCCTTTGTAATAATTGCAGATTTTAGATATGATGTCAGATTAATTGAACGTAGACATGTATGCTGAAATGTTTGGAAATAATGTTTTTATTACATTACGGACTAACGGGAGAAAAATAAGATATATTTTTACATTCGCACATATGGCGATTTTTACTGAAGTAAGTTGATGTCAAACGTCTCTGTCATCACACAATTGTTTCCTAGCACACATGGTTTGACTAGGTTTGTATCGTGTATTACACGTCTAATGTTATGTATATGAACAGTTTGTGGAGTGAATATGTTTCAGAGATTCTTTGAGCCTTTTATCAACCCAGAGATGACCGAGGCTGCCAGGGCTGCTGCCATGGAAACGGTTCATAGACAGGTATGTGTAACTACAGGCACACCAATGTCGCCACCAAGCAGATGAGAGCAATAGAAACCATGTACAATATGTGATATAGAAGTCCATTTGTTTAAAGGTATGTTAGAGAATTGAATGATTTGGAAGACACACTCACTCACTCATCCCTCACTCATCCACTATCCATTCTCTGACACACCGACTCTCTCCCTTCCTCACTCACTCACTCATTCACTGACCACTCACTCATCCACTCTCCACTCAACCACTCACTCTGTGATGTGCTGTCTGTGCAGGTTGATGACATAAAGTATCACACCCTCACTCGACTCACAAACTCACTCATCCACTATCCATTCTCTGACACACCCACTCTCTCCCTTCCTCACTCACTCACTCATTCACTGACCACTCACTCATCCATTGTCCACTCAACCACTCCCTCACTCACTCTGTGATGTGTTGTCCTTGCAGGTTGATGACATACAGTCTCAGAATGTGCGCATCAGCCTGAACTTTGACCTGCGCTCCCCGACTATCCTGGTCCCCCACGACTCCAAGTCTACAGAGATGTTCATGCTCAACCTCGGCAACCTCAACATCAAGAACTACTTTGACCACACCAGCATCCCCCCCGACATGAAGCAGGAGTGGAACCACATCTACGTCAATCTCAGCTCAGTCAAGGTCAACAGGTCAGTTTCTTGTACTCCATTGCTGATGGGATGCATTGACTTGATTGGTATTGAAACTATCCCAATAAGGGTCTTGTGCGTAAAATAACACAATTAAATGTAATTGGTGCTCTTGTTGAGCTACTCCTAAACAGGGTGGTGTCATAATAACCAACTTAGATGAGAACTTGGTGGGTTCAATGTGTCACCTTCCTCATTATGTGTCATCATATCCAAATAAGTTGGAACGATGCTCATGCTATCAACCACTGGTTTGTCTGGTCCAGACTGCATTCTCTTCATGATATATCTCGAATCATGCTAATAGAGGTGTAGAACAACATTATCTCTCTCGTCCACGCCATCAAAGCCTGTGAGGTGTGGTCTGGTACAGGGATTTATCTAGACCTGCTCAGAGACCGATATTGAGTTCTGCTGAAAATGATAGTAAAAAAATTCAATTGGAATTAAAACAATTCCCAATACCTCAGAATTTACAAAAATAAGAATATTAAAAATATCATATTTGAAAAATATCACTATTTGTTTCCCAATGTGCCTGCCCTAGACTCTCGGTGTGGAATCAGACCGCCTCCGTTGTCTAGTGGTAGAGCGTCCGCCCGGAGAGAGGAAGGTCCGGGGTTTGATCCCTGGCCGCATCATACCAAAAGACGTTAAAAGATGGTACTTGTTGTTACCCTGTCTGGCGCTCGGCATTAAGGGGTTAAAACAAGCACTGGTCGGCTCGGAGTCAGTATACTGTGACTGAGTGGGGTATTCATGTTAAACTGCGGCATGGTATCTCAGTGGGCTAGCACTATAAATCGGCATCAGTCCGGACTAGTACAAGCAGCCACAGATGTGCATGCACGTCGCTATATAAGTGCAATAATCTTGGATGCGACGTTAACCCAATTTCACCTCACCTCGGTGTGGAATCCTAGATGAATGCCTGTGGTGTTCTGTGTAAGTGTGTACATGTTCCTCGCGCAGGGTCCAACTGTCTCTGGCTGATGATGTGTGTAACATCCTCCACAACGTGCTGGAGCCTGTCAGCCTCAAGGCAGATATCCGCATGGCCATCAAGCCTGTACTATCTGATGTCAAAATCGACATCTCGGGGCATCTGGAGAAGGTCAAGGTCAGTAACATCAGAATCCAGGTGTCCGTGTATTACATCTACCCTGACAAGTAGGTCATATCCAGGGAGAGAAACCAAGACTTCATAATCATCTATTTGAGAATTGAATGAAGACTCTCACTGTCCAAATGTCCTCACTTCTGAGATAGATATCTGCCAGTTTTTAGTTTGCCCCTCATCACAAGGAGACCCCAAACCCCAGATTTGAAACAAGTTTCTCAAGCTAGTCAACTAATCTAATAATAGCCAAAGTAAATTATACTTAATCGGAATTCCAGAAGTTGATGTGGGCATAATATCAATCAGTGACATGACATTTTGTTTATTTTGATATTTGGATTAATAATTTAAGATAAAGATGAAAGTATTGATGCATATGGCACTCAACTGAAACTATCTTATTCAGGCTCTCCTTTTATACTTGAGTGAAAAGAAGCAATTAATGTTAGCAATATCGTGTGTATAGCTACCAAATGCGAAGGAATAGTTTCAAATGTGATACAAATGTAATAGCTACAGTCGTAACAGCGGTTCTTATTGGAATCAGCACATGACCGCTATTGAAACTGCAGCATTGGCAGCTGAAGACATTTGGTCATATCTGTTAAACAGTTACTGTCACCACAGTGCGCGAAACATGGCTGACAGTTAATGCCCATTGAAATTAAATTATAATTCCCCTTTGATACAGATTATTCCTTTTCTGCAAAAATGTTTTTTGTATGCATTATCAATGCATTTTGATGGGAGTCAAATGGAAAACTTATGAGTCATAGAGCTATATAAATTACTTCACCAATAATTTCATTCACTGTTTACGTCTGAGAGCTAGATCTAGTAAATGCACAATAATTGTTGATATAACAGGGCTGATAAAAAAGTCTGTCAGTCAGTGTCAACAATAAGGAATTTGTCTGTGGCTGATTGGCACTTAAACAATAATATTAATTTATATATTATTTTATCGGCATATATCAATACCAGATCCCGATGTGTGTTTTGGCTACCAAACAGTTGCCAAGATTGCTGGGATCTGGTGGGCAGATGGGCAAGATGTCGATCATCTTCAGCATGTTCGGAGACCATACCTGCCCATTTATTTGCAATAACTGATACAAGAACACATGTCTCCCACTTTAGATAACAATTTCTGATGCATATGAATACTAGTTGCTCAATGCAGTGGATTATATGCTTTTTAGTCAAGACTTCGAGTCAGACACTGAAAGAAAATACTTCACTTGTCCCTTATTTGTTTATCGCCGCCATTTCTAACATGCTATTTTTCCGGAAAGGGTGTTGTCAAGTAACTACAACGGCTTTTGACGGATACAGCCAAAGATATTCCACTTGATTCAACCGAGAATCCCATACTGGCTGTGCACGTATTTTCCGTTAACAACCGCTGTCAAATCTCAGTGTTTCTTTTCATTTGCATAATAATTGCATTCAATTTGCCTTCATTTTATTCAAATAGTTAGGAGGGTTTGTTATTTACAAGGTCTTGACATGTCTCTTGTTCGGACTTTGCAAATCGACATTTTATATCATGTCTTGAAAAATAGGTGTGACCCCTAAGTAGAGAGTCACTGCCTCATGTGTGTTGTAAGAGCCACAAGGGCCCATTCCGTCCTTATCGAGGGGAGTGCTAACCTTCTCTCCTTTCTAACAACACATCAACAGGGGGTGACTAGACAGTATATATAGCACAAGGGACTGTAAGCTGCCATCGTTAGGTTCACCTCATTAACATTCTCAGACCACAAGTAATCTCATTAAATTCAAATTTATCTCCAGCTCTTTGCAATATTACTATTTGATATTGTTCTTTGGTCTTTTCAATTGTGGTTATTGTTTTGACATGATATCAGCATTAGATATGTAATGAAAGTAGATAATAGTATGTGTAACGGTTGATTCGGACACCATCTTTGTTTGGGATTTACAGAAATGAAGTTATCAGAGTAAATTCTATAAATTCAATATATTACATTAACAATATCAATTTAGAGTACATTATTACATTCATGTAAGGTCTTTTATGTAAAAACTCATCTGAATGTATTGGGTTTTTTCACATTATAGGTCAATATATTAGCAAAGGATTTACAACTGGTGAGAGGGATCCTACAGGACAATTTGTCAGAGGGAGCTCCACAACCAACATCAGGTAGGCAGAGCCTGTGACAAATAGGGACACAGCAGGGAATAGTATTCCCTGAGGGTAAAACGAAACAAGAACATGCAGATGACTGCATGGGTGACTGTGATTTAGTGAGACACTTCACTATGCAGAGTTATGTCCCTTAGCTGCCAAGATCTGGTAATAGAGTTCAAATCCCAGATTTGTCCTGAATGTGTGTATTTGTTGGCCTCTGTGTAGAAATAGTTCACTTCAGAATAGATGTTAAATTAACAAGAAATTGTTTGTCACTTCTCTGTTACTATGGTAACTACTGTGTTGCTATGGTGACAGGTATCTATGAGTCCCCGACAGTACAAGACCTGCATCTTCAGCACGATCTCAGCATCGACACCACCACACCCATCAGCGAGACGAGGGAGAGTCTGACAGACGCCGGACACAAGGCCTCCACAAACTTCCTGTTCCGCTTCGAGGGAGTTTCAGCAACTCTGTTTGAACAGAGCTCACCCGAGGAGGTGAGACATTTTTCTAGGTTCCCACACAGCCACTTTCCTAAATGTGTAATAAAGACTACCTGTGTTTTATTAAGAGTGTCATCCACCCTTATTGTAAGTTCATATCAGTCAAGAGTGGTTGGGTGACTCAGTGGTTAAAGCACTTGCAGGACTGGGTTCAATTCCCCCATGCTAAATGTGGAGTAAGACTGTACTCACTGATTCACTCAGCACTCAACAAATGAGCTCAATTAATAATGAATTCAGACATTGAGATTCTCTTAAATATAATACTGTCATGGATATTAATATGTATTATTATTACAACTCATTATCATTTTCATAATTATATAATCTGCTGGGATTCAAGGTAAATAGACTGAAATTTATATTTGAAATTGATTGTAACTTCCAATCACTCAGTAAAGATAAGTTGTTACCATACTGTGTTACAGGGCTCTCTCTGCAACAGCCTCTGCTGCATGGACATGGAGAACATCAACCTCAGCGCCATCAGCCAGAGTGACGGAGACCTCAAGGTCACATTCGCCCTCACCTCCCTATATATAGATGACACGAGGCCGGACAGTGACCTGGCCAACAAACGGTAAGTGTGCCAAGTTACAACAGCATACATATTGTGTGTATGTGTTCCTACTTCTTACAGTCTCAGTCAGTGTCTGTGTTCATGTTTCAGGATGCTGTACTCCGCCAAGAAGTGGCAGACGTCATATTGTATGTTCCTATTTCTAGCAGTCTCAGTCAGCCTCATATTGTGTTCCTATTTCTTGCAGTCTCAGTCAACGTCATATTGTGTGTTCCTATTTCTTGCAGTCTTGGTCAGCGTCTGTGTTCATGTTTCAGGGTGTTGTACTGCGCCAGGAAGCAGCAGACATCATATTGTGTATTCCCACTTCTTACAGTCTCAGTCAGCGTCTATGTTCATGTTTCAGGGTGTTGTACTGCGCCAGGAAGCGGCAGACATCATATTGTGTGTGTTCCTATTTCTTACAGTCTCAGTCAGCTCTGTGTTCATGTTTCAGGGTGTTGTACTGCGCCAGGAAGCAGCAGACATCATATTGTGTGTTCCCACTTCTTACAGTCTCAGTCAGCGTCTATGTTCATGTTTCAGGGTGTTGTACTGCGCCAGGAAGCAGCAGACGTCTGACGAGTTGCCGCTCATGTCACTCATCTACAAAGTCAGCAGCGATGGCAACCAGAAAGGTGAGATGGCACAAGTAGAGGCTGGGTGGAGAACAGGATTATCTGTGACAACCACCGAATTGGTGAAGTGGGTATAATATCCTATGCCCCTTTCCACTAAGTGATCTTACATTGTAACTTACATTCTTTTGCATTGTCTTAGGATAGTAATAGCGGAACTGGGCCCTTAGCTACAATGAGTAACCTGCAGTGCGAAATTAGCCTACAGTAGGTCAACTATAAACAAGTATTGATTTTAATTGTTCAAAATAATTTTACAGATTGAAAAATATCATTTGAGCCAGAGTTAGTACCACAGTGTTTGTATTACTACTTTTGAGGAAGAATTAAAATGCAGGATGTTTTACTGTTGTGTAGTGGTGTAAGAAAACATGAAACATCTTTCTAACCTTTACTCAGGTAACTCTAAGCCGAAACAGGGAAAATATTAGCCACACATTTGTATCCCCAACTGAAGTTCTTCTCGAGTAGTCACTATTCAAGTTCTGTCCAAATGTATGACCATACACAACATTTGGTGTCACCTGGTGTTACCGACCTTGACCTCTGACCTACATGAAATCTTACAAGAGAAAAGCACAAATATGAAAGATAAATGTATCTATTCAATTTGGAAATTGGAAATAAGCACAATGTGAATCAACCTCTTTCTGACGTCCTGCTTCTGTGTTACCAGCGGACCTGATGGTGGAGAAGTTGCGTCTGAACGTGTCGGTGCCGTACGCCGTGGTGCTCTACTCCTTCTTCCAGGCCTCCTTCCAGACAATCGGGGACACCAACAACTACTCCATGGAGGCCTCCACGACCTTCACCCCTCCGGTCCAATCAGCTCCCACCACCACGCTCAGTGTGTACGGGTCACTCAAACAGCCGGAGATTGTCCTGTATGCTGACCCCTGCAACTACGACAGCAGGGTTATCGTGCTCTATGTGAGTTGAAACTCATGTACCGTGCGTTACATGTATCAATAGCTGGGAATAAAGAATGTTATGAGTCTGAAGGTCAGGTGTCCATGAACATTCAGCTGAAAACATCATATACCCGCTGCTTTTGACACTTGTAACAAACTTTTCTTTACGATTTCACAAGTTACTAAGAATTATTTGGTAAAACATTTGTGTGTGACACTAGGATCTCTAAATGGCTGCCATCAGATTCTCAACTTGGTAAACTGAAGTGCAAATAGAGTCAATTTTGATGTGCCAAGCCAGTGACTTCACATCAAACAGTATGATGTCCCCCAAGGCGATCCGGCTGCCTTGTTGGGTTTTTACAGCAACTGACCAATCAGATAGCAAGAGTCTTTAAGAGTAATGATAAGAGTATATACAAATATTGTGTATTGTATATTATGTTCAAATATGCACCTGAGTGAAACAAACACCAGTGATGTATGCAGCCCTGAGGCCCATGTTACCCATCAAAATCAAATATGTTATGTACTTTTTATGTAATTTGAAATGAATATTTTTCAAGAAAAAAATGCTTTTGGTCATATGATTGTTAAGTAATTTCAGTGAATGTATCTGTTAGGCTGACGTGGCGTTTGAGTACCGGACAGACCAGGAGAAGCAGGTGTTCTGGTCCCGTGTGTCCAACCTGCAGATGGCGTCCTGCATCCGGACCTGGGACTCCTCCAGCAAGAGTGTGGTAGGTGTCTCAAGCAATTACTGTGGAACCCTGGGAAGCATGAATACTCAAGCCTATAAATAATCCCATTATCAAAGCTTAAGGCTAAAAAATCATAGAGGTCATAAATAAATCTTTTTGTATGTAATGGGCTATGAGATACCCCAAATTAATCTAACAGTAACTAGTGAGATATATCTCCCATTTCTGCACTTTTTTTCTTGAGTGTTGAATCATTACACCTTTCTGGTTGTGGGTTTTTGGGTTTGAATTCTCCTCAGGGAGCTGAGAATGCACTTGAAAGGCACACAGATATGTTGCCTGGGTGATAACATATCCTATAACCATGGTAACCATGTCTACCTGCAGCTTCTGGCTCCCTGCTCGCTGGAGTTCACGCAGAAGTTCCTGTATGACCAGAGCATGACCGAGATGACGGTGGACGTGACCAAGGTGAATGTGTATCTGTCGGCCACGGTCCTACAGCTTCTGTATGACATCTACCAGAAGATCCAGCTGCCACAGACACCGGTACATACAACAGCTCTTGAATGGGTGGATTGTGGGTGGATGGAGTTTGAGTGGGGTGGAGAGGTTTGATTAAAATAAGCTACCAACACCCCATTGTTGTCGTATGGCAAACTAAAAGGAGGATTGTGAGGGGGTGGAGAATGTCTGGCCTAAAATTTTATTTGATTCACAAGGGGAGCAGTTGTTAAAAGCCTTGCCTTATAAAAAGATTCTCTACAGTTGATAGAATGAGTAGACTATGCTTGTCGTAAAAGAAGACTAACGCAATCGGGTGTCAGACTAGCTGACTTGGTTGATGCATGTCATCAATCCCAATTGCGTGGATCGATGCTCATGATATCAATCTTGGATTGTCTGGTCCAGACTCGATTATTTACAGACCGCCGTCATATAGCTGGAATATTGCTGAGTGCGGCGTAAAACAAAGAAACCAACATGCAGTACAATATGTAATTATCTGTGTTCCAGACGGACAGCGCCAAGCCGGAGGCGGAGACCAATGACGTGAAGGGCTTGTGGAAGGTGAAGGCTGTGAAGGCCCAGAGATGGCTGCAGGACAGAGGTAAGCTCAGTCTGAGACATTAGTCACTAGACCGAAGCCTGAGTCTAGTAAAATATCTTTTGGTCTTGTAAGCTTTGGTTGTAAAGTCCATACATTAACACTGAGATCTACTCAAAATGATTGGAATGACAGGTTCAGGATAGTAGATTCAAAAGTTTTTGGCACAGACTGTAGCTCAGTCGTAGAATCATTCAGCTTTTCTAGACACATTTGGTCATAATAAAGCTTTTGTACCCAATACTTGCCACATAGGTCATGATGCAAATAAGATGAAGATTGGATGGCTGTAAATGCTACTGATGACCTCTTGGATTGTTTACTGTGTACTGAGGAAGATCACCTCACAGTTGTGTACTGTTTCAATTGTGTCATCATTTTGTCTGATTATTAAAAGAACCATTTATATCATACATTGTTTTGTACTTAAGTTATTGATCATTGATCATGGGAGATTTTTTGTGCTGTGTTGGTGTGCAATGGTTTAGATTTTACTCTATGGTGATTGTGTCTACTCTTTGTGTGTATATTTTAGAATTACTGATAATTTTCTATATCATCTCAAACTGACTCCCACAGTAGATATCGCTTGGGTGAGATCAGGCGAGATATCTACATTGTAGATATTGCGGCAATGAAATTGCTTCACAATGCTTTGCAGACCATTGTAACATCATTGGTTACCATGACGTCACGATCAAATGACATCACTAATGGCTCTGCTACTGAAGCTGTTAGCAGTACATTTTACACTAAAGACACTGCTTATTACTGTCTACAAACTGAAAAAGTTGGAAGAATGTTGTTGAATGATACATACAAGCTCATCCAAATGTCTTTTGATATCAAATATATCAACACGAGTTGATAAAAGTGGAAAAATTCCTCGGCAAGCCTTTGAATTTTTCCACTTTTATCAGCTTGTGTTGATATATTTGATATCAAAAGACACTCGGGTGAGATTCTCTATTTTTTAACATATTATTAATTGGTGCTTTAATTTGTAACTGGATGTTTTGAATGCTACTGAAGTGATGTTATTGCAACACTTTCACCTCATCTGTTTACAGAGGATTATGCTGGCATAGCGTCTGCTCTGCGACCACCAGAGACTCCAAAAGAAGTGATCAAGGTGAAGGTTGAGGAGATCAACGCCATGTTTGAGGTGGAGAACCTCGACCAGCATGTGCCCATGTTGAGCGTGAGGACGTCGCTGGAGGGGAAGGTGGTTGACAGACTCACCAAGGTGAGCAGACGACACCTGCTGTATTGTTGTGTCCAAAGTAAGCAGACAACACTAATATTGTATTGTGTCCAAAGTAAGCAGACGGCACTACTGTTGTTTTGTGTCCAAAGTAAGCAGACGACACCTGCTGTTGTGTTGTGTGCAAGGTGAGGAGATGACAACTGCACAAACGTCTTTCATTGTAGGGGTTCTTGTTAATACTGGTGCTTAGTTCTAATAACATGCCATAGTGGAAGCAGGCTGACACTGCTATTTAATCAAGGATATTTTATCTTGTTTCTGCCAAAGTGCATTGCCTTGCAGTGAACACATTTAAGTTAAAATTCTATATGAACATGTTGGATGTTTTTGCTCACAGACATAAATTCTGGGTTCAGTGCTTGAAGTTTCAAGGTTCATTAAATCTTTTTTATTTTCAAATTCCATCTGAACCAATGGTGAAATTTCATAACATTGGCAAATCCATGTGTAAATCTCCTGAATAGTGGGAGAAATGATCTCAATCAAGCTTTGTATACTCCCTGTGATTAATGTTTGTATCATACGAGGATTGTACCTGCAGTGAAATCTGTGCCACTTCCAGTTTCATGTTGAGGCAGAGTTCCACCTGGAGGTGTACTTCTTCAACGAGCGGCTGAGTGTGTGGGAGCCATTGGTTGAGCCAGTGTGTGAGAAGGAGGGACTCTACAGACCATGGGAAGTCCTCATCAAGGTAGGGAGTTACGATGTTTATTCACCGTCCAGCGTGGGATGTTATTGTCTTTCTTCCCATCCACGTATTGAACCAAGATTCTTACCAGATATGGAATATTATTTTGTTGGTGCTTCATCATTGTAGTTATGTTGATAATACATACCGGTACTTGCATAGTTCATTGTTGACTTTCCAGATTATCAAGGCTAAAGGCTATCCAATGGCGTGTACATATGAGGACAGTGACCTTGACATTCCGGACTGTCTCCAGAACGAGGTTCAGAATATGATGCACCGCTCTCGGGTGAAGTCCAGCAGCTCTGAGACAGACACAGATTCGTCGACGGACATGACTATCATACGTCACCGATCTCTGAGACGAATCCGACATGGTAGTGACCGCAGCTATGGTAGATTTCATTTGCCTGGCTATATTCTACTAACACCTTTCCCTGATGCTGTCTGTATGATTAAACTGCTGTTTTGATCTGAAACATTTTGATCATTATCCTAATCAGATGTCTGTTTATTGCATGACATATTTAACTTAAATTCACAAAACCTTCATTATTGCAACCAGTACTGACATTTTCTAACCTTCGAATACCAATGATACATGTCTGAATAAGAGCAAGCTGTCTCATCTTTGGCTTAAAACTTTAATTGGATCATTTTGATAACAGGCTAAGAAATACAGGAGGTGATTCTCAGGCCAGAATTTCTCTCAAATTTGAGCTGAATATGCCATTGTTTGCCCGTTTCCATGAAATATGCTGACAGCCATTAGAACGATGGTCAATGCTGGCTGTTTACTGCCAGCACAAAGAAATGCAAATGTATCATGTCATAACCACCTTTTTTCAGATGTTGAGATAAGGGAAAGCAGATAGTGGTGTTGATCTGTATTTGAATATTGGTTGAATAATGTGAAGTCACATGATTGAGTTGATGTCTGCCCATAAACCAGATGGCATGTGCTTTGGTTAGTGTGCCGATATCAGAGCTGGCATTGGGACTGTATGTAGAAGCAACATGTTTTCATCCAACTACATAAAAGACGTTAAAGACCACTCGATTCTTTCATATTACTATAGATATTCTGTCATGGTTTGAGGACCACCCAATTCTTTCATATAACTTCAGTTAGTCTGTCATGATGACACACTGACAGGCTAACTATAGTATTATGAAAAAATCTGGTGGCCCTTAACTTCTTTGAGTAATTTGGTTGTAATTTTAAGTCCCTCGTCTTGAGAACCGAGAAAAAATGTGTCTAGCCTTGTAATTTAATACAAAGAGAATTTTGATCATCCTTGAGTTTCAAGTGATCAATATTGTATACAGACCACTCTTCCCTGTATGAAAACATGGTGTAGTATTCAACTCTGATGTACTTGTTGATAAGTGGAAGACAGTAGGAGAGGTAGAAGGTAGACGTTAGGTGTTCTCTCGATATATGCAGGTGGCTGGGTATTGCTAGTTTGCTGTACACAGTTGCTTCCCTTAGCTGTGTCAGGATGCTTCGAATTTCTAGGTTTCCCAATTATGGTCCTTTCTCTGTTCATCATTTTAGTAACTGTCTAGGACTTGCATCAATTTGGGCATTTCCCACATATTGAAGGTGACAACTGCTCCCTGATATAACTCAAATGTTTAAAGTGGTGTTTAAAGTGGTGTTTAAAGTGGTGTTAAACCCAACTGACTGCCACTCTCACCCTTTTTGTAGATCTCATTTGTCGCTTTTCTTGTTGTTGGAATATGGGAAGTGGGAGACATTGCATTGTTGTTGCTATGGTGATGGAAACACTTCATGCGTGATCATTGACATACCAAGTTTCATTACATCAGAATCAGCTTGAGCAGCAAGAGGCTAAAGTATTTGTGTACCCGACACTTTGTTTCAGAGTCTTTAAGTCACCATAGTAGTATACAAGGGGAGTCGGATTCGGAGCCTGAAGGCTTCATCCATAATATAACCAACAAGCTTGGAAGCATCTTCAGCAGCGATAGTAGCGATGCTGACATCAGCGAGGCGGAGGAAGCAGATGACCTGTTTGACCCATCTCTAGATAAACCCGTGTTTATAACGTCTCGAGGACCGGTGCACGTGTCCACCGGTTAGCAGCTGATGTGTTGTGACTTGTAGTTCAATGTGCATCATTGTTTCACACTCCGTGCCTGCGCTCTGCACTAATTATATTAATCAGCTGTTTTATTGGCTGTTCCATATTCTAATGAAATATGTTCATTTTGGTTAAGTTTTTATAATTACTTTTTAGGATTCATTCAATATTCATTAATAAAGTGGATAGTTATTGTGTCTTTGTATTGCTGTTTTTAGATAAGACAGTTTGTCTGTGAAGTCTTTATTTAGAAGTTGGTAGAACGTGAGGATCTGACACCTTTTTATGGGTAACAACTTCTGTATTCTTTGTAATAGATCATCTTTCAGGGCAACTTCTTGCCCTTCATCCGGTGAATACTGAGTAAGTGTATTGCAGTGTCTTTCAAAAACATTTTGAGGCTGCTAGCCCAAACTTGGCTCTTAGCATCATTTTCAGTTGATTTAGCAATATTAAATAGATTATTATTTCTGAGCTAACAAGACTGAACAGAATTTTACTAGACTCAGTCTTCGGACTAGTGGCTCAAGTCGCAGACTTGTATTGAGGTAATATATATACATGCAGATGTTGACACAAAGTAGGACTAATGTACAAGGTAACAATATAGGCAGGTATAGACAATAGGATGAACTGGAGAGAAGCCCATTAAACAATGAGGTTGTAGTGATGGGTGTGGTAACAAGGGGCAGACCATGGAGCTTACAAAGAATAAAGGAGTTGGTATCCATAAAACATGTCAGATATTCTGTGTGACTGTGGTTTTATTTTTCAGTGTTGTTATTCTGTATAGTTCGTCACCAATCTTACCATTCACTTGAATGACATGTGCTTGGTACCTACGTGCTTCTCCTTGCGTGCGTTCATGGGACTTTGTTTTTTGCTTGAAGTTGCTTCTTGGTACTGAGTGCAGGTGTTGCTGGTGGCTTGCGTCTAGATGCATTTTACAGAGATTTTGCCAGGGCATGTGATTGCTGGATTCAGGATATTTACTTACAATCACTCATTATAAAACGACCTGTGTGAAAAATTGCTCAGAAAATAATCAAACCCTCATTTGAAATATCACAGTGTGCAGTATTTTTTATCAATTGAAACTATCATTACTTGTAAATAAATTCAAAGTAGTCGGTCACTAGTAAGGAAATCGCAAAGTCTTGCATGATGTAAACACAGTCTGTCATACTCATGACTGTTATGTTTACTACGAAAACAAAAGTAAATGAATTCCAGGAAATCCCTGAGATATAAATTTGCAAGCGTCGATCACCGCAGTCATTGTCTTTCAGAGATTTTATGCAGATGGACTGTGTGTAAAAAACACATCCATGATCTTAGCTATGACTTTCATACACTCCACCTCATGTTAAAAGGAAATCCCCATTTCTGGAACTGAAGAGGGACCCCCCCCCCCCCTCATTTATATATTTCTGGCAGAATCTCCAGTTTAAACGTCATTTTTGTGTTGTTATTAGATTGTTAGTAGATGTTTGCATTTATTTGTTGTTGTATTTTACGATACATTTGATTATAATATTTTGAAGAAAACACAGAATTATAATTGTAATACACACTTAATGAATTGGTCATTTATTTTTGGAGGGAAAAAATTACCAGGCATGTAGGTTATGAAAAGGAACTTTAAGAAAGCAGTCTTTGGGTAAGGTTTGAATAGGATATCAGCATTAGGTGTTTGATAGGTGTTAAGAAGTTGGTCATTCATGGAGACATCCTACAAAGGTATCCTACTCAAGACAAGTTAAAGAACACCCAATTTGTTTAAATGACTATAGTTAATCTTTTATGTCATGAATACCACTACCGATTAACTATAGTCATGTGAAAACATTGAGTGTTCTGTAACTTGTCTTGTGTAGTTGACATGGGTTCCAGATTCTGTATGTTCACAAACTAGAAAAGTACAGAAGTTGAAATCTATACAGCTTGTGTCTCTAAGATATCAATGATATTAATAATTTCTCCTAAATACAAAATGTGACTGCAGTTTATCCACATAATAAATGGCCATTTTTGAAAATATTCCAAGCAATAATATGTGGATAATTTCCATAGTTACAACAATTATGCTTGGAAATCTTTTTTTCCAGACAAAAGAAACAATGAATATCAAAAGTATTGTATTGGGATACAAATCATTCCGCACCCATTGTATCAGGATACTTATTGTATCGCAACCCCACCACATCGTTACACCTCTGTTGTACAGAAGGTTCTCTCTCAAACATTTCGGTTGAGAGTCGAGAGTATGTAACACCTGCTGATGTTGCAGGTGTGCATGGGTTTGATGAGCCGGACACTGTGATGATGGAGGAGGACGATGACACGCCCACGTGTGTGTATCTGATGGTGGACTCGGAGGACAGGCTGCGTCTCAACATCACACCACAGGCCATCAGCATCCTTAGAGATGTTCTACAGGTACTGAGAGACAATGCATTCACAATAACTTCATTTCAGTGAGCTATCCTTGAAGGAGTGAGTAAGTATTCAGGACTCAAAGTTGCGACTAAAACGGTCTCCAATTCGACCTAAATTTCAATTTGTCTACTGTCTAAAATTCAGAGGTAGCCAAATGCCTTCCTTGAAAATATCTTGTGGCAACGAATTTCTATTGCTTCGCATTTGAAAACACAAAAATAAATAACAGCTAAATGTGGAAAACATGTCTCCTAATAATTGTACTTGCGTATAAGTTCTGCTAAAGTCGACAATGAACAGTGATACATAAACATTAATGTAATTAGTATCTTATTTCAGTTGACAATGCTCATTGGGTACGCAAGGATATACCTAAATAATCTAGTAATATAAATTGTATCATTGTTTGAGTCACAAATAAAATAAATCAAGTACAGTTTCCACTAATATACAATTCCAAGACTAATGCTATGACTTGTACATATTGTAACAGTTATTTGATAAAAGATAATTCCAAATGCTTTTGGCTACCAACAATATCGGCTTGATTTCTTGATTTTACCACTGGCTACCTGGAAAAAAATACCTGTAGCCATAATGCTACTTGGTAAAAATTTAAACTTTGAGGCCTGAGTATGGTTTTATACCGCTTTAAGCAATATCCATCACTAATCACTATCACGGAGGGGGACACCAGGAATAAGCTCATTGTTCCCATGAGGGGAATCAACCCAGGCCTTCAGAATGAAAAGTGAAGGGGCTACCACACCACCCCTATCCTTGATGGAACATTATGATAAAATTCTTGTAGTCTGAATTCCAGAATGTATCACAAACCCTTTCTCAATACATTATAGATAGAGTGTTCTTGAAGGTATTGGTGGTACTGAAAGCTCATGCATCTTATTCAAATTGAAAACGGAAAGTGTTGAAACATCTTATTAGTTTTAGAGAATAGTGGAAGGCAGTTTTGTTAATCACTGCAATTTTCATGCTCTGTTTCAGGCTTTAAGTGCCCCATCTGCATCAGATCTGTCCTCAGTGAGGACTCTCCCGGCCTTCGAGCTGGACAACAAGGTAATGCCTCCATTATGAACTACCCTCAGGTTACAGGTAGAATAGCCCCCTGTGATTCATGCTGACTTAGTCTAAGAGCTGACTAATAAGGAATGGTGATTACACAGTTATATCCTCCCCATGGAATATAAATGCCATAGTATGTGATAACTGTACTTCATGAATGTCATTGTAGTAACAGTACTTTGTGAATGTTTTCAGATTGGCGTTGGCTGTTACATCACTCTACATCCGGATGTCAAGGTGGGCGAGCACTAAAATTGTTCAGTCAAAATGTAAAATACCCCAGAAAGTGCATTAACCCACAATCATCCACTGCCTCAAAACAAATCCGAAAAATGAAATGTTTGAACAAACAAATTTGATGGTTTTCAAAACATGGATGCTGCTTGCTGACATCCTGATGACGTGCAGTATTCATGGCCGGAGGCCCATGTTTGTGTTGGATAGGGAGACAAAGTACTGGATGATAATTCTCTATGTCACTAATATAATAAGAATTTCTGTCACACTTAGGACTAAATAACAGTATGTTTAGTGGTTACCAAGATATGTATTGGTTACATGTGATTGTCAGATTGACTGGGCGCCTGTCTCCCAAAACAGGAAGACAGGTGATGGTCGATTTCTCATAGGTTGCCATTGGACGACACACCCATGTGCATCAATAACTGGATATGGTAGAGATTCGTACCACAATACTTGGCCGCTGCCTGTTGGTTAAGAGTGCTAAGCTAGCTGCACAAACCAGTAGAGGAACAAGCTTAATTTACCAATATCCAATAAGCAAGACTTTATGGTACTGACAGTCAATGTATGCATTAATTATCAAACACAATCTTATATGAGAGTCTTTATAAGTATTTAGAAGCTGGATATAATTATGACAAGGAATCTTATGTATAACAACTTCTGCCTTAACCATACACAACATTCCGGGCTACTTCTTGCCCTTTCATTAGGTGAATGAAGGGCCTGAAGGGTTGAATGTGTATAATGAAGAAGTTGTTATCCCTATGTTCCTTGTCACAATCTTGTATGTTAGTTTATGTGATAATGCCATACTAGTTGTCCATCTTTAGCAACCTATGCTTGTCACAAGAGGCGAGGGGGCATGGGTGGCCCAGTCGTCTAAGGCGCCGTGATTCGCTGTGCAGAGTTGCGTCCCTTGGGGATGCCAGAAACCTATGGTTGTGGGTTCGAATCCAGGTTTGCCCCGATTATGTTTCTAGGTTGTGATAGCACCATACCCATGCTCGTGGGCTTCACCGAAGTGGTAAATGTCTGAGACCTTCATCACTTCAGACTTTCCTCCCACATTAAGCTGATATAGCTGAAATACTGTTAAAAGCGGCGTTAAACCCAACACACTCACTCACTCACAAGAGGCGACTAATGGGATCTGGTGATCAGGCTCACTGACTTGGTTGATGTATTGTATCCAAATTGCAAAGATCAATGCTCATGATCAATCACTGGATTGTCTGGTTCAGACTAGATTATTTACAGACCACCATCATATGGCTGGAATATTCCTGAGTGAGGCGTTATACAACAAACAAACAAACAAACAAACAAACCTGATGTCTTGTGTATATCATGGTGGGTTATTGATGGCCATGTTGCCAGTATGTAATGACATTATAAACTGGATGTTATAACAATATATTCCTATCTCAGATCCATAAGGACCATATACATGGCTGTACCATCCTTCGTGCAGGAGAAAACAAGATGACCAACAACATGGACGATGAGGATGATATTGAGATTATCACTGATGAGGAAATCATTACCCAGCATGAGTAAGTGGAATATATAACAGTGATGATAGAAGGGGCTTGATATACAGAGGAAGGGAGATGAAGAGATGGATGGGAGCAGATGTATGATATACAGGGATGGATGTAGTGATTGTATGTAGTGTGATAATGTAATGGAGGCGGCAGGAGAACCTGAGTGTTAAAGTTATCAGTCACTGCCTACCTCACACGATCTCTCTGTCCATCACTTACTGCCTACCTCACACGACCTCTCTGTCTATCACTTACTGCCTACCTCACATGATCTCCCTGTCCATCACTTAGTGCCTACCTCACACGACCTCTCTGTCCCTCACTTGCTGCTTACCTCACACGACCTCTGTCTCCATCACTTGCTGCCTGCCTCACACGACCTCTCTGTCCCTCACTTGCTGCTTACCTCACACGACCTCTGTCTCCATCACTTGCTGCCTGCCTCACACGACCTCTCTCTCCATCACTTGCTGCCTGCCTAACATGACCTCTCTGCTATACCTCCTGTCAAATCCACCTGTTCATCACTTACTCTCTGTCTGTCTGTCTGTCTGTCTGTCTGTCTGTCTGTCTCACTCTCTTGACAGATGTTTATGTACATACAGATAAACTAATTCATTTAGAAGTTCAATATGACAAGAGTGACTTATGCAATTAAAGCAATGCTTCTCTGCAGCACACCGGACAGTCATGGTTTTGTGGAGCGGGCTCTGGCTGATGCTGGACACACTCTAGTCAGTGCTGGAGCCTTTGTATTCGACGATGACGACGACTACCTGTCCGGTGACCTGGTGGACAAGCACAGACTGAAGCTGCAGGTAGACATAGGGCAGACATAATATAATGTGGCAGATTTTACTAGTGCTTCCAGTGCTACCTGACATAGCACTTGACATGTTCTTTGATGCCAGATGCAGTGTCCATCGAAAACTATGGATTATAAACAAAATTGATACACAAATAAGTTTAATAGGTATTCATATTTTATTTAATGCATGCTGACAAATACATATTCATATTTTCTTGATGTATAATGATTAGATATATGGGAACAGTTATAACTGGCAGCAAGTATTTGAGCTGACATCCTACATGTATACTGATCAAAAGAAGTTAAGGACCACCTGCTTCTTTCATATTACTATAGTTGTTATGCCATGGCAGATTATATCGTGACACACTAGTAACTTACTTCTTATGTAATATTGGTGATATAAAGTACTTATACTGAGAAAAAGAAGTAAACATTCTTTTACATTATTGTATGCTTGTTGCCTTTATCTTCCCATCAGTATATTTGTGATTTGTCAGAGTTAGTCGTATACCTAGTGTTGGCATCATCGTCATGCTGATGTCTGTGGTTCCAGGTGGATGGGTTTGATCCACGTCCGTCACTGCTGCACAAGAGAGCCTGTAGGAGACTGTTGCCTCTCACACCGACCAAGGTGAGATAGGTGATTATGCATTCAGGGCATGATCTGGGGTAGAATAGGTCTTCACCAACCCATGCTTGCCATAAAAGGCGACCATGCTTGTCGTAAGAGGCGACTAACGGGATCGGGTGGTCAGGCCTGCTGACTTGGTTGATGCATGTCATCGATCTCAATTGCGTGGATCGATGCTCATGATGTCAATCACTGGATTGTCTGGTCAAGACTCGATTATTTAACAGACTGCCGTCATATAGCTGGAATATTGTTGAGTGCGGCGTTAAACCACAAACAAACAAAAGCATTCAGGGCAGTGGGGTAGTTGTTTAAGTGTTTACTATCCAACGAAGGCCCAGGTTTGATTCTCCACATGGGTACAATGTGTGATGCCCATTTCTGGTGTCCCCTGCCGTGATATAACTGGAATACCATACCACAGGCAAACTTAATCACCTACTTTACATTCAGTGAGGGGAGTCACTCAGGATAGGTGCTGCCGGATGGCACAGTGGTTAGTGCTGCTGTTTGGTAGAACAAATGCTAAGTTTGATTCTCACGATGGTAAAACATGTAAAGCTGTTGGTGGTGGGTTATTCTGTTGCTTAAAACATTTGCTTGTCAGTCAGTAACAGAGGTTCAATACCCCACATAGGTACAATGTTGTAAACCTATCCTTGATGTCCCCTGCTCTTTTATTTCTAAAATATTAGCAATAGCTATTATTATCCTCCCTGACTTAATCAACTATCAGTATTAACAAATGTGACCCACCAGGAGAAAAGGGACCTTATTGGAACAAGGATACAGTTAAGCTATGACCTAAAGACATTTGATGTCATAGCCATGTGTGATGTCATGTATCTCTGTATTAAATTTGAATTTAAGCTTGTGAATTGTATTTTTGTATTCCGAAGATGCTGTAGGTATCAAATATTATGAAAAGTCAAACTGTGATTTTTCACCCATAAGGTCCCTTATCTCATGGTTGGTCACAAATATTAACAAGTTTCTTGTAGTACTAAATATACCTCTCCAATGAAGTGTATATATCGCATATCTCCCTGAGTAATGTCTACCCTATATTCCCTCCCTGCAGTCCGAGGACATGGAGACCGAGGTGGGTACTGTGTACAAAGTGTATTCGTTGTCCAGTGTCCTCGTGAGTAGTTGTAGTCTTTCTTCCTCTTTGTATCAGTCTGTTTATTTCAGAATGCCCATAAGAACACACAGAGGTTTATATTTTCATATCACTCTTCTCAACATATTGTCATGTCTGTACCTTGCAGAAGGTGTTCTAACTTAGCCCTGGCCTGTCCGCTTGTGTGGTTACATACAGAACTGATCTGATCTGATGTCATGTTTGTACATTTCTACAGTCCCTTGTGTATTACTTTACTGTGTCTGTCTAACTGAAAGTTGTATCAAGTTTGGACAGTGGATCGAATTAGATTGCTTGATGATAAAGTAACATTTGGAACCATAAATGAAGTCCAGGGACCACTTGTACAAAGCAATCTTAGTGCAAAGACTGTATGGGAGTAAAGATGATCTTGGCAGTAAGATCACTTTGTGCAAGGGGGGCCCATTATTGATAGAGATTTGGATTAGTCAAAATTCCTGTATTGACAGAGATTTGGATTAGTCAAGATTCCTGTATTGACAGAGATTTGGATTAGTCAAGATTCCTGTATTGACAGAGATTTGGATTAGTCAAGATACCAGTATTGACAGAGATTTGGATTAGTGAAGATTCCTGTATTGACAGAGATTTGGATTAGTCAAGATACCAGTATTGACAGAGATTTGGATTAGTCAAGATTCCTGTATTGACAGAGATTTGGATTAGTCAAGATTCCAGTATTGACAGTGATTTGGATTAGTCAAGATTCCAGTATTGACAGAGATTTGGATTAGTCAAGATTCCAGTATTGACAGAGATTTGGATTAGTCAAGATTCCAGTATTGACCGAGATTTGGATCAGTCTACACTGTATGTAAACTGGATTCTGTGCATAGTAATCTTTTCTTATTGCTTGTGTTGTGACCAATTACATCTAGTGTACTTTTGACACAAGACACCTGCATGCCTGAAAATAGCATGACTCCATCCTTGTTTGTGATTAATACCTTGACAACAAAGCCACAACACACAACAAAGGCACAACAAAGATTCTATGGAACATGCTATTGAAAGACTGAATGGTTGCACTGGCTGCTGAATATGATGAGTATTTGGATGTGTGACCACCGTGGAAACTCAGCCCCACCAGCACCTGTATGATTGTGTGTCATCATACCTAGCCAGTAGGGTACTATAGTCAGTCAACCGTCAATACTAGGTTTGTAATATTTTATGTGCAATTAATAATATTTTCTTCATTGTTATTATGTAATTTTGTGACAGCTGACATGATCTTGTAGTGGGGGGGAAGAACAGACAATTTAACGTCTCACAATAATGACATAATGTGTTTCAAACGTGCTTGCTGCATGCATGACCAAAGGTCACCAAGGTCATTGTCGTGAGACTTTAAATTGTGTCGGCAGTCACCATCTTACATGATAACAATGGAGAAAATATGTTTAATCAGACATGAAATATTCCAAAACTGGTAATTTTAGTTAGGTCACTGATTATTATTAAATAATTACCAACTTTCGTCACGTGACTGTGTGTTTCATGGGAAATAATTGTGAAAAACTGAGTGCCCAATCTGATGGTTGACGGACTATAGTGACAACTTGTCCATTTGTTTGATGTATGTACAGGCAGCAGTGATGTTTCTCTAGCTGTAAAATTGCTGATAACTGCCACTCACTCATCAGCTGTTATGTTATGAAACAGCAGCAGTATGCTATGGTGCATCTTGATTATATTTTCCACTGTACTACTCAAAATAAGTCAAAGAACACCCGATCCTTTCGTATGACATATTAACCATAGTGATATGAAAGAATTGGGTGTTCTTTAACTTCTTTTGGGTAGTATATGCCAGTATATATTTTGTGTTTCCTTGTGTCTGTCAGTTCATTTTTTATAAAATCATGTTATTTCTTAATAAGATAATGAAAGTATTTTCAGACACATGTCTGTGTGTATTGTGTTCAGCAACATTGCTGACCTTGAGCTTTGTGTCAAGACTGGACACATACAGGCTGGTGTGGGTCACCTTGTTAAAGATCTAGTGTTGACTGACCTTTGTGTTTCCAGAACAGCATTAGGTATTGTCTGGTGCTTGACAACTTGTTTGTTTTACCTTGACCTTTGTGTTTCCAGAACAGCACTAGGTAGTGTCTCGTGCTTGACAACTTGTTTGTTGACCCTGACCTTTGTGTTTCCAGAACAGCGCTAGGTAGTGTCTGATGCTTGACAACTAGTTTGTGACCCTGACCTTTGTGTTTCCAGAACAGCACTAGGTAGTGTCTGATGCTTGACAACTAGTTTGTGACCTTGACCTTTGTGTTTCCAGAACGGCACTAGGTAGTGTCTGATGCTTGACAACTTGTTTGTTGACCCTGACCTTTGTGTTTCCAGAACAGCGCTAGGTAGTGTCTGATGCTTGACAACTAGTTTGTGACCCTGACCTTTGTGTTTCCAGAACAGCGCTAGGTAGTGTCTGATGCTTGACAACTTGTTTGTTGACCCTGACCTTTGTGTTTCCAGAACAGCACTAGGTAGTGTCTGATGCTTGACAACTAGTTTGTGACCTTGACCTTTCTGTTTCCAGAACGGCACCAGGTATTGTGTCGTCCTTGACATCGATATGTGGCAGGGCAGGAAGGTCATCAAGCTGTTCTCCCCTCTACAGGTGCGGAGTCTATCAACATCCAACATAGAAAACTAACAGGAACAATTTAAGTTTATGGAACTTGCCAGAGAGTTGTAAACGTGTTATGAAAAACCCTGGTTAGAAATATTCTTATTAGGTTGTTTACAATTTACAGATTGATCTAGGTTTTATGTGTTTTGATCAAATAAGGTTTGAGAATTGCATCTATATATTTGAAAAGCTCAGTAGGAGATGTGACTCACTGCTTGATTAATACAGTGTTTTGTTGACTCTCCAAATTTTATTATGATGTATACACATGTGTAAAGCGGCAAGATGACACAGTTAAAAGGCTGTTACATTTTCAACTAAATGTGAAGTTGCTGTCATATATACAACAAAAAAGAAGTTAAGGACCAGGGTCATGGCATGACAGATTAACTATTGTTCCTGATATTCTTTTGAGTAGTATATGTATTGAACCGTGACTAAATCCCGCCAGGTTCAGAACAGTCTGACCATGTCCATCGACATCTCCTGCAAGACAGAAGACCTCAAGAAATACAAGTCAACACGACCTCTGGCCTCTAACAATGAGTACACCCGGCTCAAGACACTGGCGCCACAGGAAGTGTATTATCTCCCCTTGTTTGTGGCCTACCACTGCCCCCTGTTTGTCAAACCAGCGGATATCAGGTATAGTGTATAAGATGGTGGCAGAACCTTTACAACATGTTGGCTATTTAGAAAATAGTGTTTCTGTTCTTGTAAACTGTATACTGCTTCTGTTTTATTTGTAGTTGTTTTCTGAGAATATCATTTGGAGGTGTTAGATTGTAGACAGAGTTTTTCCAGGTCCAAATTTGCTGGGTTAATGAAAAGGCAGCAGTGTCTGCATCGATCAGTAAATGTATGTTTACTGCCAAAAGAAACACGAACCATAGAAACATAGAGAAGAATGTATGTTAAGAAGATATGATTCCAATTTGTACCAATTAATGACAAAACTAACAATCAGTCAAGTGTTACCACAGAGTGTCTTTATTCTTTAACGATATGATGCATGTGATTTCCAAACTTTACTGGCTAATCCTGCACAAGACAAATGGAGCATCTTGAGTCAGGGATCTATGATGTCACATGTGATGCGTTCATGAGCATATATCGGTTCACACAACATACCAGTATGTTCGTTTGTGCATGAAACCCATCTAATATCTCCTGGATATGAGTAAGTCTTCATATATTAATCAACATGTATGGTATTCACGTTTCTTTTGGCATGATATTTGTTATAGTATAGTATAGGATTAATGTCTGTGCCAGATAGTTGGTGATTATGGTGCTCAATGATGACAAGATATAGTTTTGGCAGTGATTTACACATACGCTATGTTCAGCGGAATCATGTATAGTCCTGAATACATCTGAAGGCTTGGGGATGCAGATTTTTTCATGAAATGTGGTAGCTGGTTGTAGGGTTGTATGTTCCACAATCCTGGTGAGGTCTCCAACTCTTAAACTTGAGTGAGTGAGTATGGTTTTACGATAGTTTTAGCAATATTCCAGCAGTTTCACGGCGGGGGACACCAGAAATGGGCTTCACACATTGTACCCATGTCGGGAATTGAACCCGGGTCTTCGGCGTGACGAGCGAATGCTTTAACCACTAGGCTACCCGACCGCCCCCTTAAACATGAAAAACATTAAAAATTGATATAATGAACTGCAACTGTGCAATTGTGACTGGGATAATCCAGATGTTTTGTAAAAAGATGAACATGATACTGTTGTATGTATTAATGTGCTCACTGTCTGCTACAGCTATGGACTGTCTAACAACGCCATCTGGTGGCCGGAATTGATGCAGGCGAAAGAGAAAGCCAAGTATTTCATGTGTATGTCACAGAAAGAGGAAAAGAAGTCTTTCAATTTCAAGGTAAACTTGCAAATTATGATGACTGTAAATATGTATATATCTATATGTATTCCTCTAGTTCTGACAATGCAAAAGAATCGGACGGGCGTTTCTTAGCCGCTGGTATTGATAAATTGGAAACAATAATGTAAAGGTTAATTAATGTCAATAAATCTGTAAATCTTAGTGGCTAAACACTGATCCACTGACTGGGGTAATAATGTAGTCTTTGAGCATGATGTTTGCTGCATTATACATATTAATATTATTATCTCCTGCGACGAAGTGGGGGTTGGGGGTGGGGAGGGGTGTATATATAGGAATAGAGTTTTCCATCCATCCGTCCGTCCTTCTGTCTGCTTATAAAAGGGGACAAATTTTCTGAAAAATTATTAAAGTCAGTGAAATTAAGTTTTACACACTGATATTAGTGTTCGTGCTCTCATGGCCTAAAATTGGTGTCTTAGATTACCTTTCTACAGAGTTATGTCCCTTCCTCCTTGCTCTTCAACTTAGTGCATACTGTGTGCAATGTGGACAAGTTTTCTCAGAAACTACAGAAGTTACAAGAATGAAACTTTGCAACCTTATCTCTTCTTAAGGCTTTATAGGACTCTTTTGGTATAGTTTATATTCACTATTATGTTAACAAACCTCTAGTGATAACGCTGTTTACTTGTTCACATTATTATAGAGCATTTTCCATTTGTGTTAGAGAGATGCATGGAGGATGCTTTGACTGGAGAGGTCAGGTACACATTAGTTAAATGGTGTCTAATTCACCCCTCTGTCTAGGTTCTATGCAAGGACGGGTCCCCCCTGCAGCCTCCCCAGTCTGTGCCTCGCACCATCCCCTACTACAACATCAGCTTCCACTCCCCCGTCACCCTCCACAACTACCTGCCATACGACCTGCAGTTCTCCCTTGAGGTAAGTCTAGATTGATTGTCTCATCATTCATTTGCAATATCTTCAGTTCTCTGCAAACTCACACTTTATAAAGTCAGTCAGTCTATCAGTACAGCATTATCCTGTCAACTTGGAGTTAGTTCACATAGGCCACTAATTAATACACAAAGAAATAATGACAGAGTTTGTTATGGCAGAAAGTAGTTGATGATGCAAGGTACAGATCAGAAGCCTGAGTTACACGAAGAAGCTGGTTACGTAAATAATGTGTAGCAGGGCGTGGAGTCATCCCACAGATGACATCCTTACCTTGTCAGCTTCTGACGGGGTTAACCTCTTTGGTCATGTGGACAAGGCGTCCGACCTCTGATCAGAAGGTCCGTGGTTCCAATCCCATCACGGGACTCGGAAATTTTATGGCCGCTACAAATGCAAGAACAATATGCTGATGTAAACCTGGGTGATCTACTTGCTTCCTGTCTTCATCCCGCTGTTTCTTTGCCAGGGAACCGGAGCTTCCAGCAGCTTGACCCATGGAGAGAGTGCCTCCCTGTATACAGTCGACCTGCACAACACGTTCAGGCTTCTCATCACTGTAAGTTTGTATCCCATCAAAGTGGAAGGGGGATATAGGAATTGATGCTGTCCATCCATCATGTTTTGTTTCCGGAGCAGAAGTAAAAAGGCATGAGAGATATCTTAACTAAGCTTGGCACATAGATAGGTCTAGTGGTGCCTTTTGATAGTTTGGGATTTTTTTGAAAATTTATTTTTCGAGTTTCCATGGCAACAACTTTGACTTAGCCTGAAAATGGACATGTCATATTGGCGGGTTATATGAGTACTTCATGCTTGTTCTTGTTTGTTAAAAAACGCTGCACTCAGCAATATTACAGCTGTGACAGCATCCTGTTTGTTTGTTGTTTTACGCCACATTTAGCAGTAATCCAGCTATATGACAGCTGCGTGTAAATAAGTGAGTCTTGACCAGACAATCCAGTGATTGACATCAGGAGCAATTATCTACGCTATTGAGATAAGATGAAATGCATCAACCATGTCATATCAAAATATGTTAAAAGATGGTATTTGTTGTTACCCTGCCTGGTGCTCGGCATTAAGGGATTTGGGACAAGGACTGGTCGGCTCATGGACAGTTGTGTGAGAATGCTCATTAACACAAACCACCTGAAGGTTGTTCCTTGAAAACAGATTGAAGCTTTAAGTTAATGAGTGAATGTTGTTTTATGCCGTTGTCAGTGTAATTATTGCTGTGTCCAGGCTGTCTGTAAATATTTGAGATATTCAAGATCTACCAGAGGTTGATGGCATGAGCAACAAGGTATTATGTGCCAGTAACGATGCGGAACTATTTATTTCGTGCAGATCACAGATTATCTTGGCAGTGACTGGACAGGGAGCCTCGATGTGACGTCAGACATGGATGAGTTCAAGGCCATCTCCATGGAAACTGACATCAATATGGAGAATGTTAACAAGCATCTGAGTCTGAGCATCCACTCGAACCAGAGTCAGTCACTGGACCTGTACATCTACTCCCCCTACTGGCTCGTGAACAAGACAGAGTTGCCCCTCCAGCTTAGGGTGAGTGAGGCAGTCAGGCACTCACTCGCCTGGTACTTGAACACTGGGTGTCTGAATACTTTTGCCTATTGCAAGCTCCTGTTAAGTCCAAACTGCATCACACTATGGTCACACTGTTTCAATCTCATTAAAATCTTTTCACTCAAATATGACATCTCTATTCATGAAGATCTGAACTCACCTCCATAGGAGGTCACATCGAAGGAACTTTTTGATCTGCATCGAGGCTTGTAAATTCTCGAACGAGTGAGCGAAGGATTCAGGCAAGCATATCTGATGTCTGTATTGAAAACAAGTTTCGAATAGCATGAAGCTGCAATGTTAGTTTGAATATTTTTTACTTCCCGTCATTTCTGAGCTCAATGCCATCTACACCCAAAAGGGAGATCTTGCGAGAGTATATTTATGTTCTGTGGCGGCTTTTGTTTGCTAATGTCGAAATTTTCGAGTTGAGCTTGTAAAGAAATGAAGCCAGTTGTTTTTGAAAGTGGACATCTGGGTCAAGAACCCACTCATCCTTCCATATAGATTAATCATGCATTCAAGAGTATCCTCACTCAGTATAAGATCTGATTTTAATGAGATTGACTCATTTTAATTCTGTATTTTATGTAGCCTACTCATCAGAATGGTTACTACTCACAGAGAATACTCCCATACAGTTTCCTCTTGTTTCTCAAATATCCCAAGAAAATTTAATTTTAAACCAGACTATTAATTCATTATTTTCTACTTTTTACAATGTCCTTATGTGAAACATTTGAATTTGTAACATCTATATCTGTGTTGGGTTGTAGGGGTCCATGTCTGATGCAATGTTTGAGTGTAGCAGTTCGACAAATCCACTACTCTTCAGGTACAAGAAACACAAGAGGAAAAAGGTAAGTCATCCACAGCAGGGAGCATGTTCCTATAGTAGAGTGTAAGTAACTAGCAGAGTGTAAATAACTGTAGCAGAGCATAGACAACTGTAATAGGGAGTACAGATCTATAGCAGTGTGTAAATAACTGTAGCAGAGCATAGACAACTGTAGTAGGGAGTACAGACCTATAGTAGTTTGTAAATAACTGTAGCAGAGCATAGCACAACTGTAGCAGAGAGTACAGATCTGTAGCAGAGTGTAAATAACCGTAGCAGAGCATAGACAACTGTAGCAGATAGTACAGATCTGTAGCATAGCATAAACAACTGTAACAGAGTACAGATCTGTAGCAGAGCATAAACAACTGTAACAGAGTACAGATCTATAGCAGAGCGTAAATAACTAGCAAAGCATAGACAACTGTAGTAGGGAGTACAGATCTATAGCAGTGCACAGCACAACTGTAGCAGAGAGTAACGATCTGTAGCAGAGTGTAAATTACTGCAGCAGAGCACAGCACAACTGTAACTGTGAGAGAAGTCACTATTTAAAACCATCAATTTACTCCCATCATGTGACTAATAATATGTGAAGAACATTTAGGAGAAATCACTAGTATGTTCTCTATCTGTTGAATCTTCTCCCCAGGCCAAGGTGAGAGTGTACGACTCCAAGTGGTCCCAGTCTTTCTCCCTGGATACCGTGGGGAGTGCCGGAGTAGTTGTGTGCCACGACAAGGAGCGGGGCCGCAAGTACATGGTAGGTGGCTTGTAGGTGGGGTGAGTGGCTAGTTGTTTGTGGGGTGGGTGGCTGGGTTGTTTGTGGTGGGGGTGGCTAGTTGTTTGGGGGGGTGGCTAGTTGGTTGGATGGTTGGCTAGTTGTTTGGGTGGGTGGCTAGTTGTTTGGGGGGGGGGGGTTGTTTGTGGGGTTGGTGGCTAGTTGTTTGGGTGGGTGGCTAGTTGGTTGGGTGGGTGGTTAGTTGGTTGGGTGGGTGGCTAGTTGGTTGGGTGGGTGGCTAGTTGTTTGGGTGGGTGGCTAGTTGGTTGGGTGGGTGGGTGGGTTGTTTGTGGGAGGGGTACATGGTAGGTGGCTTGTAGGTGGGTAGGGTGGCTACTTGTTTGGGTGGGTGGCTAGTTGTTTGTGGGGTGGGTGGCTTGTTGTTTGGGTGGGTGGGTGGGTTGTTTTTGTGGGGTGGGTGGCTAGTTGTTTGTGTGGGTGGCTAGTTGGGTGGGTGGGTGGGTTGTTTGTTGGAGGGGTACATGGTAGGTGGGTGGGGTGGCTAGTTGTTTGGGTGGGTGGCTAGTTGTTTGGGTGGGTGGGTGGGTTGTTTGTGGGGTGGGTGGCTAGTTGTTTGGGTGGGTGGGTTGTTGGTTGGGTGGGTGGCTAGTTGTTTGGGTGGGTGGCTAGTTGGTTGGGTGGGTGGGGTGGGTACATGGTAGATGGGTAGGGTGGCTAGTTGTTTGGGTGGGAGGCTCGTTGGTGGGGTGGGTGGGTTGTTGGTGGGTACATGGTAGGTGGCTAGTAAGTGGAGTACAAGATAGGTGGGTTGTTGGTGGGGTGGGTGGCTAGTTGTTTGGGTGGGCAGGCTGTTTGTGGGGTGGGTACATGGTAGGTGGCTAGTAAGTGGGATACATGATAGGTGGGTTGTTGGTGGGGTGGGTGGCTAGTTGTTTGGGTGGGCAGGCTGTTTGTGGGGGGGTACATGGTAGGTGGCTAGTAAGTGGAGTACAAGATAGATGGGTTGTTGGTGGGGTGGGTGGCTAGTTGTTTGGGTGGGCAGGCTGTTTGTGGGGTGGGTACATGGTAGGTGGCTAGTAAGTGGAGTACAAGATAGGTGGGTTGTTGGTGGGGTGGGTGGCTAGTTGTTTGGGTGGGCAGGCTGTTTGTGGGGTGGGTACATGGTAGGTGGCTAGTAAGTGGAGTACAAGATAGGTGGGTTGTTGGTGGGGTGGGTGGCTAGTTGTTTGGGTGGGCAGGCTGTTTGTGGGGTGGGTACATGGTAGGTGGCTAGTAAGTGGAGTACAAGATAGGTGGGTTGTTGGTGGGGTGGGTGGCTAGTTGTTTGGGTGGGCAGGCTGTTTGTGGGGTGGGTACATGGTAGGTGGCTAGTAAGTGGAGTACAAGATAGGTGGGTTGTTGGTGGGGTGGGTGGCTAGTTGTTTGGGTGGGCAGGCTGTTTGTGGGGTGGGTACATGGTAGGTGGCTAGTAAGTGGAGTACAAGATAGGTGGGTTGTTGGTGGGGTGGGTGGCTAGTTGTTTGGGTGGGCAGGCTGTTTGTGGGGTGGGTACATGGTAGGTGGCTAGTAAGTGGGATACATGATAGGTGGGTTGTTGGTGGGGTGGGTGGCTAGTTGTTTGGGTGGGCAGGCTGTTTGTGGGGGGGTACATGGTAGGTGGCTAGTAAGTGGAGTACAAGATAGATGGGTTGTTGGTGGGGTGGGTGGCTAGTTGTTTGGGTGGGCAGGCTGTTTGTGGGGTGGGTACATGGTAGGTGGCTAGTAAGTGGAGTACAAGATAGGTGGGTTGTTGGTGGGGTGGGTGGCTAGTTGTTTGGGTGGGCAGGCTGTTTGTGGGGTGGGTACATGGTAGGTGGCTAGTAAGTGGAGTACAAGATAGGTGGGTTGTTGGTGGGGTGGGTGGCTAGTTGTTTGGGTGGGCAGGCTGTTTGTGGGGTGGGTACATGGTAGGTGGCTAGTAAGTGGAGTACAAGATAGGTGGGTTGTTGGTGGGGTGGGTGGCTAGTTGTTTGGGTGGGCAAGCTGTTTGTGGGGTGGGTACATGGTAGGTGGCTAGTAAGTGGAGTACAAGATAGGTGGGGTGGGTGGCTAGTTGTTTGGGTGGGCAGGCTGTTTGTGGGGTGGGTACATGGTAGGTGGCTAGTAAGTGGAGTACAAGATAGGTGGGTTGTTGGTGGGGTGGGTGGCTAGGTGATGGGTGGGTGGGTTGTTTGTGGGGTGGGTACATGGTAGGTGGCTTGTAGGTGGGTAGGGTCGCTAGTTGATGGGTGGGTGGGTTATTGGTGGGGCCAGGTACATGTTGGTGGTAAGATAGTAGTGCCAGGTATGTGGTAGGTGAACACAACCTACCCAAGTGCACCTATGACAGTCAAATCCTATTTCGCTATCTAATCGTGTGTAGCTATCTAACCGTGTGTAGCTATCTAACCGTGTGTAGCTATCTAATCGTGTGTAGCTATCTAATCGTGTGCCCTGTCTGACAGTTCATGGTGAAGAGCGAGATGTCCAACCTGAAGCTGTCCAAGATCATCACCATCCTCCCCTTCTTCCTCGTCATCAACTGCACCAAGCAGAAGCTGCGCTACATGGAGGAGAACGAGGACGCCGACCTGTGGTTCGACCTCCCAGTCGGAGAGGTAAAGACGTCATCTCACTGCTAACTGCTCATCTCAACCAAAACGGAGATTAGTGTGGCATTCATTATAATATAATAATATATAAAGGGAATTCAAACTTGATGTCATAAATATACCGTGTTTTTTAACCTAACCTAAATGAACAGCTTATGTAAAGGTAGAATGTAGTGTAAACACCTATGATTAAGAAGTCTATATTTAGGAGATAAACATACTGTGTTTACAATGTAGAGCAAGGTTACCTGTAAATTTAACCGTGCTAAATTGAATTTGGAACCGAACTCGCAGCATGAGGTTTCAAATGTTAAATGTAGCACAGTTCAATCTACAGGTAACCTAGCTCTACATTGAAAACACAGTATGTTTATCTCCATTCTTCCATGACTAAACGCGAACTCCTTGGTGTTAGCAAGTATATTGAGTCAAGTGGCATGGGTTGAGTCCAGTGTTTTGAGTGGGTTGTCGATCTGAATTACCTAATCACCGGCAACAGCCTGTAAACAAAATATAGCGCTGTATATGCTCAAGTAGTTTGTTTACACCGTAATACTTCACTCGAACATATGACAGGCATTGAAGCATATAAGCCTGGCTAACATGAAGTGGGCATCCCTAAAGAAAACTAAGCAAGCTTTGCAAGGCTTTTGTTCTACACTGAACGTCACCATTATGACGTCATATCGCTTATTAAAGATATGACATCACAGTCGTATATAGAAAAGTGCCAAATTCCAAGCTCTCTGTTGTCATTCTCTTTGTAGATTTCTATTGTGTTTTCTGCACAAAATGTATTGCCACACATCCTTTGAATATTGTAGTAACCGCATCTGTCCATTTTGTAATCTGTAATTGTAGATATGATTTTTGAAATATGCCCACCGACAATGAATATTAGCTTCCGTGGTGATGCGGCCGTCAAACTAGCTGTTTCAATCAGAGGGGGTTTATTGTGATTTAAATAGCCTCTGACTGACCAATCAGAATCAAGTAAATTCCAAATTCATGGTAGAATTAAGTTTAACATTGCATTGACCAATTGAAAAATGTTTGTGAAGCTGAGTTTATGCTTCATAATAGTCTTGGATTTGTGTGATGGTAGATATGTATGATGTTGCAGTGTCAACCCTTCTGGCCCACAACAGACAACTACAGCATGTACATGAAGTACGAAAACAGCAACGTCGTGTCCCAACACTTCCCCATCAAGAAGCCGCACAACACTGTGCTGCGTATGGACCAAGGGGTCAGTCCTCACATACACTTCTCATGTCCATGGGGAGACCACTTCACACCATTACACATATTATTAGTAGGATTATATAGTTGTCAAAAGAATTCTGTCCGTTCGTCCTTCCGAGGACATTTTTATATGAGACCTATAACTTGAAAACTACTGCATAGATTCTTTTCAAACTTGGTGTACACTTATCATACCAATAGGAGAGATGTTTTGCGATTTCTATATTTGGATATTCTGAAAAATCTATTGTGAAATATTTTACTCAGAATTATTTTACTTAAACATTTGTGTGACCTGCAGCTTGAAAACTACTTCATGGATTCTTTTCAAATTTAAGGAACACTTTCTATGCTAATTGGAGAGGTGCAGTGCTAAGTTTGATTTTGATATGTGTATTTTCTGAAAAAAATGCGATTTTTTTTTTCATGTTTTGAACTTAGAATGTTTTTGAACTTCAACATTTGTGCGACCTATAACTTGAAAACAACATCATGGATTCTTTTCTGATTGTGGGTACAGTTTCTATTCCAGTAGGAGAGATGCAATGCAAAGTTTGATTTTGATAAGTGGATTTTCTGAGAAAATATTGCTTTCTTCATGTTTTGAACTCAGAAATATGTATTCAACCCCCAGCCTACGATGCCATTACAATATTATATTAAATTGCTTTTTAAGAGAATCCGGGTCAAACGTTAAGTCATTGACTTGTGTATCATTGTATAATTTGATGTACATATCTTTCGTGGAGAATTACATGTTTCAGTTTGTCCTTAGTATTAAGAATTTTATGGTAAATAAATGCAAAATCAGGTGAGCTACAGAGCCCCTTGGCTGTATGTTTGTGTCCTTCTGTACGGTAAATTGTGTCTCCCAGACAGCACTGTGTGTGGAGGTGTCGGGGGGGACGGACTCCCCCATTACAGTGGTCTTCACCAACTACTGCCATGGCGACTGCCCTGTGAGAGTCGAGAACCTCTGTGAAGACGTCTTCATCAAAATACATCAGAAGTAAGTACAAACTTTCCATAACAGCAGACATCATGCTGAATTTTGTAGTGAATTTCAGTTGGTAATTTTGCCGTTAAATATCAATACCGTATTCGACGTAATAAGCGCCCCACTATAATAAGCGCCCACGACAATGTTTCCTAATATATTGGCTAGTGAATAATCCCAATTCGCACCCCTTCCGATTGATCAATGTACACAAGACTTATTTATTCGTGTATAATACGCACTCGTGTGTTTAATGCTTCCTTAATTATGGGCAATTAAATTCTGGAAATTATATCTATTGTGTATAATACGACCAAATTCTTCTTTTGTATCATTTCAAGCTGTCAGGATAAACCACGAAATTAACAATCTTTCAACTCTGTTTTTTTTCTCACGAAAATTATATTCTAATAAGAGCCCCCCTATTTCTAATTTTGAGAGCACCCTGAGTGCCTATTATGTCGAATACGGTATGTCAAATTAGGTGATACTGAAGAGTTTCCAGTAAGTTATCCTTGACAGTTGAGAAGGTGGACAGGGACCCCGTTTATTCCCTCCCTGTTGTATGCTCAGGGAGCTGATCATGAAAATATAGTGTGCACACTGATCCATTGATCAGGGTAATAATGTAGTGCCAATAATGTAGTGTCATTAATGTAGTGCCAATAATGTAGTGGTAATAATGTAGTGCCAATAATGTAGTGGTAATAATGTAGTGCCAATAATGTAGTGCCAATAATTTAGTGGTGATAATGTAGTGCCAATAATGTAGTGGTGATAATGTAGTGCCAATAATGTAGTGGTAATAATGTAGTGCCAATAATGTAGTGGTAATAATGTAGTGGTAATAATGTAGTGCCAATAATTTAGTGGTGATAATGTAGTGCCAATAACGTAGTGGTGATAATGTAGTGCCAATAATGTAGTGGTAATAATGTAGTGCCAATAATGTAGTGGTGATAATAATTAGCATTCACTTTGTGAAGGGTATTTGGCCCACCATTAATGAACTTGGTGGTGGTGATGTGTCAGGGATATACAAACATGCTCAGTCCTTCTTTCTTATTATGTATGTCTGTTGGTAGATCATGTTTCATTTTAGGAACATAACTGATAAACCGTTTAATATTTCTTGGTGAAACTTTGTATACTCTTTGGGCAAGTGGTGAACTGGTGCCTTTTACTATTCAAGATTTGATTTTACTTAATTTTTGTGTTTCCATGGCAACAACATGACTATGACCAAATGAGTATAAGGTTCATAACCTATCGTGGTTTAAGATTTCTTGGTGAAATTTGACAAGTGGTGAACTGGAACTCTTTTAGGATGTTATTCATGGTTGTCTTAAATCCTTGCTATTTTTATGCATCACAAAATCTTATTCACTGTTTGTTCGATGTTAGGAGATGGGAGTTCAAATTCATTCTTAATTAAATGGTCGTCCAAGTCACAAGATTTATTGAGGTCAGTTTGTGTGAATGTAAATACATGTACAATTTCTTGTGGAATTTTCCTCAACGTGATTTTTGTTACCTAGGAACCAGAGTCAGGTGACCCTGCTGTCGTCCAGTCAGTCAGTGTTGTACACATGGGATGAACCAATGGCTGAGAGGACACTCATGTGGAATGTGTATGGTCGCAAGAAGCCCAGCTTCCCTAGCTACATCAACAAGGTATTGACAGTGTTTAGTTTGCTGGTAGTTTATAAGTTATGTGTGTCCGTCATTTGTTTCCTGCTATACGACGTCTTATGGTAAGTGATGATGTGTTTTATTATGCTTATAAAATAAACAGTAAGATTCTAATCTAAAAATGACAGCTGGCTTACAGTTGCTTGAATTCAATAAAATTAATAAAATCTTTTACCAAAATAAGCCCAGATATACAATGAACACCTTTTTTTAACCAGATAGTATAATGATGGGATTGAATTGCGAAGTTCAGTTCGGATTTGTTGACTGGTATTTCCGGTGTTACATACTTGCAGTGATCAGCTGATAATGTATTTCGAGATGGGGGAAAACATAATGTCAGTGTACAACCTTATTTAGTTTATTAAAAATCTACATAAATTTTGGGAGCCATGCTGTAACAGAGTTAGTGCTACGAGTATATTGAAGGGCACAACAGCTAGTGAGTGAACACTATTATCAAGAATTGAATTTTTTTTATTTCCCATTGGGAATTCTATTTGCAGCAGACTTGCAGGCAAATATCGCCTCTACGCAGGTGTAGATAATTCGCTGTGATGGTTAACACACAGATTGTTCATCAAGTTTTGATTTCACCTTCCAGTCTGTTTCACTATAGGCCACAGTTGTCATACAATCTGCCTATTGGTTCAGATGCACACAGTGTCATATTTGTTTAAATAGCACCATATAATAAAGGGTTTTATTACTTGTCCGTGAAGAGATCACCCGTTTAATAAACATACAGCTGTATTACACATTGTGTAATACCAAAACGCGTGCTTATGTACTCTCGGAACACGTTTCTAGAACAAATATTGAAAGCTCTCAACATCCCTTGGCTTATTCAACGACATTGCGTGTGGAGTTGATAGATCACTGAGAGGAGCTTATGCACACTCGATGACCCCAGCAACCTTGTTGCTAGGCTGACGTCACATGGCATTGTTTCGCCGATGGATCTTGCAACAAAATTCCACAAATTACGTCATCGGGTATTGTGACGTTATTGTAAACTTTGAGGTGCAAGGCCCGTTCCACAAGGCAATCGTATTGTAGCGCAACGACAGTCTTTAGTCTGTTAAAGTATGTGAGTTGCGATAGTCTTAGCCCTACGATAATTTTGTGAATTCTAAAGGTGGACCGTTGTATGGTATTAAATTCATACGTTTCAACTTTTGACGTGTTTGAAGTATTATTCTGTTAAACTCAATTGGACTATGCCGTGGATCGTGTAGGTGTCAGCCTATTCATACTCAACAGTATAATTCTAAAAAAGTTATAAATGGCAAGTAATAAATAAAATACGAAACTCGCTCCCATGTAAAACCAATTTTATGAAACTCGTGAATAGTTGTGGTATCTGACTCGCTTTCGCTCGTCAGATACCACAACTATTCACTCGTTTCATAAAATTGGTATTACACGGGAGCTTGTTTAGTATTCTATATTTAGCATACCTGAGATACAGCCCCATGGCCAACTCTACCCTTAAAGTCACTGCCTAAGTCACATGTTGTGGAGGAAGGTCGTCCTTGACCTGAACAACATTCAGCTGACATTTATATACATTGGCAACCATCAGACTGATGTTTAGATTACCGGTACCTGAGTTTTAAGTCGGGGATTATTGATGTGTTGAAATATTGAATGGAAATGCTTCAAGATAAGTGTTGCACTATTTATTGCTTAATCAAATTAAAACAGAAAGTGGACTAATGCTTGCCTGTGTCTGTGTGATAATCTTGCCTAATCCTTGTTCTAGGACGGATGTGGGGAGGTACGACTGCGAGTCCAGTCTCTACGTAACGCCACTGGCTCCATGGACGTCACAGATGCCATCGACAGCATGGAGAGTAGCCCAGATGGTGAGATGATGATGATGATGAGTTCTATGTCTGTATGACCTACATCTGAATTCTTCTCCTCCACTTTTATACTGGAATCTTACCAATCACCAGCATACCCTCTTACCAAGTTCCTTTACCATGTTGACAAAACTACAGGATGAGAATGGCTGATACTGATGGTCATAATAACACTGTGCCAGGCTGATATACTATTCACAACTAACTCAGATGTTTACGTGTGAGTTCGACATCATCACGCAGCTACTGTAATACATCAGACAGACTCTGATGACTTACAACTAGCTCAGTATGAAAACATGCAAAGTCACCTACAGAGAATTAAGACTCTGACGTGTTTGAATGTATTTAAATGTCAGATCTACAGGGGATGCTACGAATGCCACCAGGTTTCACACGGATTAGATGAGGATGTATAACTGCACTTCTGATTTCTAATTAATACAGTCATCATAGTATCCTTTTCAAAGAATTTCTACATACTTATAAAGAATACAATAATATTGAACAGATCCTGTCAGGAGTGAGTCCTCTCCCTTATCCTCTGCACAGAGATTTGTTTTCGTTATATATACATGATAAATCTGAGCATCTGTGATTTCAGCACTGTTGGTTACACTCTGTGTTTATTTTTGTAGGTTATCTCTGTGTTTGTTTTTGAAGGTTATCTCTGTGTTTATTTTTGTGGGTTATCTCTGTGTTGTTTTTTGGTAGGTTATCTCTGTGGGTTTTTTTTTAGAATATCTCTGTGTTTATTTTTCAAGGTTATCTCAGTGTTTTTTTGTGTGGGTTATCTCTGTTTATTTTTGTGGGTTATCTCTGTGTTGTTTTTTTGTAGGTTATCTCTGTGGGTTTTTTTTGTAGAATATCTCTGTGTTTATTTTTGTGTGTTATCTCTCAGTGTTTATTATTATAGATTATCTCTGTTTATTTCTGTCTGTGGGTTACCTCTGTTTATTTTGGTGGGTTATCACTTTGTGTTTATTTTTGTAGGTTATCTCTGTGTTTGTTTTTGAAGGTTATCTCTGTGTTTATTTTTGCAGGTTATCTCAGTGGTTATTTTTGTGGGTTATCTCTGTGTTGTTTTTTGGTAGGTTATCTCTGTGGGTTTTTTTTGTAGAATATCTCTGTGTTTATTTTTCAAGGTTATCTCAGTGTTTTTTTGTGTGGGTTATCTCTGTTTATTTTTGTGGGTTATCTCTGTGTTGTTTTTTTGTAGGTTATCTCTGTGTTTTTTTTTTGTAGAATATCTCTGTGTTTATTTTTGTGTGTTATCTCTCAGTGTTTATTATTATAGATTATCTCTGTTTATTTCTGTCTGTGGGTTACCTCTGTTTATTTTGGTGGGTTATCACTTTGTGTTTATTTTTGTGGGTTATCACTTTGTGTTTATTTTTGTGGGTTATCACTCTGTGTTTATTATTATAGATTATCTCTATTTTTTACTTATCCTGCATTACTCCTTAATGCATTCACTGCTTACTTACGACAACTAGAAGGACAGTGCTGCGAAGGTCCTGGGTGAAGAAATAAAGTTGTTGTTCTCAAGTCCCAATCAGTGGCCTTCCGTCGCTGTCCTGTGACCTTGATGACACCTAAGGTCATCTTCACATCACTGCTTGTCGCAGCACAGCTAGGACGTGTCCAAGCGGAGCTCTCCTTTTGGATTAATTTTAGACCTTCAGTTTGTCTACAATCTTAAAAATTGATCTGCGATGGGTGATGTATTCTTTTCATATTACTTTCACCATGATTGTGTAGTTTTATGTGAATTAATTAGGCGTGAAAAGACTCTTGTCTTTTTTCCCGCCAAAATATTGTTGTTCGCCGCCATTTTGAATTGTGTTACAATCGTTTGCCTGCCAAGGTAGTCATATTGTTTACAATTCTCAGCTACGTATGTATAACATATTCTTATGTTTTTAAATACTACTAGCTTTGGCGTAACAGTGAGTTGCGTATACTAAAATTATTGTATACTTTTTCAACTCGTTAAAAATATGGTCGCCGATAGATTAATATCAAATCTACGGCTTTCTTCCAGTCCCGCTTCATCAACAATTCTTTTATTGCGTACCTATGTTTATGCGATTAAATAGTTTTTTGTTGGTATTTTTGGTTTTACATTGAGTTGCGTATATGAACTTTGTATACTCTTGCAACTCGTAGTTTTTGCCGATAGATTATTGTTCAATTCTATGGCATTCTTCCAGTACCGCCTCATCAACAATGGCGTAATTGTGTAACTTATGATTGAGCGTGGTACTAATTGTCGTGGGAAAATCTTACAAAGATTATCATCCACGTTGTTTGGTTTGCGCGCAAATGTGCTCTCCAAACCCTAAATGAAAATATAAATACCCTTGGTTTACATTGAGTTGCGCATACAAAAATATTGTATACCCTTGCAACTCATAAATTTGCCGATAGATTAGTGTTCAAATTCTTCGGCACTCTTCCAGTATTGTCTCATCAACAAGGGTTTAATTGCGTAACATACCTTTGAGCATTGTACTAATTGTCGTGGAAAAAAACTCACAAAGATTATCATCCACGTTGGTTGGTTTGCGCGCGGATGTGCTCTCCAATCTCTAAATGTAAATAGCCTTGGTTTACATTGAATTGCGTATATAAAAATATTGTATACCCTTGCAATTCGTATTTTTGCCGATAGATTACTGTTCAATTCTACGGCATTCTTTCAGTACCATTTCTTCAATGGGTTAATTGCGTAACTTATGTTTGCGTGGTGTACATATTGTTGTGGAATAATCGCCCAAACCTCTTTATCCGCGGTCATAGGCATGCACGTAGATGTGCTCGCCAAAATTCAAAATGTAATTTTTGTGTAAATCTCTAATCCAACCAGTTTACTATATAAAAGCAGATTACTCACAATCATATTTTGCAGTTATTCCGTCGTGAGACGAGAGGAATGTCACTATCGCAGAATAGCGAATGACATATGGTTCTGTCATTACCACCCAACCGTTATTATCGGCAGGTATTATGACGCCTGTGATTGCAGAAGTACACCATCCACCGAAATCAACAATACCGGAGGATTTTGTGAGTATTGTAACTGGTCCTATTTTTTCAGCCGCCGTACATTTCCAGATACATGTATGATAATCTGTGACGGCGGCGACAGCACCAGCACCAGCGTATCGAGATGCTATGATGGGGGTAGATTAGACGCAAGCCTTGATCCAGTCAATACTTTTGAGCTTTGTGTCTGATTTATCTGCGCCGAGCGCAGCACTTGACTACAACCCAAGCACTTCTATTACGCAAGCGGCGCACGATCAGCTTAGCACTGTTCCAACATATCCAGCATAGACCAGCGCCGAGCGCAGCGTCTGACTGCTACCCAAGCGCTTCTATTACGCAAGCGGCGCACGATCAGCTTAGTGCTGTTCCAACATATCCAGCATAGACCTGCGCCGAGCGCAGCGTCTGACTGCTACCCAAAGCGCTCCTATTACGCAAACGTCGCACAATCAGCTTAGCGCTGTTCCAACATTCCAGACCTGCGCTGAGCGCAGCGTCTGCGTACCAATCAAGGTCTCTACAATGACGTTAGCCCAAGGCTTACAGTGTACTCGGTTACGTAACCGGCACATGATCAGCTTAGCACATGTACCCGATTGGGAAGCAGACCATCTCGTGTCAGTAACGCCTTCCCCTGATAACAGGGTAAATAAGAGGGACACCACGAGGTCATTGGAGGAAGACTTCTCCAAAACTCACATTTGCTCCGTGATTTAAGCGACCAATATCGTCAATGTTTGCAGTGGATCAGAATCTATTAGAGGATAACCCTATCTGATTAGATCACTTCCAAACTATGGTGTTTTTCCTACAGCGTCAGTTTGACCACAGGAAAATTCATCTTGAGACCGTTCTGACGGAGATTACCGTTACACCCAAGACTTTATAGTGTTTCCAACTGAGATGCTGGTTTCAAGGGCAGTCTGTTACGTCAACCTTGATCATCTACTCCCCTGTTCAACGAACAGATCGCAGACACGCACGTCAAGTTCCCAAAAAGCTTGGAAAGTCCAAGCGGGCTGGCAAGTCAGGGAATTATAAGCCTAGACGCGCGTTTCTCAGGGAAGACCAGCATTCCCTTACTGAGAAAGGGAGTGGCAGAGACAAGTCTCAAGGACAATTTCGTACTTATCGCACTATATCATTGTGTCCGTATAAGGGTAGAGATAACCCCACCGTTGACCACAGTTTGATTGGGAAAATCCAACATAGACATACTGTTGGTAAGAAGAGCTGTAGAGTGGGTTCACAACCCAGTCTTTACTCCGGGGTTTTATCCTCACACGTACCTGGTACTCATGAAGGACCCAGACAAGATGAGAATGATCCACAATCTCTGTGTTCAACGAACGTTTGATTCTTCATCAGTCTCGACTATCCATCCCAACCGTAGACTTTTCAGGTCCAGTTCATTGGGGTTCACTACCAATGGTAGTATTTCCCATTTGACATGTCAGTGACACTTATGGCTATTTACAGGAGTAATGAAGCCAATAACTATCTACACGTGACGAACACTTGGTTCGAGTCGTAGATGGAGGGCGATCTACTGTATCATGAACACATGTCAATAACTGGGATAGACAATCAACGAGGTGAAGTCGGGAGTATTCTCCTTCCTATTGACTTCAGTTTATAGGAGACCTGTTTAAGACAGACCAGGATTTCTTATCTGTACCAAGGGACAGATGGCACAAGTTTCTACTTCTTTAGTCATCTACTCTACACCAATCACACACACTTCGCCAGTGGCAAGTGTTGCTAGGGTTAATCACCTAGGCACAGGAGTTAACTAGCATGGGCCGCTTACAACTGCGACCAATTCAATTTTTTCCTGAACCCTTACATCAGGAGTCAGGATCCACTCAAGGCCATCACTCTACCGATTAAGCTAGAGCCTTGCCTCAATTTGTGGCGCTGAATGTCTGCGGAGTCTGTTTATTCGGGTTTTCCCCGAATACACACCTGTTTGTGGACGTCCCCTTTCAGGGGTGGAGTCTTCACTTACAAGACCAGATAAGCTCAGGGCTATGGCCCGGCGCACAATGGAAGTGGCACATAAACAACTTGGAGTTGGAAGCTTTAATTCTGGCTATATCACATTGGCAGAATCAACTACAGTTAGCCCGACTCGCTATATCCACAGACAACAGCACTGCGGTGTGGTGCCTGTGCAATCGGGGAACAACACACTCCCACTCTCCTCTTCTAAGGACATTCAGATTTCTTCCATCTAGTGGATCGGCTGTGACTAAGGTTCATAGTTCAGCACATCCCCGGATGTAGAAACATACTGGCCGATACTTTATCACGTCCAGACAGGGTGGCTCCCACCGAGTGGAAATTTCTCACAGAAGCATTCCAGTTACTGCTTCAGGAATTCAGGCAACCAAACATTGACTTGTTTATTACTTGCCTAGGCCACCAATTCATGACGTATATCTCCCCGTTGCCGGATCCGCAGACTTGGGCGGTGGACGAGTTCAGTATCACTTGGGAAGGGCAAAGAACTAACACTCTTCTGCCACCACTTTTACTTCCCAAGGTGCTACAGGGGATCAAGGAGACAAGGTATCTCGATCTCTCCTTTGGTCGCACCCTGGTAACCGGCGAGAGGGTAGTTCGTCAAGCTCGGAAAAATCTAAAACGATTCACTTCCCCTCTCACAGTGGTCCAACCTACTCATCCACCCTCAACAGAAAATTGCCTCACCCAACGTCTGCACGCATGGTTCGTCTTTAAAAGGCGTTTAAGTGCGAAGGGTTATTTCGACACGGGCAGCAAAGCTATAGCTTTAGTTCATCGTTACTCTCCAAGAGACGACGATGACAAGTGGGGATCACTTGAGACTTTTTACAGGGAAGAAAAGAATCAAGACCCTATGATTGCGTCACAATTCCTAGAGGAATACCTCCTACATTGCGTACCCAAAAACACTTGGAAGGTAGCACCATTACTACGTAATTGGCTGCACAGTGTGATTAAGGTCACGGAACTACAGGCCATATTATGCTCATTCAGGTTTGAGGATCAGAAGGCCAAGTTCCAGCCACCTGATTGGGACTTGAACGTGGTACTTCGAGGTTTGCGAGGGCCCCCTTCGAGCCCCTCATTGCATCCTCATTTTCAAGCTCCTTCCCAGCGCGTGACACCTTCGTTACACTCTCGGTATAGTATAGAGAGCTCCGCGAACGGGCTATCGCTGTGAGGAGCTTGGACATCACCAAGGAAACAATGATTTCTCTTGGCATTAGCAATGGCGGTACGGGTGAGCGAACTACATGTGATCGACTCAACCCGGATCCGTTTTGAGCATGGGACGCACGGAACGGGACATCTAGGGTTATGCTGGGATTTTATTGCTAAAATCTACTACCAGGCCAACCCGACCGTTCCTTCACCATCCCACCGATATCGACTATTGTGGGAATCGTACATGGTGAAGTTCTCCTGGGCTCGGTGCGAGCAGTTCGAGTTTTTATTCGACGATCCAAGACTAGGCGTGGTTCGTCCACGACAGAAGTTAGTCGCATAATCGCAAACACCATATCTCTATGGTTACGCGCAGTAATCCTTCAGGCCTACGAGATCATCAAACGGAACTCGCCGAGATCGAATTACCCTCAAGATCTCAAGGTGTCAGCCTTACCAGGGCTCAACACGGCAATTGTGGTTTTGGAATAATCACGGAAGGATATTTCTGGAGATTCGACACATATTTTCGTTAGTCATAACCTTCGCGTTGGGGCTCTCGAGGATGTCGAAGACGTTCGAAGTTTGGCCCTCTGGGTGTTATCCTGCAGATTGCCAACCCCTGACGCAAATAATGAATTCGCCCTATACAGAGCCAGTCAACTTCCATGTGCAGTCACTCAGTCGCCACCAGTGGAAGAATATTAGACAATCTTGTTTGTCAGCGACGGCTCTATGACGCAGTAAGTAAAGAATTAGCTGAAAAGCTATTATTTTCTTTATTACTAAGCGTGTATAGGGAATTTCTCTTTAATTCCTATGTTCAATCTTTTTGATTTTTGAACAACACTACCGTAATGGCGTTTTTGTCTGCACTTTTCCGCTTCACGGTTTATCGACCAACTGGTGTCGTATTCCAGTGTGTGAATTATTGAGGTTTCTGTATTCTGAAGGTTTACCCACCTCCAAACCGTCCGATACAGATGCATTAAGGAGTAATGCAGGATAAGTAAAAAATTTAGTAAAATCTAAATATTTTTTACATTTGTATACTTATCCTGCATTACTACGCTTAAGGCCCACCCGTCGTTAGACTTGCCTCCCCACTTTGGCTTCAGAAACCTCAAAAGTATGTTTTTCTAAGAGCTTGGGCGACAGGCAGTGATGTGAAGATGACCTTAGGTGTCATCAAGGTCACAGGACAGCGACGGAAGGCCACTGATTGGGACTTGAGAACAACAACTTTATTTCTTCACCCAGGACCTTCGCAGCGCTGTCCTTCTAGTTGTCGTAAGTAAGCAGTGAATGCATTAAGGAGTAATGCAGGATAAGTATACAAATGTAAAAAATATTTAGATTTTACTAAGTTTATTTCTGTGGGTTACCTCTGTTTATTTTTTTGGGTTATCACTTTGTGTTTATTTTTGTGGGTTATCACTTTGTGTTTATTTTTTAGGGTTATCTCTCAGTGTTTATTATTATAGATTATCTCTGTTTATTTCTGTGGGTTACCTCTGTTTATTTTTGTGGGTTATCACTCGGTGTTTGTTTTCTGCCCTAGCTGAAGGGAGTGATGAGTGTTTCACTCTGTGGGTACACTCAGTGTTTGTTTTTGTAGGTTATCTCTGTGTTTATTTTTGTAAGTTATCTCTCAGTGTTTGTTTTTGTAGATTATCTCAGTGTTTATTTTTGTAGGTTATCTCTGTGTTTATTTTTGTAGGTTATCTCTCATTGTTTATTTTTGTAGGTTATCTTTGTGTTTATTTTTGTGGGTTATCTCTCATTGTTTATTTTTGTAGGTTATCTTTGTGTTTATTTTTGTAGATTATCTCAGTGTTTTTTTTTGTAGGTTATCTCTGTGTTTATTTTTGTAGATTATCTCTGTGTTTGTTTTTGTAGGTTATCTCTGTGTTTATTTTTGTAAGTTATCTCTCAGTGTTTGTTTTTGTAGGTTATCTCTGTGTTTATTTTTGTAGGTTATCTCTCATTGTTTATTTTTGTAGGTTATCTTTGTGTTTATTTTTGTGGGTTATCTCTCAGTGTTTATTTTTGTAGGTTATCTCTCAGTGTTTATTTTTGTAGGTTATCGCAGTGTTTATTTTTGTAGGTTATCTCTCAGTGTTTATTTTTGTAGGTTATCTCTCAGTGTTTATTTTTGTAGGTTATCTCTCAGTGTTTGTTTTCTGCCCCAGCTAAAGGGAGTGATGAGTGTCTGGTTTCAGCTCTGTGGGTTCATTCAGTGTTTACTTTCTGCCTCAGCTGAAGGGAGTGATGAGTGTCTGGTTTCAGCTCTGTGGGTTCATTCAGTGTTTACTTTCTGCCCCAGCTGAAGGGAGTGATGAGTGTCTGGTTTCAGCTCTGTGGGTTCATTCAGTGTTTACTTTCTGGCCCAGATGAGGAGAGTGACGAGATGGATGGCTTGCTGCCGCACCTGACCAAGAAGCTGAATGCGAGGACTCGCACTGACAAAATGGTCATCTACTGGGTGTCCTACCTGGACAGGCTTCAGCGGGTGCTGCTCTTCACGCAGGACGAACGTGTGGCCAATGCTGTGAGAAAGGTAAGTACCACCCAGTGCTGGCCTCGACTACAGATGTGTTGCATGGTAGCTCACAACATAGTGACCTGTTTCTTTTGCACAGTTCTGATGCTTGCATCACGTGAACAACTAATATAGTCATCATGTCTGTAGATATAGTCATCATGAGACCACTTTATACAGTATACATGTGACCACATAAGATCTAATCATCACGTGACCACTTCATATATACCCAGTCATCACATGACCACTTTACGTATAGTCATCACGTGACTACTTAATATGTACCCCGTTGTCATCATGTGACCACTTTAGATCTAGTTATCATGTGACCACTTAAGGTCCCGTCATCACATGACCACTTTACGTATAGTCATCACGTGACCTCTTAATATGTACCCAGTTGTCATCATGTGACCACTTTAGATCTAGTCATCATGTGACCACTTAAGAACTAGTTATCATGTGACCACTTAAGGTCCAGTCATCACATGACCACTTTACGTATAGTCATCACGTGACCACTTAATATGTACCCAGTTGTCATCATGTGACAACTTTAGATCTAGTCATCATGTGACCACTTAAGATCTAGTCATCACGTGACCACTTAATATGTACCCAGTTGTCATCAAGTGACCACTTTAGATATAGTTATCATGTGACCATATAATTTTCTTCATGTGACTAATATTTATCACAATGTCAGTTGGTTTAGGTGAACAAACTGCATGGCCATCATGTTGAGAGTCTTTCTAGTCATTAAGTATGGACAATACTAGTGTCTCTGCCATACCAACTTTTGAATATAGATGCTGCTGTGAACTTTTAATTATGAAAACCATAAGAGCTAAAGAACAGTCCATTTTATGGCATTATATTTCTTTTGTGGGTGGGGAGGAGGATATGATGAACAGATGGATAAATGATATTTGTACTGTATCTTTTTGTTATTTCTATGTACGAGTAAACAAATAAACACTGAATTCTTGAAAGAAACTCTGTAGGTGCCAAAAATAGGAACAAATGCTTAGCAGAATAGATTTAAACAACACAGAAATATCCTGACGTTGTGTGCAAGGATAGGACGTGTGTTTCTGCGGTGTTGTTTCTGTAATGACATTGTGAGCTTGATATAAGTGTGTGTCAGTCTGCAGTAGCCGTGGCTTTATCCTGGCTTATACTAAATAACGTTTCAGTCAATCCGGCATCGTGCCGACATTCTACAATACTGGATTCCATGTCCAGACATACCTGTGTTCTCTTCATTCCTATGTTCTGGCTTCATGTAACCATGGTAACCAGACAGTTATCATATTGCACATTTCGCAAACAATTGGTTATGTTTTATGAAAGATTTATTCAGAAAAAAAACAGAAACTCTGAGCGAAAGAGAAACCGGTAGTGCTGTCTCCGATGATGATGGCAAGAGACAATAGCGGTTGTGTAGCATGATGGTACCATGTTGTTTTGTACGTCAGTAAAAATGAATTATGTGTTCAAACTTGACTGTCACCACATTTTCTTAATTTTTCCTAAACCCTTAAGTGGCAATGTATTCGTATTTGTCTCAGTTTGTAATAGTTTTAATGCCATAATTTTTAAAATGATCTAACTATCATTCCACTATGTATGTTTAAAAGACGTCTTTGAGTGGCATGTTAATGTAATAGCTCATTTGAGTGGTATTAAGATGTATGAAGAATAAATCGTGGTAAACTCTAGTGCTGTACAGGTCTGTGATGTTTAAGGGTTGCCTGCTTTTCTAACCTAGGCTCATGTACAGAGCGTAGACCTACCATCTAACAAAGGTGTCATCCAGGTAATCCGCTCGACACTCACTGCTGCTGCCGTTCTCTACCTCACTCACAGTCCAGCTTTGCCAACCTGCAATTACCACTGCATGCCGTCAAATTGGATATTATTAAAAATTATCAAAATTCGTAATTTCTCAATTTGTAAACAAAATTTAATGAATTTTAAAAAAAATATTTTAATGAATTTTCGATTTTGGTTTTAGATTTAAATAATCAAAATGTACAGTAAATGAAATGTGTTGATGAGGCCATGGTTGGCACATCTGACAAGGCCTGGTTCTAGTATAGATGGTCAGTGGGTGCTTGTGGGCTTTTTATGCATTGTGGCAGCAGAGCAGCGTCTGTGTTCACCTTTCACCTTACGTCTTGCTGGTCCTCATTCTCCAGGCAGTGCTAACTCAGCTCCTAGTCCGGTGTGAGAAGAGAGACATGGTTGATGTCAGGGTCCTGTTTCGTGGAGCGATCTTGGCATCACAGCTGTCGTAATGCTTGATCATAGACCCATGATGGTTGTGGTACTGAGATCGTGCTGTGGAATTGGGACGGAGGCAGAATAACTCTTTGTAGAGCTGTACATCCACTTAGTACTGATGACATGAGTAGCTGGAATAGAATCACATTACACTTCTGTCTCGACCTGCAGCTCTTTCCTTATTATGCCCATAGGAATTTGAAAAACGTACAGTGTCATTCTACTTGACAGTGATCTGACTGTGTGTGTGTGTCATCCTACTTGACTGTGACCTGACTCTGTGTGTGTGCGTGTGCGTGTGTGTGTGTGTGTGTGTGTGTGTGTGTGTGTGTGTGTGTGTGTGTGTGTGTGTGTGTGTGTGTGTGTGTGTGTGTGTGTGTGTGTGAGATCCCACTTGACTGTGACCTGACTGTGTGTCATCCCACTTGACTCTGACCTAACTCTGTATGTGTGTGTGTGTGTCATTCTACTTGACTGTGACCTGACTGTGTGTGTGTCATTCTACTTGACTGTGGCCAGCTTGTGTGTGTGTCATCCTACTTGACTGTGACCTGACTCTCTCTGTGTGTGTGTGTGTGTGTGTGTGTGTGTGTGTGTGTGTGTGTGTGTGTGTGTGTGTGTGTGTGTGTGTGTGTGTGTGTGATCCCACTTGACTGTGACCTGAATCTGTGTGTGTCATTCTACTTGACTGTGGCCTGACTCTGTGTGTGTGATTCTACTTCACTGTGACCTTACTCTGTGTGTGTCATTCAACTTGACTGTGTGCTGCCACTCTGTGTGTGTCATCCCACTTGACTCTGACCTGTGTCATCCTACTTGACTGTGATCTGACTGTGTCCGTGCCATTCTACTTGACCGTGACCTGTGTATGTGTTCTTGACTGTGACTCGACTGTGTGTGTGTCATTCTACTTGACTGTGACCTGTGTATGTGTGTGTCATCCCACTTGACTCTGACCTGTGTCATCCTACTTGACTGTGATCTGACTGTGTCCGTGCCATTCTACTTGACTGTGACCTTTGTATGTGTTCTTGACTGTGACCTGACTGTGTGTGTGTGTGTGTGTTATCCCACTTGACTGTGACCTGACTCTGTATGTGTGTGTGTGATTCTACTTGACTAACCAGACTGTGTGTGTGTGATTCTACTTGACTGTGACCTGACTCTGTATGTGTGTGTGTCATCCCACTTGACTGTGACCTGACCAAATTTCAATTTTTTTGTGCAACAAAGATCTTGTCCACATAACCATTCTTAATTGCTCTTCACCATTTGATGGCAGTACATTTTCAATCTTCTTTCTATTACATGGTTTTCAGGTGGATATTTTCTTCAACTTTTTTAAATCTGTTTTTCCATTAATTCCATATTTGTTGGCATGTAAACGGATAGGATATATTACGCTCGTACTTTGCTATTTACTGTGCCAAGTTGAGTTGTGATTTGTGTCACAAGATCCTCATCCCGCGGATTGACCTTTCCCAACCTTCAAACATATCTTTGCCCAAATAGTTTATATTTATGCCATTAGCTTTTTTATTATAGCAATATCTTTTTTTGTGTTTGTGTAGTGATATATTTGTAAACACTGAGATATATCAGTGCATGATCATACAGCTTCTTCAGTCTGGCTTTCTTTGTTGCTGTAACGAACCTGCATGATTTATGCTTAATATTTACTGAGTTAATTCATTCATGATATTCTAGTATATGTAAGCTGGATAAAGTACTGGTACTATTTGTTGAAGTAACTGTAAGTGAACTATAGACTTATTATTGTATTAGCTTGATAATGCTACAACTTGCCTAAATAAGGCATGGCTCGTTTTGACATGGTTGAATTAGATGCCTCAATCTAGGCGCTAGTAGAATGCACACAACTCACAATATCTTGTTTTAAACTTTTGCAATTCTTCACAGTTTGCGCCATTGTTGAGAATGAAATCTCCTGCAGTGCCTGGCAGAGATCCGATGGTTGTATCTCTGTTATCTGTTTGCAGCTTAATGAGGGAGAACAGTCTAGCATCTGTGCCTTCGTCTCAATGGAGGGGCTGAGCGTGTCCGTCATAAACCAGATGTACCATGAAGTGGCGCTGCTCTCTGTGGTGAGCAGTCCCTCCATGTGGGAGGTCGAGGTCAACAACAGATGGAAGATCCTCAACGTGGAGCTGGCAACATGGCTGGAAGACCAGTGGAAGAGCGAGCAGGACCATGCCAACCTGCATGACCAGATAGAGGTGGGTGGAGTATAGGGGGGACCAGATAGAGGTGGGTGGAGGACCAGATAGAGGAGGGTGGGGGACCAGATAGTGGTGGGTGGAGGACCAGATAGAGGGGGGGACCAGATAGAGGTGGGTGGAGGATAGGGGGGACCAGATAGAGGTGGGTGGAGGACCAGATAGAGGTGGGTGGAGGACCAGATAGAGGGGGATCAGATAGAGGTGGGTGGAGGACCAGATAGAGGTGGGTGGAGGACCAGATAGAGGGGGATCAGATAGAGGTGGGTGGAGGACCAGATAGAGGTGGGTGGAGGACCAGATAGAGGGGGGGATCAGATAGAGGTGGGTGGAAGACAAGATAGAGGTGGGTGGAGGACCAGATAGAGGGGGGAACCAGACAGAGGTGGGTGGAGGCCCAGAAGGAGGATGGTGGGGGCCCAGATAGAGGGGGGTGGAGGACCAGATAGAGGTTGGTGGAGGACCAATCCGACCTGCACAACCAGATTGAGGTGGGTGGAGGTCTGGGAGGACCAGATAAATGTGGTGGGAGAACAGGAAGTCAAGGAGGACGAGATAGTGCTAGGTGTGTGGAGGAGCAGATAGAGGTTGGTGGAGGACATGGGGACCAGATAGAGGAGGGTGGAGGACCGGATAGAGGTGGGTGGAGGACAGGGGGCACCAGATGGAGGTGGGTGGAGGACAGGGGGCACCAGATGGAGGTGGATGGAGGACAGGGGGCACCAGATGGAGGTGGGTGGAGGACAGGGGGCACCAGATGGAAGTGGGCGGAGGATCTGTGGAAGAGCAAACCAGGATCATGCAAACCTGCAAAACAAGGACCAGGGCAGGGGACAAGAATTTCTGAACCAAGATATGAAGTGAACTGTAATTGTATAGGTAGTCCTCAGTCAGTAGCAGATGGTAAAAGTCACAGCTCTGTGGTAGTGAGGACTGGATTCACATCATGACACGGTTTTGTGAATGTGCACCATGGAAATACAGCCATTTGTTTGTGTTGTTTCTAGGCTGATCTGGTGAAGATGCAGATGTCCAAGCCGTTCATGGGAGCCCTGAGAAGAACCCATCACCCTGGAGTGTGGTTCCAGTACCGCCACTCTGAGCATCATATGAGTGTCTACGCGAGGGTACAGAGACTGCAGGTATGTATCATCATCGACTGCAACAGAACCCGAGATCATCCACTCACGGACTCCCTCTGATGATCCCAGGCCATGTTGGTGGGTTTCACTATCGTGGTCTGTCAGCAGCCCATGTTGGTGGGTTTCACTATCGTGGTCTGTCAGCAGCCCATGTTGGTGGGTTTCACTATCGTGGTCTGTCAGGAGCCCATGTTGGTGGGTTTCACTATCGTGGTCTGTCAGCAGCCCATGTTGGTGGGTTTCACTATCGTGGTCTGTCAGCAGCCCATGCTGGTGGGTTTCACTATCGTGGTCTGTCAGGAGCCAATGCTGGTGGGTTTCACTATCGTGGTCTGTCAGCAGCCCATGCTGGTGGGTTTCACTATCGTGGTCTGTCAGCAGCCAATGCTGGTGGGTTTCACTATCGTGGTCTGTCAGCAGCCCATGCTGGTGGGTTTCACCATCGTGGTCTGTCAGCAGCCAATGCTGGTGGGTTTCACTATCGTGGTCTGTCAGCAGCCCATTCTGGTAGGTTTCACTATCGTTGTAAACATCTTCACTGCTACCTCCTGTTAAGCTCCAGGTCGCCCTGTGACTGTATGTGAAAGCTCCAGGTCACTCTGTGACTATGTGTGGAAGCTCCAGGTCACTCTGTGACTGTATGTGGAATCTCCAGGTCACTCTGACTATATGTGGAATCTCCAGGTCACTCTGTGACTGAATGTGGAAGCTCCAGGTCACTCTGTGACTATGTGTGGAAGCTCCAGGTCACTCTGTGACTGTATGTGAAAGCTCCAGGTCACTCTGTGACTATGTGTGGAAGCTCCAGGTCTCTCTGTGACTGTATGTGGAATCTCCAGGTCACTCTGACTATATGTGGAAGCTCCAGGTCACTCTGTGACTGAATGTGGAAGCTCCAGGTCACTCTGTGACTGTATGTGGAAGCTCTAGGTCACTCTGTGATTGCATGTGGAAGCTCCAGGTCACTCTGTGACTGTGTGTGGAAGCTCCAGGTCACTCTGTGACTATGTGTGGAAGCTAACTCTCTGACTCTGTGTGTGTTCTTGTTACAGTTGGACAACCAGCTAACAGATGCATACTTCCCGACACTGCTGTGTCCTGCTCCGATACCCCAGTACATCCTCCGCAAGACGGGGACGAAGCCGTTCATAGAGCTGAGTCTGATGAGGAGAACAGTGCCGGAACGCAACATTGATACATTCAGGTGAACATCAACTCAAAGTTCAACATTTCTGGCAAATTCTCGTAAACAATAAGGCCTATGAAGTTGAATCTTTTTTGTGTGGGTAACACCAGAAAAGTGTCTCTAAGAATTGGCTATTGCAGCACTATTGAATTATCAGTTTTGCCCTCAGCTATTATCTACATTTTGTAAAGTTGTTATGCAGTAAAGCCTTAGAATATGAAAATAATATACCTAAATACTGTTTTTGGTGTCTTCTGATTTCTGACCAAGCTATGGCCTATTAAAATTTCTCGAACTTTGTGGTTTATGAAGCTGGATTTTTCTATTCCTAGCAATATTCAAAGAAATCTGATCCATCTTTTAACATAGCAGCCTTATTGAAAATGTCATTTTCACCATTACTCAGGGAATTCTGCATGTATCATGATGAAATATACATGCTATTTTGTGGCCTTTTTTTTGGCCTTTTTTGTGCATGTCTTGTTTATTATTTCATTGCAACCTTCATAATGCAAAGGTTGCAAAAATTCACAAAAACTTTCAGTTGAGCTACTGAGTCTTGTAGCTGTTGTTGTACTCGGTAGATTCCTAGGTGTTGTTTGCAGCAGGCTTTCTGTACACAATGAAATATCTGGCTTTTATCAACCTTCTCGGAATGAAATTAGTGTAAACCGATTCAGAATAATGACAGTGCAGTTGGTTATAAAACAATTTTTTTTTAAGCTACATTTAAGTATAGTGTGGCCACACCATGCTTGATTAAAGGAAGATCAATAATTGGCAAGTGTGGTTGTATCAGAGCACACATCTCCACTGAATGTCAAGAAGGCCAAAAAAATGCTGATCAATAATGGGAGGATGGGCTGAATTTGTTTTCCTTAAGCTATTCGAATGATTTTAATGCAAACAGACCAGTATTTCGAAGTAAAGAGATCAGTTTGTGATTTGACTATCAATTATAACAAAGCCTGTTGATCTGTTGATTTCTTTTGTTTCTAAACACTGAGTTTCAACAACGATGTTGACTGTTTGTATGACCGAGTGAGGTTGTGTGCAGGTACTTCAAGGTGCTCATCCAGGAGTTCAACATCTGTGTGGACAAGGGCTTTGTGCTGTCTCTGCTGGATGTGTTCTCCAGCCTATATACCACACCACCAGAGGTCAGTCAACTCACCGCCACAACGTGTGGCCACTCAAGGGGCAAACTATACCCTTGTATAATATGTGATGTTCTAAGGAGGATGTTTCTTCCAGTGCCACTTAAGAATAAGATGGATGTCAAAGAAATAATGGATATAGTCCAACTTAAGACACAAACCTGTTATCTCTTTCTTTTCAAATGTGTTTCTTTTATTCAGACCCCAAAAATAAAATAACGTTATTATCCCCTGCCTGGAAGTGGGGCCGGGGATATAGGAACGGAGTTCGTCTGTCCTTCTGTTCGTCCGTCTGCTTCTTAAAGGGGACAAATTTTGTCAAAAACTATTTGAGTCAGAGAAATGAACTGGCGTTATTGGTTATTATCTCAAATGATTTTTGAAAATTGGTCCTGTACATTTTTTTTTTACAGAGTTACAGCCCTTGATCGATGTTATTTTACTTAGTGCAAATGTGTGCCATGGGGACAAGTTTCCTCAGAAGCTACTGAAGTTGCATGAATGAAAGTTTGCATGCTTATCAAAGAAACACTTGCCAAGATTGAGTTTGAAAATTGGTGCTGTAAATTATTATAAACAAAATTCTAATGTGCCCCATGGCAGGAAATAATGATAATGCAGTTTTCTTGTTTTAGAATGGATTCATAATCCAAGTACTGCAAACAGTTTTCTTTAAGTACATCATCACTGCCATTTCGGTGCTAGATGTTTGTACATGTCCAGGACTCTAGCCATCTTGGAAGGTAGGACGTACATGTTAGTGTGTAACATATGTTGAAGTGTGTAATGGTGTTGTTTGTTACAGAGCCACCAGTTGCACTCTGACTTGCTGGTAGCCCAGAGGTCGCTGCAGGAGGTTGCTGATGTCATGGTGAGGACCTTGTGTCTTACTCTGGCATTAAAGGATTAGGTTAAAACTACAGAAGTGAAGTGTCTTCAGAAGAGGATGCATCCTCAAGTATCCAGTGTATTGTAGCGCCATTGCTTTACGATAAATACCCTGGAACTATTTGACAGTATGTCTTCGTTCAGAAGTGACGTCTGTATCCCCGTCTCTCCTGTCACTAGCTTCTTACAGAACTTCTCCCACTCATGAGGGTTATTTGAATTGAGGTGATTTTTAGCATTGTGCCATTGGGCTCAAATGAAGCTATGTTTGCCAATGGGTCCAAGCTATGTATCTGAACAGAATGGAGCTATAATACACTGGTGATGCAGGATGCTATGACAATTGTTACTTGACCCTCTCCTCATGGCCTGGTGCTGCTGTAAGACTTAGATGGGGATTGGGAAGTCTCTCTGTGACATGTATCCTTGTAGGCCAACTCTTGCTCCTGTCATCAATCTCTGGTGTGTCTGGCCCACATTATTTACAGCTGGAATATTTCTAACATCTGTGTAAAAGAACAGTTACTCACTCACACTTTAGTTGAGCCTTCGTCCTCAATGTGATAATCACACTCTAAAGTCACAAAGTATGTATTGGCTTGTTTTCTATTAGAAATGTATCTCCCTTCAGCCTCTTGTCCTTTACAACCTTGTTTAACGTGAGTGTTTGTCCTCAGATTGCAGCCCGGCCCCAGAGGGTGTACTTCGAGTTCCTGCATCTGTCCCCCCTCAAGGTAAGGTCTTCTATATGCCCTTTGGGGATTCTGGGTTAGAAGAGGTCCCAGCATCCTTGTCGCAAGGAGCGGCTGAATGCATCGGGTGGTCAGACTTAGTGACTTGGTTGATTGTGTGTCATTATGCTACGACTGTGTAATATCTATCACTGATTTGTCTGATTTACCGCTATCACATAGCTGGAATATTGGTGGGTGAGGTGTTTAACGTCAAACAAGGAAACTATTTGAAAGTTCAGTCATCTTTCCATGCTCCATACATCATTAACATTTACGATTTCTCATCATCTGAAGTCACCTATTAAGATGGAATTGTACATAGATGTCATTTGTTGTCTCAATCAACATAATGCTGATCCTATTTTAAACATGGTCATTCTTTTTTTGGAGGGGGGTGGGGCATGGAGACATTTAAGATATCTTACCCTTTTGTGACCTTTATGACCTTATCTTTATTTGTGGTTTGACATATTCGTTACAAATACTTCAACAATCAGGCGATCTACATACAGTTGTGTGGCTCTTCATTTGAGAACTGCATTAAATTATACATGATCGTCAAACTTCAGGGAATCACTTTCAATTAATTTACTTTGGACTAATCAATTAACAGGAGTATTATTTAACTACCAGCAGCCGCCATTTTGACAACTCACTGCACTTAAAGACATTTGGCGGTGTGATAAAGTTCCCACAATGCACTATCTGTTCTCCACTTGCTAGATGCGGGTGAGCTTCTCACTGAATGGAACTCCGCACATGGTGAACCAGAAGCCTTCGACCTTCACCTCCGACATCGTGGACTTCTTTCTCAACTCAGTTGGGGCTACTCTCACTGAGATCAAAGCTGTTGAGCTCAGGTACATAGATCTTATTTCAATGGCTGAGTACTGTTTCAGCTGAACCTCTAGGCTGTTTCAAATGAGTCACAAAGGGATATACAGTCAAGTCCCATTAATCCTACATGGTTGGTTGAATATGATTATGTCGGATTAACGATTATGTCGGATTAACAATTATGTCGAATAAACGAAAGAAAGTAGTTTCAACATCGGTTCCAATCATTAGTGATGGATAAAGCCGATTAACGAGTGTCTAATTAACGAGATTGGATTTTGAGAAGTGTTGAGTAGTTTCTGCTGATTTTATTTTGGGGTGAATGCAGGAATCTTAACATTAGACTTTTGGGGCCAACTGGCTTGTAATCTGACCAACATTGCATATTTTCAGAATGGCTTACTTCCAACGCCGAGGTGCTCTGCTGTCAACCAATCAGCTGCTAGCACAGATCCGCTCCCACTATACCCAGCAGGCCTTGCAGCAAGCGTATGTCCTGGTGCTGGGGCTTGACGTGCTGGGCAATCCATATGGTTTAGTGCGGGACTTCACCCAGGGACTTGGAGACTTCTTCTATGAGCCATTCCTGGTATTTTGTTTCTCATCATCTTTATCATCATCTTTATCATCATCTTTATCATCATCTTGATCATCATCATCATCATCATCATCATCATCATTGGGTACATTGTGTGAAGCCCATTTCTGGTGTCACCCGCCATGATCTTGCTGGAATATTGCTAAAAGCGGCGTAAAACCATACTCACTCACTCACTCACTCACTCACTCACTCACTCACTCACTCACTCATTCACTCACTCACTTATCATCATCACCATCATCATCATCATCATCATCATCATCATCTTTATCATAATCATCATCATCATCATCTTTATCATAATCTTCATCATCATCTTTGTCATCACCTTGCTCTTCATCTTCATCATCATCTTTATCATCATGTTCATCATCGTTATCACCATGTTTATCATTTTTATACTCATACTCATCATCATATTCATCATTATCGTTATCATTATCTTTATCTTCATCATCATGTGCTTTAGTCGTCTTACGCTTCTGTAAAGTTAGTTTTCTTTTCATCTAATGTTCCACATAGGTTAAGTCACTTGAATGTAGATTGGGCCCAAACTGGCCCAGTTGGCTAAGCTACCACAACTCACCTGCAGAGTTGTGTCCCTTAGCTGCCAGGATCTGCTGCCTATGGGTTCAAATCCCATCTCATTACTGTGCATAGTCTGTCAGCATCCTACTGCTGGGTTTCACCCGAGTAGTAAGAGTGTATGACTGACATCACTATAGCTGACATAGGTCATGATATAATTAAAATCTTATTACTCATTCACACAGATACATTGCTGTCAAAGATATGAACATGAATTTTATTTTTTTAAATCATACAATGATTTCCACATTATTCACTGGCCGAGAAGGGGTCATAATTTTCAGTATTGACTTGAGTTAATAAAAATAGAATGGGAATTACCCGGAAGTGGTATTTTCCAAACCTAAGCTAATCCGATCTGTCCGTGCTTTATTGTTTGATATGCTGAATCTACTTTCCTTCTTTATTATATAATGTAACAATTATAGGATTGTAAAGCATCTCTGTATATGTTGATGTTTCTGTCTTCAGGGTTCTATCCAAGGCTCGGATGAGTTTGCTGAAAGTCTTAGTCGCGGTGTACACAGTCTGATGGGCAATACTGTTGGTAGGTCTCCAACCCATAGTCACCAACCTTTCCTTATTGAGTAAATAATCTGTGGTGGTGCTTGGTCTTGTGTACAGCACACAGGTCACAAATCAGGTTAAGTTAAACAACTTCTGTTGCGGCGAGTAGTTGGATGGGTGACTGTGTTCAGTAGCTTGTCTCAGGGGAGTTTCTAAGACTTCAGTCCTGCCCCACACTGAAGCACATGTGGTGTCTCCTTGGGGCGGTCGGGCAGCCTAGTGGTTAAAGCGTTTGCCCTTCACGCCGAAGACCCGGGTTCGATTCCCGACATGGGTACAATGTGTGAAGCCCATTTCTGGTGTCCCCCGCCGTGATATTACTGGAATATTGCTAAAAGCGGTGTAAAACCATATTCACTCACTCACTCACCCCTTGGGCAAATGACTGTTTGAAATGCCTTGTTCACAGATCAGTGAATGGGTACCCAGTAGGAGGAGATGGTAATGTGACTGTTGACCATCTAAAATCTAGTCCACACTGATCCAGTGCCCCGGTGATCGTTTTGAGCAGTTATTATTAGGAAAATGTTCGATACAATTTGATAATATAATGATATAATATAATGAAACTTTAATTGCCACACAGATATTCAGTGTATGGTATACCCAAGGCAGCAGTGACAAGTTTACCTACACACAATGTTATTTGTTCACAGGTGGTGCTGCTGGTTCTGTTGCCTTGGTAACAGGATCTCTAGGCAACGCCCTAGCTTCACTTTCATTTGACAAAGACTACAAGAGGGTGAGTATCTCGTGGCTGGAACCTATTGCACTGTAGTGATTCATGTGTACAAGATAACATATATAGGATAGGCAAAACAATTGTAAATCTTTCTTCTCTGAGGATGCATTTCTCCATTTTTAATTTACTGGACACAGTTTAACAACATGGCTGTCTACAGTCCTTCCCTTGAAGGTAGGAAGGTAATGCAGGGTTGTACACGACACAGAAATGTGCTTCCATTATGCACAAATGTATAGAATGGATGCCAAAAATCTTTGATTGTGTTCCGATCAACACAAATAATTACTCTAATTACCACCAAATTCTTGACAAGAAATATGAAGGTCCTGTAATCAAAAAAAGTATCAAATTTTACAGTACAGTACACTACACCATTTTATTACTTCAAAGAACCCTCATATTTCCTGTAAGGGTCTGGGTTTGCCGATTTAGATTTAAACCGTGATGATGAAGAGCTGCTGTGTGTTGTTCTTCCTGTCCCACCATGTCAGAACATGATGGCTGCTATGTTGATAGAAATGTCAGATGTTACTAAGTCGCTGACCCAAACATGGCACCAACTCACAATCTAAAGTTATCACCAAAGACTTATAAGGGTGCTTGTTATAAACCAGAACATCCAATCTGAGTTGGTGATGACAGTGTGTTTGTTGTTGCAGAAGCGACGTACACGAATGCAGCAGCAACCACGGAGTCTACCTGCCACCATCGTTGTTGCAGGCCGCAGCATGGTGCTCGGTGTCTGTCTCGGATTCTCAGGGCTGGTTCTCGACCCAGTCAAAGGTAACAGCATTCATCAACATCCTGTGTGTGTTTGAACAGCGATAGAAACTAACATCTTGAGTCCACTAGTCCTTATGATGATATCATATAGCAAAACCCTTAAAAATGGCAAATTTCTACTAGTCCTTATGATACCTTAACTGGTGGGCAGTTTGGCAAGGACTATAGGACTAGAGCCAATTTCTATCGCTGTTGAATGTTTTTCATACATTATAGTCGATGTGATGACATTCCTGTCTCCCAGTGGCTAATTGGGGTTAGAACCAGTCACCAGTAACCTCTGCTTGTTGTTGCACTGACTGCAAGTTTACCCCAACAGCATATATAAATGCTCATGCTTTCAGTCATGAGTTTTCCTGGTACAGACTTAATTATTTACTGCACACCATAATATTGCTACAAAATTTCAGACCTACAGTCACTCACTGACACATTCGAGAATGGGGACACGGGGTAGAATGTGTCCCCAGCACCCGATAGCTAGATGTAAGAGGCTTTTGGGTTAGAACTGGTATATAGCAACCTATGCTGGTCGTATGAGGCGACTAAATGGATCGGTTGGTCAGACCAGGTGACTTAGTTGAAGGCGTGTCAATGTACCCCAACAACCTGGATCATTGCTCTTAATTACCAATCACTGGATTGTCTGGTCCAGACCAGGTGACTTAGTTGAAGGCGTGTCAACGTACCCAACCAGACTGGATCATTGCTCTATTACCAATCCCTGGATTGTCTGGTCAAGACTCAATTATTTACAGACCTCCGTCATGTAGTTGGAATGATGCGGCCAATAAACAGACACATTGTTATTATTTCTTATTGTCTACTAGTGTATCCAACAATCAGTGAGGGCTGCTACACTTCCTATTGTTATCCAGGTGCTCATGAGGAGGGCGTTGAAGGTTTCTTCAAGGGTGTGGGTAAAGGCATCCTGGGATTGCTGACGAAACCTACAGGTGGCATTGTCGACATGGTCAGCATGGCCTTTGATGGCCTGAGGAGGTAAGTCTTGAAGGAAACGTCATCTCAACAGGAAGTGATTGTTGGTTTTGTGTATGAAGTTCATCATGAATTCTAGCAGTATAGCGAAGATAACTGAAGATAACTTTATGTTTATATCAATATCATCAATCTGCAAAATGAGAGTTGGTTATTTTTATTCAGGACAAATTTTATGTTTTGAATAACATCATCAGTCTGCAAATGAGAGTTAGTTATTTTTATGCAGAACCAATTTTTTTTTAAATTGTGATGATAATTATTCCATTACCTGAAAAAAATCATCTCAAGATGGTATATACGATTCAAAAGAAGTTGAAGAACACCCAATTCTCTCATATTTCTATAGTTAATATGTCATGGCATACTTTGGATAGCGAAAATAACGACTTGAATATAAACACAAACTCAGTTTATTGAGCAGCAGTTGTAACAAGTATATAAACATGTCATTCAAAGAATAGGAATTACACAATAGGTATCCGGTCACTGCTGGGGTCAAGAGTTCTACACACTCGTATCAAACTGGGCACCATTGACCACTCCAGCAGTCCAGTTTGTTGACACCTTCTCCACATACCAATCAGTGAACTGTTGGTTCAATTACTTTATTGCTTTTGAACTTCCTTAATGCCAGTCAACAGAATAAACATAGAAACTGTGTCTTGTTTTTAGGAAACCACTGTTTATTGTTTTTATGGAAGTGCTCTACTCGGAGCTAGTAAGCGGTGCTATTTGCTGTTTGATTGGATTTAGTTAAGGGTCCAATAGTTATCATTCCACTGGAGATAGGGGGAGTCACATTGATATTGAGTCGTATTTTTGGCGAAGCGTCAGCAGTTGTATTAATTTGGAGACGCATTAATTTCAAGATTTACAACAACATCATAAGTTTGTATAAGAGAACTGATACTGGTTACTTTTATGGAAGACCAATCTATTGCAAGGCAGTTAGTTAATGCTACTGTGCCAGCTTTAACAGAAAAGTTGCTGGGTCAACACTTGAGTGAAATTAATAAACGCCCAGGTGTCTAATAAAGAAAATGCAGTATTCACTTATGTTGATCATTGTCTGTCTGCAGATCAGCCGAGATGGAAGATGGGGTTGTCGCCAGAATGAGGCTACCTCGCTACATCAACCCAGTCATGGTGAGTGGTCAATCGGTTTTCATATCACTCTCCAACATGCTTCAAACAACTTAAGTCTTCATGTGTATTTCTTAATGTGAGCAGGGGCACAGGTGGCCCAGTCGTCTAAGGTGCCGCAATTCGCTGTGCAGATGTGATTGTGGGTTTCGAATCCCGGTTCGCCCCGATTATGTTTCTAGGTTTGTCAGCACCATACCCGTGCTCGTGGGTTTCACCGAAGTGGTAAACGTCTGAGACCTGCATCACTTCGGGCTTTCCTCCCACACTAAGCTGACATGCCGTGATATAACTGGAATACTGTTCAAAGCAGCGTTAGACCCAACTCACTCACTCACTCTTATTGTGAGCCATTTTACATTATTATTACGACATTGTGATTGTATTTACAGGGTCTGAAGCCATTTTCCCCCTACAAGTCTATAGGTCACCGTCTGCTGTATACGATCTGTAAAGGAGAGTATGCCAAGTCGGACATGTACTGGACTCACATCCCTCTCAGCAAAGAGGAGCGAGCAGACGTACTCATGATCACAGACAGGTGAGGCGACTCAGGATGTAATGGGAGTGTCAGGTTACAAACTTGTTGATACAAGGGCACTGTTCGGACGCCAATGTTAGCTTGTGTGTTTTTTATATTCTGTATAGAAACAACAAAGTTGTATGTGTCTGTCCCAGTACCGGTAGTCAGTGTCTGATATTACCGATGTGCTTGTGTCTATCTCTGGTATGACCGATGTGCTTGTGTCTATCCCTGATATTACCCATGTGCTTGTTTCTGATTCCCCTGATATTACCGATGTGGTTTCAGACATCTGCTGGTTCTAGAGAAGAGACGGTTCTGGGGAGGATGGGACGTGGAAATGAAAATCATCGTTGATCACATCCTGGGTGTGCCAGCCATCCTCGGTGACAAACTTGTCTTCAAAGTTAAACAAGTAAATACCAGACACAACATGTTCTCTTTCTTTCATTTCAATCTTCTTCAAATCTCTGATATACTTACCCCCATATGCCATATGGCAATGAAGTCTAGATGTTGTATGTGCAGGCTGTCTGCTATAAATCAGGGCAATTAGCAGTCTTGACAAGTTTTATGCATGTCATTCAGGACACACACTTCCATTTTTTGTTCTACCTACCTAGAAGTTAAGGACACCCATGAAGATCCGGGGTAGAATAGGTCTTCAGCAACCCATGCTTGCCATAAAAAGCGACATGCTTGTCGTAAGGGGCGACTAACGGGATCGGGTGGTCAGGCTTGCTGACTTTATTGATGCATGTCATTGTATCCCAATTGTGTGGATCGATGCTCATGATGTCAATCACTGGATTGTCTGGTCCAGACTTGATTATTTACAGACCTCTGCCATATAACTTGACTATTGCTGAGTACAGCGTTAAACAACAAACAAACAAACAGAAGTTGAGGATAACCCTACATGTTGACAATATCTCAGTCACTGTACTGGTAGTAATCTTGAACTTTGTTAGAAATGTGTTCCAGAAGAATATGTGGCATGGTTGAGAAGCCAGTGAATGAGTCTAACGTTGGTGTTTCCTTCCCACAGAATGACTCAAGTGTGAACCTCTTCTCGGGGAGTGAGATGGAGATACGGAGTCCAGAGCCGGAGATCCTCACCTGGGCACAGAAGCAGATAGAGAACGTCATTCAGTTCCGCCAGCAGTGATTGGTGTGTCCTGGGCTGGACTCGGCCTCCTTACTCATACTTCACATATATGTTACTGGACCTGAAACTTCATACAGACTTTCCAGTTGTATTTTAAACTTTTTGTCATATAAAAAGAATGTGCAATGATCGTGACCTGTTCCAGGACGATGGTGTAGTGGACAAGAACAGCTATACATATTGGTGTGATTGTCACACAAGTAGGAACCTTTGACCAAGGGACATGTATGATGTTGTATGATGTGAATGGCAACAGATGACACCTGGCTTGGTCCCCAATCTCCACAAGTCCTTCAGGACCAGACAATGGATGCAGACCTGTAGTGGAGCTTCTCAAGTGATCTCTACAACCACCTCCTCCATGTGTTCTCTAGGACCCAATGCAGGAACGAGGTCCTCTCATGATGGCACCAATGGCAGCAGGACCTCTAGGGATAACAGCTGTCCAGGGAACAAGATGTTTCTGTGAGGCCCCACAATTCCAAGGGAACAAGATGTTTCTGTGAGGCCCCACAATTCCAAGGGAACAAGATGTTTTTTGTGAGGCCCCACAATTCCAAGGGAACAAGATGTTTTTGTGAGGCCCCACAATTCCAAGGGAACAAGATCAGCGTTAGAAATTGGCACTAGTCCTATAGTCCTTGCCAAACTGCCCAATACTTAAGGTATCATAAGGATTTGCCATTTTTAAGGGTTTTACTCTATGTTGTCATTATAAGGACTAGGAGACTAAAACTGTTAGTTTCTGTTGCTGAAGATGTTTCTGTGAGGTGCCAAGAGGACCTTCAGACAAGCCGCATTGCCAACCCTTGTTTAGAGGTATCCTTCATCAATACTTCTTGACACAGTAATCTGACTTTTACTGCTGTGTGACGGTCTGTGTTCCACAGATGCTCTGCAGACCTTCATCAAGGAGCTTTAGTGTCCTTATCTCTAAACAGACTTCCTGACAGGGTTGGTGTGTTGGAGGAATGTGTGACGTGGACGTGTATCCATTACATGTATTTACGCTTAAGTTGTCTGTTACGTTTATGTACTGTCAAGTTATCCATTACATATATCAAGTCAACTGGTTGGGGACCAAGTAAACAGAAGAAAGGTGACACCTGTGAACTGTGTAACAGGACATGCTGAGTCAGGCTCAGTGGCTCCATCTAGTTCCTCAACACTGAGGCAAGAGTTGACTGTAAGCACTGGATGGAATGTTCGACCATGGTCACAACTCACCTGTCACGTCTGAGCACACCTTTCTCCCCTCACCTCGTCTGGAGGATTCCATGGGGTCAGTCCCCTTGTAGACTGGAAGTTGTATTCTATTCAGCATTGTTAATTTATTTTATTATCTTTTGGAGTAGAATTATGAAAAAAGCATTTGTTGCTCACACACACATATTATTTACAACTTTACTCCACATCTTTAAGAATCATAGACACTGAAATTAGACATTATAGAATATAATACTGATATATTTTTATTGAAATGTGATATTAAACATGTTGTTATCCGTCTGAGACTGATTTCCCAGAGGGCACTACATGTACTAGCTCTACCCGTGTTAGCTACCATGGTCCTTGTTCAGAGATACAGCTCTGCCTTTGTCCTAGCTGAGGGATAGAGCTCTGCCTTGGTCCTAGCTGAGGGATAGAGCTCTGCCTTGGTCCTAGCTGAGGGATAGAGCTCTGCCTTGGTCCTTGCTGTGAGATACAGCTCTACATTGGTCCTAGCTGATAGTTACAGCTCTGCCTTGGTCCTAGCTGTGAGATACAGCTCTGCCTTGGTCCTAGCTGTGAGATACAGCTCTGCCTTGGTCCTTGCTGTGAGATACAGCTCTGCCTTGGTCCTTGCTATGAGATACAGCTCTGCCTTGGTCCTTGCTATGAGATACAGCTCTGCCTTGGTCCTTGCTGTGAGATACAGCTCTGCCTTGGTCCTAGCTGTGAGATACAGCTCTGCCTTGGTCCTTGCTGGGAGATACAGCTCTGCCTTGGTCCTTGCTATGAGATACAGCTCTACCTTGGTCCTTGCTATGAGATACAGCTCTGCCTTGGTCCTTGCTGTGAGATACAGCTCTGCCTTGGTCCTTGCTGTGAGGTACAGCTCTGCCTTGGTTCTAGCTGTGAGATACAGCTCTACCTTGGTCCTAGCTGATAGTTACAGCTCTGCCTTGGTCCTAGCTGATAGTTACAGCTCTGCCTTGGTCCTAGCTGATAGTTACATCTCTGCCTTGGTCCTAGCTGATAGTTACAGCTCTGCCTTGGTCCTAGCTGTGAGATACAGCTCTGCCTTGGTCCTAGCTGAGAGTTACAGCTCTGCTTTGGTCCTAGCTTTGAGATACAGCTCTGCCTATGGTGGCTACATGGGTTCTAGCTGAATTATGCAGCTCTGTCTGGGGAACTATCTTGGTCCTAGATGTTACATCACTATGTGGATGGAATGTTGTCGATATTAAACTCACTCATTCATTTATGCAGCTGTGCCAAGGTCCCATGAATTTACTTGCTGCACGACCGTTTTCTTGTGCTGCCACAACCATTTAAGCTTTGTCTTAGTGAGGTCCCACTGTCCTTTCTGGTGTATAAAGCTATTGGTGAATGGGTACCCAAAGACCTACCGGTAGTCAGCTTTCCTTGCATAAGCCTATAACTAACCTGGCTGACATCCTACATGGTTAGAATTCTACTGGGTTGACAGCTCAAGTCCACAGCATACTGTTTCCCTGTCAGCTGGACCAGTGAGATGTACTGGCTCAGTAGACGCCTTCTTTGTAGTACCAACTTCAGTGGCACATGATTCATTCCCACAGTTCATTGTAGCCATCTTGTCTGATTCATGGACCAGATGTCCACGGCCTGTTTCACACAGCGATCTTAGCGTCACTTGAACATGGACTTACGAGTCTTAGCACTACGATCGCTTTGTAAAATGGGGCCTAGTTCCTTAAGCCTTCTTAGTGCTAAGATTAAATACTACATAGACTTACGACAGTCATATAACAAGGATCACTTTGTGGAATGCGCCCAACTGCTTCTCCACAAAGAACCAAACAAAGTTCACTTTCTGGAATGCGCCCAACTGCTTCTCCACAAAGAACCAATGTCCAACTTTGTCATCTCTAGTCTGTTGTCACCTGTATTAGTTAGATGCAGATGACACTTAAAGATACACATTGTCTTTGTGATAGATCAGTTTAGGTTATGTTGTAGGGGGTAGACTGTGAGGGACATAGGCAAGTCATCTGAACACATGACAAACTTGCAGGGAGGACACCAGAATTATGCAAATGTTTCAGGAGAGTTGTGAAAAGCCCAAGTGGTTTGTATAAATGAAAATTCGCATTTTCATTGTCAACAAGATATCTCCAACCTCCCCGATAATAATTCAACTGTATATCCATAGTTGAAACTAAACAACTTGTTCAAGTTTGATATACAAATTTTAAGATGCGAGATCACTTTATCTTGTCTATAGAGTACAGCAAGCTACAGGAGTGCAATATGGAACCATGACACTTACATTAAGGCATATGTGGTCATTGTTATGGTTGTTTGAGCTTTGCAGGACAATGGCATTAGAAAACCCCACAATTGTTTCAGCCAAATATTTCACCCTTAAAATCCTTTCCCTCTTTTTCTGCCATCCTGACCGACACCAGCATCAGGATATTTCCCTGGACACATGTGGTCATGGTGACCAGCTTTCATGTGATATTACCAAGTCATGTTGATATATATATATATGTTATATACCACTATGTTGATTGTTAGTCAGTATTAGCAGCGTGTGTGATATAGAGCATTATGGCATGTTATAGAGTCGCACACAGGGCTTGGTTGTTTCACTGCTCATCCGTTATACAAATTGTTTATATCAATATACATTAATGTGATATTTTCCTCTTCAGCTTTTTCATAGCTAAGATTATGTGTTTATTGTATGTTTGTGTTGTTTGAAAGAGCTCTACCCACCTACGTTGTCGTGGCAACACACACACCATATGTCCATTCAGTAGACTAGGTATGTAGAGGCAGAAATCCTGCATATAATCAAGTTGTTAGAAGACGTAATATATGCCAAATGATATCGTATACGTCAATGAGATTGCTGTTGAGATATGTGACAAGATATTGTGAGTCCACGAGGCTGTTCATGTTATTTCCTCTTTGTGATATAAATATATGTTTATTGAGTTGGCTACTGCAACATCTGAAGAGGATGTAGTGAGATAGAGAGTTGGTCAGAGGGGAGAGACTTGATAGAAATAATGAGGTCTTAAAAATACACCATTTATTTATGTTCATGGTTAATACTTCATATCAATTAGGGCATTGTGGGTGGTTAAAGCGTCTACAGCCTGAGTTAGAAATTCCATCGTTGGTACAATGTGAGAAGCCCATTGTTGGTGTCCCCAGATACTGCTGGAGTATTGCTAAAAGTGACATATCAAGTAAGTAAGTCTTCATTTAGTGTGCTCATGATATTGCCACAGGTTGTCTATTGGGTACGTAAGAGTGAGTTGGGTTTAACGCTGACATGAACAGTATTCCAGTAACATCAGGTCGTGTCAGCTTAGTGTGAGAGGAAAGACGAAGTGATGCAGGTGTCAGTTGTTTACCACTTTGGGGAAACTCATGACCAGGGTCTGGTGCTGACAAACCCGGGACATCATAGGGGCAAACCAGAATTCAAACCCAAAATAATGGGTTTCTGGTGAGTGCACAGTGAATTGTGCTGCTTCAGACGACGGGTACAAAAGACATTAATGCCAAGCTTGTCTATATGGGTTTATTTATTTCAACGGGTCGATCTATCCACCACATTGTCAAAGCTTCAGGACAGGGGTCCCATTCTGGTTGGCATGTACTTAAATGATGAAATGACTTCAAAATGTGTCGATGATTGTTGTACAGAGTTCTCATACTCTTCATTGTTTTACCTCTTGTCCTAATTTTTTCTTGTGACAACTTTCTCCATCATCTGCATGTATTTATGGTGTCGGCACCAACATGAACTGTGTACTTCACTCCAACACACTGTCAGATCATGCACACAGATGTGTCTGTGGACAGTGCATGGTCCGGCACCAACATGAACTGTGTACTTCACTCCAACACACTGTCAGATCATGCACACAGATGTGTGTCTGTGGACAGTGCATGGTCCTGGCACCAACATGAACTGTGTACTTCACTCCAACACACTGTCAGATTATGCACACAGATGTGTGTCTGCGGACAGTGCATGGTCCGGCACCAACATGAACTGTGTACTTCACTCCAACACACTGTCAGATCATGCACACAGATGTGTGTCTGTGGACAGTGCATGGTCCGGCACCAACATGAACTGTGTACTTCACTCCAACACACTGTCAGATCATGCACACAGATGTGTGTCTGTGGACAGTGCATGGTCCGGCACCAACATGAACTGTGTACTTCACTCCAACACACTGTCAGATCATGCACACAGATGTGTCTGTGGACAGTGTATGGTCCCGGCACCAACATGAACTGTGTACTTCACTCCAACACACTGTCAGATCATGCACACAGATGTGTCTGTGGACAGTGCATGGTATTGGGAGAAAATTGTCAAATATACTACTGAAAAGAAGTTAAGGACCATGCAATTCTTTCTAATTATTATAGCCCTAGTCATATGAAAAAAATTAGTGTTGTTAATTTCTTTGGGGTAGTATATGTTCTACAATGCATAATCATACCTACAGTATTTACAGGTTACAAATCATAATAACACACTCATGTTCCATATTCTAGTGTTGATTTTTACTCTATTTAATGAAAATTGTTTGCTTAAGCTTATAATTATGTTGCATAATATATTTTACAATTATTGTTAGTTTTGTTTTCATGGCAATCTTTCATTCATCAGATTTTATGAGTTTTATCAGAGACTTAATTTTATTTGATGGTCTCTAGTTTTATTTACAACCTTGTCCACTGTACTTGTACGTTGCATACTGCATGGTTTCATTCTATTTGAGCATGATCATTAACTTTGTACACATTCCAGTTTCATTTCTCGCATTATCTCTGTTGTGAATACACAGACTCGTCCAACTTGTCCTCCACACAGAGTATATGCTATATTCCCACCTGGAGGATGTCAGTCAGTGTGTGAGGACATTCATGCTGCTGTCTGTATCCATCAGTACCTGTGCTCCAGTGCAGTACGGGACAGGTAGTCGGAAGCCCCGTCATGGAATGAAGCTGGATGTTCTTGTCTATGATGACGATGATGCGTTACTGCTAAAATGGCACCAAGTATCTCTCAAAAGATGGTACGTTATTCCAGTTACCATGCAGACCCCATAACTTATCCATCTCAGTATATATACATCATGCAATACTGGTTATAAACGACAAATAATAAAAATTGCAACTTAAGTAAGGTCAGACATTTTGGGGGGTTGGTTTACAGATTTGTTGCCAATTTTGATTGAAATTTTTTTGTTAAAAAATCAAATTCAAAATATAGTCTTTTATTTCTCCTTGCGTTGCATCATAATGTGTTGTGTTTTGAAGTTTTTAAGGTAAATTTTTAATGTGTTAAAATCATAGTATTTTAAATCATTTATTCATATTGATAGCGACCATAAAGGAGTTTGTTTTGAACATTTTATGTATTTCTGGTCAGCAGAAATTGTTTTGAGCCAGCAGATTCGAAACTAATTTGTAAAAAACAGTCAGGCCAAAGATTGCAGTACCTTTCTTGATGGATGTCCCAAGTTGTTGACAGCGCAAAAAAAATCATATTCCCACATTCACAAAAAAATTGTATAGCTAAGCTACCTGATACATATAATGTCAGTGTGAACTGTCTTAAATGATATTGTGTTTCACGAATTTTATTGAACAATTATGTTTGTTTATGTGCTTGTCTGATGGTTCATGGTGCTGTTCTGAAGGCATGAGTAATGATTTAGGTAGTACTTGCTGTTTGTGTTGTTTCTGCATTCTGTGATACCAACCTTTGTACACCTGGAATCAGCTTCTACAGGCACAGAGGGATACCTCTAACCCTGCTTCATCAACTATACACCCCGTGGGGATTCCGGGTTAGCACAGGTCCCCAGCAACCTATGCTGGTCTCCCTGTTGGGATTCCAGGTTAGAACAGGTCCCCAGGTCAACTATGCTGGTGCCGTTGGGATTACCGGTTAGAACAGGTCCCAGTAACCTATGCTGGTCTCCCTGTTGGGATTCCTGGTTAGAACAGGTCCCCAGGTCAACTATGCTGGTGCCGTTGGGATTACAGAACAGGTCCCAGTAACCTATGCTGGTCTCCCTGTTGGGATTCCTGGTTAGAACAGGTCCCCAGGTCAACTATGCTGGTGCCGTTGGGATTACCGGTTAGAACAGGTCCCCAGCAACCTATTCTTGTCTCCCAGTTGGGATTCCAGGTTAGAATAGGTTTTAGCAACCTATGCTGATGTCCCTGTTGGGATTCCGAGTTCAAACAGTTCCCCAGCAACCTAAGCTGGTCTCCCTGTTGGGATTCCGGCTTAGAACAGGTCCCCAGCAAACTATGCTGGTCGTAAGAGGTGACCAAATGGATCGGGTGGTCAAGTTCGGTAACATGGTTGATACTGTATCATCGTGCCCCGATGGCTTGGATCATTGTTCACAATATCAATCACTGGATTTTCTGGTCCTGGCTCAATTATACTACTCAAAAGAAGTTAAGGATCACCAGATTCTTTCATATTACAATAGTTAATCTCTCATGCCATGACAGATTAACATTACCAATATGAAAGAATCGGGTGATCCTTAACTTCTTTTGAGTAGTATATTTACAGGCCACTGTCATATAGCTGGAATATTGCTGAGTTAGGCGTCAAACAACAAACAGATATCAACTATACAATCCTACAGGGCCATCAGTCCATGGTTAATCTAGCCCTTGTTCTTGTCCCTACAACAACCATGCAGTAAAGTTCAACATTGAGTCTATATTAATCTGACCAATCTATCATATTCTATATGGAATTCAGTTATAAAGTGCAGATGTTTCCAGCACTTGTTCCCTCAATTGCTTGCATTCACGGAGCCTCAAACTGTATTGAGTGAAGCATGCTTATGCTAAAGACTCTCACTCATCACAAACTGTGACGCTTGCAAGTCCACTGCAATTAAACGCAACCAACCATCAGTACACTTGACTATATATGTAATCGCATTTCCAGTGATCTCGATTACACCGGGCATTGTCATATCAAAATATAGAGGTTACCAGAAGAATGGTTTGGTAGAGACCAGTTTACGGGAGGTAGTATGTCTGGATCTGTTGACTGGGAAAGGGTCCAGATTATGTTTCAGGTAGGCAGTGCACAACATAGAATGCTGGAACTCCCACACTTAGTAGATCAGAGATGATAGTGTCAGTCGGTCCCTACACAAAACCTGGCACTGAGCCTGTGGATCTTTGGCTCAACCTAAAGGAAGCCATCAAGTTTTACCCAAATGCTGGAAGATCTAAAGTGATATGTGACCTAAAAACGTGACAATGGTATTTCCTTTCAGCACATGATACCAGTGCTATAGCTACATCTTCGCACTGTGTGAAAAAATGCTAAAAATATCCTACTCAACAAGTGAATAAAAGAACCACAATGACTAAAGATGACTATTTTGGTCCTTAGCAAATGCTGATTAGAATAGCATGATAATGTAAGCCTTGGGTTAAGCAGGCCTTGAACTGGGATCTTGGTGGTGGCCTTTTAGAGCTGATTATCATCAGATCAAACAAACTGATCAAGTCCGTCAGATGTCAACATACAGACTAATCTAGGTACCGGCTTAAACAAACTGTGCACTTGTGAAATTGCTGGATAATGTGTGTGATTATTAATACGGTGGCAAATAATACCACTGCTGACACTATCCTAGCTATATCCTAGTTATATCCCACCCATTTACCAATACATCCTCTATTTCAGGTTACTTTTTTTTTTAACTATTGATAGTCAAACCATCTGTGTTTAAATGCATTAGCACAGCTGACAATTACTGTATTACCTGATGGGGATGCCCTGTGGTGTGTTGGCCTCCCTAAGTGTGTGTGTCTTAAGTATTGTTGATACTTTGTTCTGCTGTGTTGAGTATCGTGCTACCTGCCGGCCACCCTGCTGTTCTGTGTATGGCTGTGTTATGTCTGTGGTGATATATGATTGTATTCAACATGTTTCTGTGAGCTAGCTGCACAATGATTGGTCAGTTCTGTGCTGGTACATACCATATTTTCTGAAGATGGAATAAAAAAATCCATTTTCATGCAGTTGATTGAGTTTGTTGTTTTGTACATACACATACTATTTTAAAGGATGTTAATATATCCTGAACCGCAATGGGAAACTTTCATGATTTTTTTTCATGAAGTGACAATTCTTTGGTGGTTCAGCATACTTTATAGAAAAGAGAAACCTAAAAATGGCTGATGGGGCCATTGGTGCGGGTAGGCCTACTACAGAAATGTGTTACCTCCTTCTGGTAGGGGATTAAGGCATATTGCACGGTTTCATGCAATGTGAGAAAAACAAGTCTCAACTCCAGAGCCGTCCGTACTGCCAAGCTAAGGGATGTGGCCATGTGCCGCTTCTATGTTCAGACAAGGACAAGGACCCCATCTAAAACATGGAGGTCATGTTCAATATTACTTGATGTATGTCACTCATAAGTGGTTTAATAAGAGGACCCTGTGGAGATTCGGGGGATTCTACTTAGAATGGTCCCCAGTCCCTCATGGCCAACTAAATTGGGTATTGAGTGGTCAGACTTGCCAAATTGTCATAGATCCCACATGGCCTGGAGTGATGCTCATGCTTTCAGTCACTGGTTTGCCTGGCCCAAATTTGGCCATTTACAGGCTTCTGTGTGAGAAAGCAAGAATAATGCTCACTGTGGGTCAAGCCTTTGACACTCACGGAAGATCTTGTTAATGTATTTAAAAACTAGTCAAAAGTCTTAACACAGTGTTATGCCTTGTGGCTGAGGAACTAGTAAAACATTAGCTATGTTATACATAGAATAGGACTGGAATACTGTCAGCATGTTTTATTGACACAAGGGGACCATTTATACACAACAGAAGCCCCATCAGACGTGAGCTCTTAACAGCAGTTAAGATAACATCTCAAACGTTGTACAAATAATTTGTATGTTAACAAGGTATCAATAATGTTTACATTTTAACAAGACACAATACAAACAATCTGTCACATCATCAAAACAACTCTGGTCTCTAACCAGATTCGGGGTCGTCAGGTAGCCTAGTGGTTAAAGCCTTCGCTTGTCACGCCAAAGATCCGAATTCGAATCCTGACATGGGCACAATGATTGAAGCCCTTTTTTGGTGTCCCCTGCTGTGATATTGCTGGAATATTGCTAAAAGCAGCATAAAAATACATACTCACTCCTGACCAGATTCACCAGATTTTGTATGTACAAACAAACACCAAGCTTGTGATGACAAGCAAGGTCCCAGTGATATACAAAATACCAAATTTGGTCCTGTTTCATTCATGACAACTTTTCAAATACACTGCATAATATTACAGGAAGACAAAAATGACAAAGTATCAGTTTTAGTGGAGATGACATCCAATGGGAATAAAGCATGGGAAGTCACTCTGAAGAGGGGGTAACACTTTGCCCTCAAGACCCAGGTGCTGACCGGTTAGCACATTGACGTCGACACTTCACATGTTTGTATACACTACATTCCTCCATCAACCAGGAATATGTATGTGATGATTGTCTGTTTTTAGTCCGGTAATGAAATAGAGCTCATGACTTACACACAGCCTATGTGCACAAACTTTGTGCGAATCCTACCCTTTCCTGACATTGAAGAAATGTGTAGAGTACTGGTATGTCCGCAAGGTGGTGGCACACGTTGCATGAGAAATATCGCAGATGTAATCTAAGTGCTCATTGGTCTTCATTCATTCGTAACAAATTGCATCTTAAACACAGTGTTTGTGATGTTTTCACGGACAGAGGTCGCACTTTGATGTCTACACCCGGTCACCTGCTGTGACGAGTTCAAACCACTGACGGAGAGCATCGCTGAGTGTTTGTGGGAGAGAGTTGATGTCTCGGAGGATGATGTAGAATGGGAAAGGGAAGCTCTCCATGTACGACCTGATCTCTGGAAGCTGAAACAGGATTGAAGAGTTGACGAGTCTCTGAGCTTTACAGGATAATTACAAATGGCAATTTTCAGCTACAAATATCAACAATATGATGATAGACAAAGTGGCACTATAATACATACCATGCTCTGGAAAAATTGACACAACATGATGGTGAAAGTTTAACGTTAACAAAAATAGTTTGTCTATAGGCGATCTTTTTTGGTGTAAATATCAAATTCACACATCATGACACACAGGCGAACAAGTACCAAGTGTCAGTACTGTAAGCATAAGTGCATCAGTAATGATACAACCATGTTTCACAATGACCTTGACCTGTGATAGACAGCACCAACACCAGATGTGGTAGGATTTGTAAAGATACATGCAAATATAAGTTTCATGGCAATATCATGAGATTATATAAAAACCTGAGTGTTTTTCTGTGACAAAATCACCCAACGAATTATTAAACCCATCATTCATGAGTACTCGTGAATTCAACGTCTGATGTCTGGTGCCATTCGTGCCATATTGACATATTCCTTACCACTCAGCATTGGGATCACGCGTGAGTGTCCATAGACTAAAGTTACGAGACACCATGCCTACCATGCACTAAGTTTAACAGTGTGGACGTAGCTCAGTCAGTCAGCTGTCTGGCTAACAATCCGAGGGTCGCAAGTTCGCGTCCAATGTATTCTCACAAAAACTGGTTGCTTGTCTTTGAGACACATGACCTACGACAGATCGCCCTGACAAAAGTTGTGGTACTTTATTCTCAAGGTGCTCCAAGTAACCTTTTAGAAAGTGTAATCATAAACTTTTCATTTTTTCTCTCATGACCTTTGACCTTTTCACTACACCTGCCAAAAGAATATGCCCCAGGGCCATTTGGAAGAAGCCCAAGGAAGAGCGAGCGAGTGAGTGAGTGAGTATGGTTTTATGCCGCTTTTAGCAATATTCCAGCAATATCACGGCGGGGGACACCAGAAATGGGCTTCACACATTGTACCCATGTCGGGAATCGAACCCGGGTCTTCGGCATGGTGAGCGAACACTTTAACCACCAGGCTACCTGACCGCCCCCCATGGAAGAATAATCTCTAATGTCAATAATCTTTGCACAGCAGTCATTAGGAAAACCACAGCCCAAAACCTTAAAGCAGTCCCGTTTCCTGAGACTACAAATGACACAAGCCAATGATGAAAGTTTAATGTAAACTAACCTACTTTTTGTCCATAGTCAATGTTGTTTTGTGAAACTTTAAAAATCAAACATGGCGACAACTATGTATTGATACGTCACCCTATGATACGCTAGTCATGTTGAAACCTGATGTATCGCTGATTCATCCCACTCCTAATAACTAAAAACAATAATAACTCCTAGGTGCTCAAAGAGGACAGCCTCCCTTCTGAAAAAAACCCATTGCTTTATATTGACCTACAAGAACCCAAGGACGTTTGACCTAACAATGGGGCAGACAGAGCCAAACAAAAGGTCCTCCACTGCGCTTGCGCATCATTTAAATGGCAGCTCCTCCGATCTTTTGACACAAAAAGTCTCACAAAAGTAATCAGTTTGCCCCACCTTAATGTGGAGATCACTGAGAGACACACAGTACATGTATATGCAGTCACCAGCATACAGCTAGCTTTACCTTAATACTGTACACTTTCAGTTATTGTTTGAGTATACATATCAAATATGTCCATATTCACCTGATTTCATGTTCAAAACAACAAACTCCATGTAAAATATACTAATTTCCAAAGACCCATAATTCATTTTCATTTTCTCCATTTTAAAGTTCATGTAATTAGAATTACACATCAGTTTAGGAGTAAGTTTCTATACCCATACAGTTTACCGACGTTATTGTTGGTGTAATATTTAAAAAGATAGAATCTGCATAAAATAATTATCATGTACCTTTTTAATCCAGTAATATTTCCATAACAAGAACCTTATGAACACATACTAACATCAATTATTTAAACAAGCTATTTGGACGAATAATCAATAAGACGTCTCAAAAGCAAAAGGTTACACACAAGAAATCAATACTTAAACAACTTCATGGTCATCTCATTAAGAGAATATTTCAACCACAAATACCAGGAAGATATGTAGCTTCAATATTGCTAGTTATTTAATCAATGCTATCAATATATGATTTATTAATGCCCATATTATACATAACATGCAAATCGTATCTGCCCGCCAGTGAGTAATGGCTGCCTGCAGTGCTATATATAGTGTCTGCCTGTCCTACATAGATGTGTTGTTAGAAAGGAGAGAAGGTTAGCACTCCCCTCGATAAGGACGGAATGGGCCCTTGTGGCTCTTACAACACACATGAGGCAGTGACTCTCTACTTAGGGGTCACACCTATTTTTTTGTGTTAATGTTTACCCCACATTAGTGAAAAGCTCACTGCATTGAAACAGATCTCAAATACAATACAACTACTCTTAATAAACAAGTCACTTGCTTAATAAAAGAAACAGTATTGATCTCTACAAAAAAGATGTCTTGAAAGAATAATTTACTTTTTTTAAATGCATGAGTCAATCCATTATTCAGATTATTCTTATCAGCCGACTGCCAGATTTAAACAATAAATGGCATTCAAATAAAATTTAAACAAATTGTAAACACATCTTGTTGGGAATTATTTTGTGTGTGTGTTTTTTAAATACTGTCATGTGAGATTAATTTTTGTTCTCGACATTCCTAATTGTAGTTATGGATCACGTTTTGACTAAAACTACACAAATAAGCTTTATCCAGGTTGGTTATGTTAGTCCATCGATTAATGATTTACTTATTTTATCTTGGACATGTTGATAATATTGGTAAAGATAATTACAAGAAGATATCGAAACCTGTACAAAGATCAAAGATAATGAATAGAAGGATTCATGCTAGAATATACAAATGTCTGTTGATTTAAAAATTCATACACCCTTCATTTCTGGGATGTTGGCAGGATCAATCATCAGTTGATCATTGAACAAATGTTCTGAAATGATGATTGATCATGACTCCCAACACTAGCACCATGTTTGACATCGTAAAAGTTGTTGTATTGTCTGAATACTTATTGGGAGCATCGTGTAAGTGCAGTGGGTATAACTTAATGTTACAAGTGACAAATATACAAAAGTACAATGACTTTAATAGGAAGAATGTTGGGAAAAATTAATAATAACAATAATAGTCCATTTATATGGCACTGTACTCCATGCATAAGCCTGCCAAGACATTATTACCCATCAATGGATCAACAATAATTCCCAGCTCCCTGGGGAGTATACAACCCAAGCTGCCTGTGAGGCACTTGAAGGTTAACAGCCACATTACCATCTCCTACCGGGTACCCACTCACTGCTGGGTGAACAGAGGCACATTTTGAACAAAGTCTCTTGACAAAGGAGACACATGTGCTACATGTGCTTCAATGTGAAACAGGACATAAAGTAATATTCCAACTACATCATGGCGGCCTGCAAATAATCGAGTCTGGACCAGACAATCCAGTGATTGATATGATGACCAACAATCCACTTCATCGGGGTACAATGACATCAACCAAGTCACCGAGCCTGACCACCTGATCTATTAAGTCTCTTACGACCAGCATTGGTTCCTGGGGACCAATTCCAACCCAGAATCCCCATGACTAGCAATAACACACATTCTACCGTGGGTCCCGCAGGACATTACTGGACATCATGACTGGTCACTCTACTCACCTGACCTGCCCCCTTGAAGACCGGAACCTTGATGTCAAGTATGGAGTCCTGGTGACAAGAAAATAAAACACATCACTGATATTGTGTATTTAAGAATTGACTTTCACTTTGTGTGAGTTCATTGGAGTATGAACCTTCATAGAGTGAAGGCCAAACTGTATGAATGTCGGAGGTTGCGACATTTCCTTGCTCCCCAGAGACATGTTACATCGTACATTTGACTTGATAAGTAGAATAGTGTGGTTGTAAACACACTACTGACTAAGCCGTCTCTACTCAATTTAGTAATTACCAGACAACTACAAGTGCTAATCCCCATGCAACCGTCACTGATTGTTAATCCCTAATCCACAAGTCAATGGCATTCAGTGTCCTTCACACAACTGGTCTGTTGTTAGCAGAACAAGGCAATAAACATCAAACGTGTGTTCTGAAGAGGAGATGATAAAACTATTTAATGTTTATTTTGGATTAAATTTGTAACCTGACAAGAAATGCCAAATGTCTGCTGCTAATCGCCGATTAGTGCCAATTAACCGGTGGCTTCCCTTGTTAAGTTTTCACCTTTGTTATCTTAGTCGGTGTTCTAAGAGGTACATATATATACTCTCTGAGTCATAGCATAGAAACCCCAGAACACGCACTCATCCACTGCACACACTACCTAACACATCGAACCGCATTACAAACCACCCTCAATCTAAACAAGGCTCTAACTCTAGAAGCAATACTAAACCCACAAAATAAACTAGAAAACTTCAAGGCCTTAGGCGTATTCTTAATAAAAACGGAACTAATAAAATGCATCTAAAAACACAATAACCTACCAAATCAAAATCACATAAACAAACAAACATCCACCATACCCAGCTCCCTTAGTTCTCCTCCCCAATCCCATCGGCATCTATTCCAAATCTCAAAATTCCCAAATTCTATATAAGCAACCCCTAAAACCCCCCTCTTGGGTTGCACAGACCACTTTTGCCCCTTTCGGAAACACATTAAATGGCCTGGCCGGGCCCGTGTGCGAAATACGCATCAGTCGGAAAGCGCACGTTAAATCTCCAAAGTAAGTAAGTAAGTAAGTAAGTCATAGCATTTATTCACCTCATGGAGGAGTAAGCATGTACTCCGAAACGTTGTGTTCCTCATATTAAAGAAGTTGACATCCATAAATTCACTTCCTTATGTGTATCTCTTCTAAAGACTATTTATTCAGCGAAGAGAAATGCCAAATGTCTGGTGTATATCCCCTTGACAGAAATACCCAACATATTAAGCTGCAGTCCTAGCAAGATAACCCTGCACCTGACATTATTTTGACTGTTTGCTGACTCAAATTTAACGATCTAGAAAACCCTAATTACGGAAGTATCTTAATTCTCAATACAAACAGGCATCTTCCTGAGGCAAAAGAGTTAACTGACTATAAAAGTCCAGTTTCCACCCTTGCCAAACTAGGCTGCTATTATGGAGTTAGATTTTGGCTGGACTAATGAGTCTATGCATAGTCCAATCAAAATCGTGCAAAGAAATAAAAATCCGGTTTGTAAACTGTCAGGCAGACAGTCAGGGACATAACTTATAATAGCCACTGGTGGTGCTACGATTGAGCCCAGGAATTCCAGCCTAGTTCGGCAAGGGTGGAAACTGGACTTTTAAAGTCAGTTGTACAAATGGCAGCCAGCATCTGAACCAAGCATTCAACAGTAACTGTGGACGGGCCTCAGTTCCTCTACATCACACTTCATCACTCAAGGAGAGGGAATGTTGTGTTATGCAACTATCAGTAATATTCTAGCTATATCACAACAGTATGTCCTGGAGTCTGGATCAGGTACACGGAGGATTGATACCGTGAGTATCAGTTCAGTTTCTGTCATGTCACATTTGATACACTGCCATGGATGTCTAACTCTGCCTACCTTCGACTGTGGATTGTCAATGATGACAAACACGAGGAAGATGTTCGCCTCCCGAGCTTGTCTGACAGCTGATTGGACAACTTCCATTCCCTCATTAAACAGGCCTCGTCCATCGGACACTATCAGCAGCAGCTGTGACGTCTCCGGCTGCCCCACCGTGCCCTGTTGGCGTTGCCGGGCATCGACCATAATGGAGGTCGCTTGTTGCAGCAACTACAGCAGCAGACATGTCATGTAACCATTTCGTGTCACATACAACCCAGCATCCAGGGTAGTGTGGATTTGTTTCAATGAAATTCTTTGAGGGACAACTTCTTCAATGTTGAAGATTAAATATCTCAATAAATTACTTCCATCATCAATGTCACACAAGAGTGAGTGAGTGAGTGAGTTGGGTTTAAGGCCACTTTTAACATTATTGCAGTTATATCACGGCACGTCAGCTTAATGTGGGAGGAAAGCCCGAAGTGATGCAGGTCTCAGAAGTTTACCACTTCGGTGAAACCCACGAGCACGGGTATGGTGCTGACAAACCTAGGAACATAATCGGGGCGAACCGTGATTCGAACCCACAATCATAGGTTTCTGGCATGCCCAAGGGACGAAACTCTGCACAGTGAATCGCGGCGCCTTAGACGACTGGACCCCCAAGATACTTTCATAGGTTGTGTTCCTTAAACTTAATGCATACCAAACAATAGAGACGTATAATGTGTATTTGTATTTCCCTGTAGTAAATATGATATACTAGGACTAAACATTGTAAACTATTAGTTTTGGAAAGGGATACTCAGTTATATCAGATCTATGTAAACATACACTTGACATATTATTAAGAAAAACATACAACTTTATGGATAACAACTTCTGGTTTATTGCATATAGCGACGTTTCTATGTAGATTCTTACACCGTTATCAAGCTGGAGTGTTAGTTTTTCTTACGTATTTGCCAACTTCTAATCGAACACCTGACATACATGAATCATCACGGAAAGATACAAAATATCCCTATCAAAAGTAGAGTACTATATTATGTCAGCCATTTTCCAAATTGTACTCACCTGGGCAATCTTTGTCTTTTTCTGTTCAAATGTGAAGTGTTGTAAGATGCCGGCTCCTGATTGGTTGGTGAACTGCTCGGAGAATGGATGCAGCTGACGAACACACTCACCAAAACTGTCAAGAGAATTTAACATTAAACCTACACAAGGGATCTTGATCACGATTGAGCGAGTGAGGCAAGTAAGAGAATATATTAATAAGCACAGTCAGCTATGTGATGACCCCCAACAAATCTTGGACAAATATATTCAGCACAGAAAAGTGCTTCCTTAGACTAACAAATGACCAAACACATAAAACCAAATAAAACACACTTTCCACTTGGAAGTCACTTTCATGCAATTTTCGTGACTCTTTCATACACAGAGAAAGCACATCTACCCTAAACTGCTGGAGAAAAAGCAGTTTTCCTGCCAAAAATAAATCTCTTCGTAAGATAAACTCTGACATACACTTGTTACGTAATCTCTAAATGAGACCCGTGAAGATCCAGGTCAGAATTGATCTTCAGCAACCCATGCTTGTCGTAAAAGGCGACTATGCTTATCATAAGTGGCCACTAACGGGATCGGGTGGTCAGACTCGCTGACTTGGTTGATGCATGTCATCGTATCCCAACTGAGTAGAAGCTCATGATGTTAATCGCTGGATTGTCTGGCCCAGATTCGAATATTTACTGAAGCTGGAATATTGTGGAGTGCGGCGTTAAACAAAACAACCAAACAACCAAAGAAACAATATTTGAAACCAAACTCAGAGCGTCCCACCAGAGTGAGTGAGTGAGTGAGTTAGGTTAATTGACGAGTATGGTTTTACGCCGCTTTTAGCAATATTCCAGCAATATCACAGCGGGGGACACCAGAAATGGGCTTCACACATTGTACCCATGTCGGGAATCGAACCCGGGTCTTCGGCGTGACGAGCGAACGCTTTAACCACTAGGCTACCCGACTGCCCGCGTCCCACCAGAAGATGCCGTGAGTACCACCAGGGAGTAATGTAAGCCTGTACCTGCAGACAGCCAGTTCCCCAGACTCCAGCAGGGTGAGGGCATTGGAGATCATGGCCAGAGATTCAAACGCCAGCTGAAACAAATGACAGGTTCATGTGTAAGCATCAAAATAGTGTGAATATTTACAGCAGCATGAAATAACAATAAACATGAAATAAAGGTATATATTTACCAACAAAAGACACAGAACAAAATACATGACTGGAAGAGTCATATACGGCCAACATGATCTGGTACTGACCATGCAGTTTAGAGTGGTTGTCCACCATACTGGAAGAGTTATCTATGGCCAGCACGATCTGGTACCAACCTGTTCAGAGTGGTTGTCCACCAAACTGGAAGAGTCGTCTATGGCCAGCATGATCTGGTACTGACCAGTTTAGAGTGGTTGTGTACCATACTAGAAGACTGTCTATGGCCAGCACCATCTGGTACCAACCTCTTCAGGGTGGTTGTCCACCAAACTAGGAGAGTCATCTATGGCCAGCATGATCTGGTACCAACCTGTTTAGAGTGGTTGTCCACCATAATGGAAGAGTCATCTATGGCCAGCATGACCTGGTACCCGTGAAGGGGTGGAATAGGTCTTCAGCAACCTATGCTTGCCATAAAGGCGACTATGCTTGTCGTAAGAGGCGTTTAACAGGATTGGGTGGTCAAGCTCGCTGACTTAGTTGAAGCATGTCATCGATCCCTATTGCGTGGATCAATGCTCATGATATCAATCACTGGATTGTCTGGTCCAGACTGGATTATTTACAGACCGCCATCATATAGCTGGAATACTACTGAGTGCGGCGTTAAACAACAAACCCAACCAACCTGTTTAGAGTGGTTGTCCACCATACTGGAAGAGTCGTCTATGGCCAACATGATCTGGTATTGGCGCTTGCTTGGTTTTGTTCTGCGTAACCAGATTTTGTCTTTACGGAACTGACTGGCGATGTAGGGGATCACCTTCCTCATGTTGAGGCGCTTCCCGGTCCGATAGTCACCCCTGAAATGATCAATTTTTCAAGATAATTTACTGTTCTTATCAATTCCCCTACACAAGCAAATGTTTCATTGTTGATACATCAGGGACGAAAGATTTCTACTGGCAATTTCTTTATCTTGTATAATTATTCAATGATTTCTCTTTCTCAAGATTAGTTTCAGGGAAACAAATTCCCACTCCTGAGTGTGCTGTAGTCAGACAGGAGGTGAAATTCCCAAACAATCTCTGATTGTGCTAGAGTCCATTTGGATATTTAATTCACCAACTGGCCCCGAGTGTGCTGCCGTCAGTGTGGACGTACCTGAGTTTGGTTGCCTGTGACGGTTCCAGTACCAGTCGGAGCTGCTCACACAGGTCCTGGGCCAGACTGGCTGTCAGGGCGTCGTACTGCTGCCACGCTTCGGCCGCCGCTGCTTGCTGGGAGGCAAACAGGGTTACTTTCTTACACAACATGTCCCTCAAACTGTAGTCTACATCAACATATAAATCTGTTCTCATATCGTGTAGCTCTTACAAGTGAACACCCTTTTACATGAGAAAAAGAAGAAAAATACTGACTCAACATATCCATTATTTGAAATTAGTACCAATATTTCCTTAACAAGAATAAGACATTGGTCAATGGCACAATTTCAAGAAAGCAACATAAATTTTACGAAAATGGACTCAAATCTGTATGATTTCAGTGCCCATACTTACCGGTACTTACACTTAGGTCAAAGATACAAAGCTTCTTAGGCTGCCTAAAGAGAGGCTGCCTTACACACAGGTCAAAGCTTTCTTTGTTTGTTTTCAACCCCGCACTCAGCAATATTCCAGCTATATGACGGCTGTCTGTATATAATCAAGTCTGGACCAGACAATCCAGTGACTGACATCATTAACATCGATCCATGCAATTGGGATACGATCACATGCATCAACGAAGTCAGCGAGTATGATCACCCGATTCCAGTAGTCGAATCTTACGACAAGCACAGTCGCCTTTTATGGCAAGCATGGGTTGCTGAAGATCTATTCTACCCCAGATCTTCATGGGTGTAGGTCAAAGCTAAAAGACCACAACACTGACCTCTTGAGGAGTGGCTGCCTGAAGATGGGACCAGGCTGCTATGTTCTCCTCCAACTCGGCTCGAAGCTTCTCCTCATCCAACTCACCAAGCTGGAACATGGGAATGTTACAACTGTGTCAAACCATGAAATACCTGTAGATGGGTAAGGTGGGCTCCATAGTCCCGACTGCATGTGACAGTCAAACTGCCTGGTTCTATGTGGCTCAGGAAGAAATGTGTGTGTAGATGCATGTGCGAGAGATACCGATTCTGTGTGTGTGTGTCCGTGCGTGCGTGTTTGCGTGCGTACGTGCATGTGCGCGCGCGTGTGTGTGCTTGCTGCGTGTGTGCGTTTCCCGCTGTGTTTTTTTCTCTGTGTGTGTGTGTCTGTCTGCTTGTCTGTCTGTCCATCCGTCTGTCCGCCTTTGGCTACTTACCCCAGCCTCCAGATGTAGGTGTTCCAGCACTGTGTGTATTGTTGACTCGGGACCTCTCGCTGCCCCCATCGTGAGGACCTTCTCTCCCTCGACCTGCCCCTTCCGCTCATCCTCCACCTCCATGTCCTCTTCACCCCCATCCTCTGTGGTCCTCTTCGAGTCCTTCCCAGACAACTTAGAAGCTTCCTTCATCTCAGTCTTCTCATCTTTCTAAAATACAGCAATGATCAAATTTGTCTCCATGCATTACAAATATGCTGATAAAAAGAAAAAAAATATGTCCTGTTGTTTAATGCATCTTTGAGTAATGCTTAATGTCTGGTCAACAATTACAATTACTCATGTCTTAATGCTAATTAATGACATCTCTGAAATATTACATTCTCCTGCAAATTCTCCTGCAGTTCCAAGTCATCATCCTCTCCCATTGGCTCCGCCTCCTCTTCATTCTGATTGGCTACTGGCTGCTCTTCCTGTTGCTCAGCAGTAGCGACATCCAGGGTCTGAGCATCATACTGCGAGGAGGACTCCTTAATGTGCTCGTACAGGTCAGACTCTTTCTGGGGTTTGTTTTCCTTTTCCTGTGAATCTTCCGAAGTTCTGTCCACCGTCTTCAATTTCTTGTACTTCTCTTCTCGAGATCCCAGACTATGGTCTTGGTCTGACTGGCCAGGCCGACGCTTGTATTGCTGAGAATAAGAAATTGAGCAGCTATGCCGGTATTCAAGTCCTTAGTAAAACTCACTATCAAACAGAACAACAAATAAGCAAATTGTGCTTTATGTCAAAATTGGTCATATCAACGATACCTGCAAAAGAGTGAGGTCAAATGGTGTTTAATGTTGCGAACAAGATTATTGCACTTATACTGCGACGTGCATGCACATGTGTGTGCATGTGGCTGCTTGTACTAGTCTTGACTAATGCCGAATTTATAGTGCTAGCCCACTGAGACACCATGTCGCAGTTTAACATGAATATTCCACTCCGACACTGTATACTGACTCAGAGCTGACCAGTCCTTGTTTTAGCCCCTAATGCCGAGCACCAGGCTGGGTAACAAGTACCATTTTTTAACTTCTTATGCTATGGCTAGGGATCGAATCCCAGCCCTTCCGCTCGGCAAAGGCACTGTGGAGATTCAAAGTCAAAATAGGTCCCAAGCCACCAGCCTACATAATTGTGGACTAATGTTGTGAATGCGTGTCAACATATCGGGAGGTTGCTCATACTATCAGTCACTGGTTTGCATGGTTCAGACTCGTTTATATACATGCTGCTGTGACCCAGTTGAAAAATTGACCTACAGCATTATCAACAATCAGTGTCTGCCAAGAGTCATGGGGTCTTACAAGCATGGCATATGTCACAGTCTGACCTGTCATCATCATTGTGAGATTGCTGTCATGTGAGCTTACCTTTTTGTGTTGTGGGGCTGTTCCATCCGTCACCTGCGACGATGACTCCCCCTCGTGACCCTCCTGTTCCTGGGTCACAGAAACACCCATTCCTTGTTGCTGGAACAAAGACCACAGTGCAGTTACACATAATGTTCCAGGCTTGCAACAGGGGCGCTACAAGTCATTTCTATTTCTGGCAAACTTCTCCTCAGGTTTTAAGCTTGATTGAAGTGAATATATCAACTTTACAACACAATCAGTGTGATCTGGCCAAGGTGTGTGTGTGTGTGTGTGTGTGTGTGTGTGTGTGTGTGTGTGTGTGTGTGTGTGTGTGTGTGTGTGTGTGTGTGTGTGTGTGTGTGTGTGTGTGTGTGTGTGTGTGAGTGAGTGTGTGAGTGAGTGAGTGAGTGAGTGAGTGAGTGAGTGAGTTGGGCTTAGCGCCGCTTTTAACAGTATTCCAGTTATATCGCGGCGTGTCAGCTTAATGTGGGAGGAAAGCCCGAAGTGATGCAGGTCTTAGACGTTTACCACTTCGGTGAAACCCACGAGCACGGGTATGGTGCTGACAAACCTAGAAACATAATCGGGGTGAAGCCAAGGTAAGACAACACATGTGATAGTCACAGCAATAATTCGATCCTGCTGGACTAAAGACACAAAACTAGAGCCACAGGCCATACTCTGTAGCTTAGCTGTTTTTCCCCAAATATATGCATCACTTGATGATAAAGGTCATAATAAAAAGGGTTAAAAATAACATGCACAAATAAGTAATAAAAATTATAACAAAATAGCGTGAACATTTCATAAGAAATAGTGAACAAATTGTGTATTGACACATGGAACACGTAGGATCACATCACAGGTACTGGAAAGCTTACTTCTTTCTGGTCATTATCTCCGGTGGCTGCCTCGTCCTGTGCTGTGTCCGTCATCTGGGCACTGTCTGTGTCGTGACTCGTCCTGCCCCTCTCATCAGCCGCCTCAACACTGTCTTCAGGCTCACCATCCTTCTTAGTCTCTTCCTCAGGAGTGTCCGGGTTATCCTCATCCTGGTAACATCGCGTATCACATGACTCAAGAAACTCACAAAGACATGATACACATCAATGCATCCTGACTTACAGAAGTGGTTTGTCCTGAAGTGTCCTGCCATTCTGGCCATTACGTCTGTTGTAAGTTTAATAATCCATACCTGAGTGAGTCCAAGTGTCACTCCTACCTGAGTGAGTCTAAGAATCCATCCTACCTGTGGCGAGACTCCTGATTCCCCCTTCCCCTCCTCCTCGTCCTCAGCTGTCTTGTCCTGGTCGTGGTCGTCAGACTGAGGCTTGTCTTCACCTTCTTTGCCTTCAGTCTGCAACAGAAGATCAGCAGCTGGTTTACCTCCCTTAGATGTGTTATCATTTAATCATCAGCATCCTCATGTTGGAGTATTTATGAAGTGAGTGAGCGAGTTTGATTTTACGCCGTTTTTAGCAATATTCCAGCAATATCATGGCGGGGGACACAAGAAATGGGCTTCACACATTGTACCCATGTCGGGAATCGAACCCAGGTTTTCGGTGTGACAAGCGAACACTTTAACCACTAGGCTACCCCACCGCCCCTATTTATGAAGCAATAGGTACGTGGTGAAGGAATGCATCTTCCAGACAGCAGAATCAAAACGCCATTCAACACTGAAAAATAACTTCAGTGAATACTACAGTTGTTTGTTAACATTTAACCAGTGCAATGATTGATAATGTCAAGTCACTTGTGCCCACTGTCACCAACATCAATCCATCAATCCAGCACAATCAATCACACTAGGAACAGAAGATTCAACATTCTGGACAGATAAATTCACACTCTCCCTGTGAAATCCTCCATTACCTCATCCTTCTGTTCATCTTCCTCCATGTTTTCTTCCTCCCGCTCCTTCTTCTCTCCTTCCTCTGTGTCAGGGACGTCCGTCTGCTCCTCCACATCCTCTCCTCCGCCATCTTGGTTGTCCGGGTCTGAAGACACAGATAACAGCTCTCTCACAGAACAACAGAACAACCTAAATTGGTAAAATAAATTGCAACAAACATTTGCCCAGGAGCCACATAAATGAATTAAATCAAACCACCAATCTGATCATCTGTCGTCTGCTCACCCATCTCTGAGGGTTGATTCTCGTCTTCATCCTTGCCAGCCTCATTCTCATCCAGGTTCAGGTCCTCAGGGAGATCGAGAGCTTCAGGTTCCTGTTCAGGGCCCTGGTTGCCATGATGAGGATCTATCTTGTCTTCATCATACTCATTCTACAAACAAACCATACATGATTTTAAGATGACTATATGTCATCGCTATTAACTCTATAAATACAATTCACTAACACACTTACCAAAATCAACAAACAGCCCATATCTGATGAAATGTTGGTGTCATCTTTAATAGGCAACCATTAACAGATGACAACATTTTACCATGTCGAATCTATAGATCAAAAAATTCTCAAGAATCTATCCACACCTCATCAAATTCCTCCAGCTCATGTGGTTTTTGTTCTTCTCTGTTTTCTTCTTCTCCATCTTTCTGCTCATCCCTTTCCGATTTCTGGTTGTCCTCGGCCTCAGTCTTGTCCTGGTTGTCGTCCTTGGCAACCACCTGACTCTCACTCTCCTGTCCAGCACCAGGCCCTGACTCCTCCTTACTGTTCTGGAAACAAGCAGGACGGCTGTGAGGACATCTAGGTGAGTAGCAACATACACAGACTCCATTCTATTGTTTCCTACACATTGCCCAACATCTATTTCATGTGAAGTGATGTAGGCCACTTGTAACTATCTCTTCAGTCATCACACATCCACATCTAGCAGTCAGTGTCCTTCTCTCTCCTCCCACTACCTCCTTCTCTCATTCAATCCTTCACAACTGTTCATAGTGTCCACCTCTCCCCTCCCACTACCTCCTTCTCTCATTCCATCCTTCACATCTGTTGATACAGTGTCCACCTCTCCCCTCCCACTACCTCCTTCTCTCATTCCATCCTTCACATCTGTTCATACAGTGTCCACCTCTCCCCTCCCACTACCTCCTTCTCTCATTCCATCCTTCACATCTGTTCATACAGTGTCCACCTCTCCCCTCCCACTACCTCCTTCTCTCATTCAATCCTTCACATCTGTTCATACATGTTACAGTGTCCACCTCTCCCACTACCTCCTTCTCTCATTCCATCCTTCACATCTGTTCATACAGTGTCCACCTCTCCCCTCCCACTACCTCCTTCTCTCATTCCATCCTTCACATCTGTTCATACAGTGTCCACCTCTCCCCTCCCACTACCTCCTTCTCTCATTCCATCCTTCACATCTGTTCATAGTGTCCACCTCTCCCCTCCCACTACCTCCTTCTCTCATTCCATCCTTCACATCTGTTCATACAGTGTCCACCTCTCCCCTCCCACTACCTCCTTCTCTCATTCAATCCTTCACATCTGTTCATACAGTGTCCACCTCTCCCCTCCCACTACCTCCTTCTCTCATTCCATCCTTCTCATCTGTTCATACAGTGTCCACCTCTCCCCTCCCACTACCTCCTTCTCTCATTCCATCCTTCACATCTGTTCATACAGTGTCCACCTCTCCCCTCCCACTACCTCCTTCTCTCATTCAATCCTTCACATCTGTTCATACAGTGTCCACCTCTCCCCTCCCACTACCTCCTTCTCTCATTCCATCCTTCTCATCTGTTCATACAGTGTCCACCTCTCCCCTCCCACTACCTCCTTCTCTAATTCCATCCTTCACATCTGTTCATACAGTGTCCACCTCTCCCCTCCCACTACCTCCTTCTCTCATTCAATCCTTCACATCTGTTCATACATGTTACAGTGTCCACCTCTCCCACTACCTCCTTCTCTCATTCCATCCTTCACATCTGTTCATACAGTGTCCACCTCTCCCCTCCCACTACCTCCTTCTCTCATTCCATCCTTCACATCTGTTCATACAGTGTCCACCTCTCCCCTCCCACTACCTCCTTCTCTCATTCAATCCTTCACATCTGTTCATACAGTGTCCACCTCTCCCCTCCCACTACCTCCTTCTCTCATTCCATCCTTCTCATCTGTTCATACAGTGTCCACCTCTCCCCTCCCACTACCTCCTTCTCTAATTCCATCCTTCACATCTGTTCATACAGTGTCCACCTCTCCCCTCCCACTACCTCCTTCTCTCATTCAATCCTTCACATCTGTTCATACATGTTACAGTGTCCACCTCTCCCACTACCTCCTTCTCTCATTCCATCCTTCACATCTGTTCATACAGTGTCCACCTCTCCCCTCCCACTACCTCCTTCTCTCATTCCATCCTTCACATCTGTTCATACAGTGTCCACCTCTCCCCTCCCACTACCTCCTTCTCTAATTCCATCCTTCACATCTGTTCATACAGTGTCCACCTCTCCCCTCCCACTACCTCCTTCTCTCATTCCATCCTTCACATCTGTTCATACAGTGTCCACCTCTCCCCTCCCACTACCTCCTTCTCTCATTCAATCCTTCACATCTGTTCATACATGTTACAGTGTCCACCTCTCCCACTACCTCCTTCTCTCATTCCATCCTTCACATCTGTTCATACAGTGTCCACCTCTCCCCTCCCACTACCTCCTTCTCTCATTCCATCCTTCACATCTGTTCATACAGTGTCCACCTCTCCCCTCCCACTACCTCCTTCTCTAATTCCATCCTTCACATCTGTTCATACAGTGTCCACCTCTCCCCTCCCACTACCTCCTTCTCTCATTCCATCCTTCACATCTGTTCATACAGTGTCCACCTCTCCCCTTGAGCCTACCTCCTTCTCCTGTTCCTCCTCCTCCTCGTCATCACTGCCCCACATCTGTTCGTCCAGACGGTCAGTGTCCTTGGAGTCCACGTCCCCCATCTTTTTGTCCAGTTCCTCTGTGTCCGGTTCTTCCTGATCAGAATCATCTCCATCTGGAACAATCATCACATATCAAATGAACAATATTACAAGCAAACAAAACAGGTTTTACAAATATTAGGCCAAACCATTATCAGAAATGCTACTCCCGTACAAAATATCAGCATCGCCAATTCTATGTACCCACCTTTCATCTCTGCATCATCCAGTTGACCCTCAAAGTCCTCCGACATCTCGATGGCCTTGTCTTCCGGAGCCACATCGGGCTGGTTGGCATCATCCTTCTGCTCCTCTCCCTGGCGCCGAGCTTCATCCAACTACAGACAGAAACAATGGACGAACAATGCATGGGCAAGTCGGTGTACTGTAGGAGGTGAGGTGAAATTGGGTTTAACGTCGTGTCCAAGATTATTGCACTTATATAGCGATGTGCATGCACATGTGTGTGTGTGTGTGTGGCTGCTTGTACTAGTCCAGACTGATGCCGATTTATAGTGCCAGCCCACTGAGATACCATGCCGCAGTTTAACATGAATACTCCACTCAGACACAGTATACGGACTCCGAGCCGACCAGTCCTTGTTTTAGACCCTCAATGCCAAGCGCCAGACAGGGTACTAACAAGTACCATCTTTTAACGTCTTTTGGTATGACGCGGCCTGGGATTGAACCCTGGACCTTCTGCTCTCTGGGCAGGCGCTCTACCACTAGACCACGGAGGCGGTCTGTGTACTGTAGAAGGATGCCCGCAGTAATGCAGGGCAATGACGACCACCTTGGTCAAGCTGACAGAGCCAGCATCATCTTACCATGACAGATATCCACCCCCATTCACTCCTGGCGATTATTGACCATGTATTACCTGGTCCTCTGTCTCGATCTGGTCACTGACGTCCTTGGCTCCCTGACCATCACCCAGTCCTCCTCCTGTGATGTCCTCAAAGTCAGTGGCTCCCTCTCCTCCCAACTCATCTGAGAACTCCGGGGGGATGCAGAAACCCTGTCAACATATAGCACTCATGGGTTGAGTTCCTAAACATCCACTGTGCATCCAACAGTGACGAGATTAACTTCTTCAACATCAGGAAATCTGCCCTGCAGAAACATGCCTTGTAAAACATGACAGTTGTTGCTAAAGTTACTGGACTTGTCTTTATTTCTTATTGCTTTCCATCGCAAGCGTCATTAGTAATTGCTCATAATTATCGATTGCTTTTTATTTGTTTAGTAGCTGAAGTCAAAACATATATTTATAAAATGATTAATTTAATGATTTGTCACTTTCAATTCTACGTTACCTTGGCAGCAAGCTCTGAAAACAGCCCCAGCAGCACCGACAAAAGTTTGCCTGTTGTCCGAAACAAGCCAATCAGGTGAGCTACGAAATATTCCACCATGTCCACATACTGGTGCATCATGGGGCAGCATCGGAGGAGCTGCCGCAGACAGACACTGCTGTCATGACGACCTCCATCAGCAGCATTGTCAACCATAATTTTCAGGATGTTCACCAGAGATGTCAGGAATTCTGTCACCTAGCAACAGCCATATCATATCAGTAAACAGTCAGTGAAGCTTCATGCTACTTTTAGCAGCAATTATTATATGCAAAACATATCTAATGTCTTCCCCCCCCACCCACCCAAACTGTCCCGACACGTTTGTTGAATCCACGACATCCATCTCAAAGCTCTGACCACACCTGCATCCAGACTACTGATAGTCATCATATGGGCTACTATGTATAAGTTCATGCTTGTCATGTTGAAAAAAAAACAGAAGTAATATCTGATAAGGTGTACATGCAGTTTTTCAGTATACTAGCCCAGATCATTTCACCCTTGGCAACACTTCACAGAGCTCCTGTGTCGTCCATGTCTACCTATTGTTATTGAATATTGTTAACTACTGCGTAAAGTGCACATTCATTTAATATGTGAACATTATTTGTTTTTGAAAATAATGTAGATGAAGATTATTCAAACTGTTCTATGAAATATATACATAAAAATTTAGTAAATCAATTGAACATTTATATCATTGAATTATGGTAAATGAATGTTTAATGCTATATTATGTTTTTCCTTGATTTAAGCGAGAAGGGAAAGAAATAGACCAGCTTAGAACAAGGGAGCACAATGGTTGTCTCAGAACACAATATGAACAAGATTAGAACAGTGATTTGGTGAATAAAACAAGAAGATCAGATTAAAAAATTTAAAACAATAATTGAACAACTGTTCCCTCTTATAAACTGGGGATTGATTTTATTTTTAAAAAATGTTGACCAGATGTTAAACAGTTTTTGAAGAGTTTTTTTACAAGGAATTGTAGGGAACAACACAACCATGCTTCAAACATTGTATCCTTACAGGGAGGGGGGGAGGGAGGGAGTGAATGTAATGTTACGCCACAGTCATCAATACAACACCTCTATGATCTGGAATGTGGAGGCGACTTACCTTGTTGTACTGCAGCAGTTGGAGGTCGGCGGACATCGGCTCCACCAGCAACTTGGTCAGGTGACCCTTCTGGAAGGTTGACTCCTCCTCCTCCTCCTCCTCCCCTTCAGGACAAGAAAGTACTCGGTCATAAGTGGTGCATGAATTGTTCATGCCACAGACTACACTATTTATTTCAATAGATAAGCAAAGAATTGGGGTTTCCAGTGTATCAGTAAAAGCTCAAACTTCATCACTCCCACACAGGTTGATTTGTTTGTTTGTAATTAATGTCACACTCGGCAGTATTCCAGCTCTACGATGTAATAATAATCCAGTCTGGACCAAACAATCCAGTGATTTACATGATGAGTAACGATCCAAGCCATCAGGGTAGGTTGACAAGCCACACCAAATGACCGAGGCTGATCATCTGATCCTCTAAGTGAAATGGGGTTTAGCATCACATTCAAGATTATTGCACTTATATAGTGACGTGCATGCACGTGTATGTGTATGTCTGTGTGGGTGGCTGCTTGTACTAGTCTGGACTGATGCTGATTTAATAGTGCTAGCCCACTGAGATATCATGCTGCAGTTTAACATGAACATGAATACCCCATTCAGACACAGTATACTGACTCCGAGCTGACCAGTCCTTGTTTTAGCCCCTTTAATTAATGCCGAGCACAAGACAGGGTACTAACAAGTGCCATCATTTTACATCTTTTGGTATGATGCGGCCAGGGATCGAACCCTGACCTTCCGCTCTCTGGGCGCACGCTCTACCACTAGAACACAGAGGTGTACTGCTTTTTTTGACCAGCATAGGTTGCTGTGGACCAAAAACCCAAATTTCCACAGGCTTCGCACAGGACATAACAAGCTGCACCTACCCTCCTGTTTCTCCTCCAGTTTCTCCTCCTTGTCTTCAGGTTTCCCATGAGCCTTCACCAGGTTCTGCACAGCCAGCAGAGCAGCTGCAATGACACCCTCCACTCCATCAGAGAACTTCTCCCTCTGTGCCGAGTGTGGGCTGGAGGAATCAGTATCCATCTGTCTCAGACTGTCAGTGTCAGCCACCCACGCCTGGAAGTCGCGGCACACGGACTGGAGCTGGTCCCCGAGGTAGTCCAGAGTCTGGTTGAGGCAGCAGCCAGTGTTGGAGATGGGGTCGTTGAACTTGGATGACAGCTCCGACATAAGTGGGATGAGTTTCCCATACTCGGTGACGGTGTCTTGTAGCAGTTCAAGGTCACTCCTGTAGGTTAACACCATACATACAGATGTTATGTTGATAACCTACTAGCAGACTTCCACCCAAACTAGAAAGTACTAGTGTGACAAAATTGGGCTTAACATTGATTTGAACAGTATTCCAGTTAGGGGCTGTTCATATATCATAGGGGTGTGTGTCAGAGGGAATCGAGGAGGGTCATACAAAATAATACACATATTTGGGGAGTGTCATGAAAAAAATGTACATTTGATAATAAAATACAAGTGCATTTGCATTTTGAATTTTTTCAGGGGGGTCATGAGTGTGGGCTGGAGGATTCAGAAACCATCTGTCTCAGACTGTCGGTGAAAGTTATGCACAAGGACACAGGGAGGGCTATCCAAAAATATGCCAAGCATTAGCAGAGGGTCATTATTTTCAGTGAATCAAAAACCTTCTATCTCCCCCTTTACTGTTATATATGACTGGTCCCTTAATATATCACAGTGTGTCAGCTCGATGTAAGAGGACAGTTCAAAAAGATGCAGGCTTGATATCTGAATAATATTCGACAATCGTAGGATCCCAGTACATGGGTGCTCCTCCCTCAGGCATAATCAATACTTATTTTTCAAATTCCTACAGGACATTGACATAAAATATCGAACTTTATCATTTAGGAAAAACATGGCCGAAGATAACAGTGACGGTACACGTCACTTCATGTACAAAAACACTCACCACTGATAGCAAACATGCCCTATCGCCAACACTTTGCCTTGTTCTGTCTCAGCCACTTTCAACATGTCCTGCACAAAATGAAGACAATACGTTCAGTGCATCAAACATCAGATATGAACGAAAAAAGTCAAATGTTTCCTCTGGAAATCATCATGTCATGCACTGATTGATCCAACTTACCCTGACCGTCTGCACACAGCTTGTCCACCCTTCATCCCCCTGGTGGAGCAGTGCCATGGGAGACAACTCTTCTGGAGGGTAGGGGGACGGGTACAGCCGGGCTCCGTCCACCTGCTGGGGGCATGTGTACAACAGCACCAGGTACTGGTTCAAACCCTCCAACAGCTGCACAGACAGATGTTTCAGTTTGTCCTGAAAAAATATATAGAAAAACAGATTCACTGACCATCATATTCATGCATCATGGTCACCGAGTGAATGTCCTAGTGAGTAATTACAACCATCATAACAGCCTGCAAGAGTCTGGACCAGTGGTTGATAGTATGAGCAATGATCTACAGGATTTCCTCATTTCACAAAGTGACCTTGGTGCAAAAAGTCCAGTTTGCTCCCAATATGGGTACAATGTGTGAAACCATTTCTGTTGTCCCTGCTGTGATCTTATGGGAATATTGCTATACCCAGCATTACCCAATACTCACTTAGTGATTCAAGTATCATAAGTCAGTGTTTGAGTATTGGAGTTACAACAGTTGTAGCAATAAGCTCACTTAATGCAAGGAGGCCCAGGACATGCATGTTCCACAACTGTATCAGGTCTTAAAGCAAGCATGAAGCACTGTCGGACATATCATCTCACACAAACCTCCTGTAGTTATACTCAACTCTACAATATAAGTATACCATATAATAAGGACCCTGTTCACTTAGAAAATTGACAAAGGGTGGGCGCTTATCAAATCATACACAACAAGTTAAATTTGATTTCAGAGATTGAGCAAACATAGTTGAAATGTCGATGAAACTATTTCGATAATAGTTACTAGCATTGATACACATCCTTCTTTGCTGCTGTTGTGACAAGAAAATATGTCCTGCACATTTTCACTCTGATATGGTGGGCACTACTTAAGATTACTTACAGATTGCCAAGGGAAGAAACTGGACTGTTATAGTCAGTCAACTCCCTTGCCTCAGGAAGATGGTAAGAACATTACAGTTACTCACTATCCATTCTCTGGTTTTCTTCTGTGGAGGAAGACTGGCTTTGATCTGCAGCTTGCTCACTGATGCCATCAGGTTCCTGAAAACAGAGACATATTTGACCTACTTCTATGACAGGTTCGCGACTATGTGCAATAACGAGGTAACAACGAATCCTGCTCAATTTGGTCTGCGATATTTTTCACCATAGATCAGATATTGTAATCTATTCTAATTCAAATTGAAGCATCAATTAACTAGGGCAGATTATTCTATTTTAACTTGAGTTTAATTGGGCAGTGATTTTTCAGGAACTACCTCCTGCTCCAAAGAAGATAAAACATTGCAGCTGCCGGCCATCCATGCTGTGTCTCACCTAAGTTGGAGGTACTGCTTGAAGATGGCTGACAACTCCTGGTGCTGCCCAGTCAGAATGTGCATCAGGTGCTCCACGAACCCTCGACATCGGCTGATGTTACCGAGACCAAGTTCCTGAAACAAACATCACCCTGTCCTAGTTGTCTGTCACAACTACAGCAGCTCCCTATTCTGTTCAACAGGTCTGGTGTCTTTCCTGGAATATTCCAGCAGCCTGTAAATACCCTATTGTCTTGTATTTTCTTGTGTACAGTGTGCTCTTGATCATAATGAGTACCTTCCATTCTTGGGAACAGGTTTTGGGAAAAATTACTCTTTCATATATTGTGCACAGTTAAAAACTATCATTGTATCGCTTCAGTTGAACAAACAGGAAATAAAACTAAATCAGTTGTTAGTCTGTTTGTTGATCTATGCTGCACTCAGCAATATTCCGGCTATATGACAGCTGCCTGTAGACAATCAAGTCTGGACCAGACAATCCAGTGATTTATATGATAAGCAACGATCCATACAGTTTGGTTATGACACACAATCAACCAAGTTACCGATACTGACCACCGATCAATTAAGTTGCTTATTATGACCCGCAAATGTTGCTTGGGATGTTCTCACCTTGAATTGTCCATCAGGGTATGATGACATGTAACATGAAGTTAAGGTCAGACTGCCACAAATAGTGAGTAAGTGAGCATGGTTTCATGCCGCTTTTAGCAATATTCCAGCAATGGGTCCCTAGAAATGGCTTCCCCACCGCCCCCTGTAATAAATAACAACTGCAGGTGAGATAGCATCTCCCAGTATCCCAGGTGTACCTTGGAAGGTGTGTGTAGAGCAGCTGTCAGCCTGGCCCGCCTGGCCACACAGCGGTAGTAATACTTGAGGCAGCCACTCCACAGTCCAGACAGCTCCCTGAAACATCAACTCATCATACACCAACCATGAGGTATCAACCTTCAGACATCAACCATCTGACATCAACCATCTGACATATATCATCTTGTATCAAATATCTGACATATATCATCTTGTATCCACCATCTGACATATATCATCTTGTATCAACCATCTGACATTTATCATCTTGTATCCACCATCTGACATTTATCATCTTGTATCAACCATCTGACATATATCATCTTGTATCAAACATCTGACATATATCATCTTGTATCAACCATCTGACATATATCATCTTGTATCAAACATCTGACATATATCATCTTGTATCAACCATCTGACATATATCATCTTGTATCAAACATCTGACATATATCATCTTGTATCAACCATCTGACATATATCATCTTGTATCAACCATCTGACATATACATGTATCATCTTGTATCAACCATCTGACATATACATGTATCATCTTGTATCAACCATCTGACATATATCATCTTGTATCAAACATCTGACATATATCATCTTGTATCAAACATCTGACATATATCATCTTGTATCAAACATCTGACATATATCATCTTGTATCAACCATCTGACATATACATGTATCATCTTGTATCAACCATCTGACATATACATGTATCATCTTGTATCAACCATCTGACATTTATCATCTTGTATCAACCATCTGACATATATCATCTTGTATCAACCATCTGACATATATCATCTTGTATCAACCATCTGACATATATCATCTTGTATCAATCATCTGACATATATCATCTTGTATCAACCATCTGACATATATCATCTTGTATCAACCATCTGACATATATCATCTTGTATCCACCATCATTCAATTTAGCCTTCTATCCAGTCCATCATGTTTTGAATATATCTGAATTTAGGTTTCACACAGACAAACCGTCACATGTCTTCATCATTGTTAACCGGTAACCTTTGATGCAGCATAGTCCTGACCCCACCCAGAGTGAGTGAGTGAGAGTGAGTTACCGAACAAGCACGCATGCGAGTATGCGGTATAACACCGCTCTCAGCAAGCAATATTCCAGCAATATCCCTGTGGGAAACACTAGAAACGGATGGGCTTTACGTTGTACCCATGTGGGGAATTGAACCTGGGGCCTTAGGTGTGACAAGTGAATGTACAACCAACCCCCACCCCGACCCCCATCCACTTCATACATGATAACTTACGTCGACTCTTCCTCAACACCCGCAACAACATCAATGGGAGACACCAGCATCGCCTTTCCCGTGTCTTCTGCCATTGTCAACCCCTTCCTGTAGGACAATCCTGTACACAGCAGAAACAAAGTCAGTCAACACAACATATTCTCAAAGTGCACACGAGAAATAAAGTCAGTCAACACCCAATAGAACATATTCTCAAAGTGCACACGAGAAATAAAGTCAGTCAACACCCAATAGAACATATTCTCAAAGTTCACACAGCAGACACAAAGTCAGTCAACACCACATAGAACATATTCTCAAAGTTCACACCAAGATGTCGTACTCTAGAACTGCTACACACCTGCCGTTGTGAGATGCTGGAACAAATCAGCCAGACTCTTCCTCTTCCGGAGGTTCATCAGCTTTGCTTCGGACTTCTGGTGCTCTTTGTCAAGACCCTGTAACCATGGTAACAACAAGAGTTAATACATGTCCTGACATATAGAGACCTGAACTTACATCATCTACCATTCACTCATTCATAGCTTATTACTTAAGACATACAGTTTCCTCAACCCCCATGTGATGTGTAGTAAAGTTTAGCCCTGAACTATTATAGTTAAAGCACAAGGATGCTTGCCTCTCTGTGAGTGTGCTTTTCAAAAGGTTTTTCATGTCAGCCCATTATGAAAGGAAGAAAAAAGTAAGAAAACGTACAACTTTATGCATAACAACTTCTTGTTTATTGCATATAGCATTATGAAGTTACTCAAATAGTGTCCCTTATCGGAAGACAAAGTAGTGTCGGCGCCTTTGATCTTTTAGCGTGTAAGATCTTATATTATAGAATAGTAGTGGTCTTGTTAACTTTATAAAGGGTCACTGACCCTGGACAAACAAGGGGTTAAATGATTGAGCAACATTTCATACAATCAGGACTCACAATGAAGCCATGACTCCCACTGTAAGTATAAACCTCCATATTTTAAATATGTTGTAAGTCTCTTATCATAACTGTAGGTGACAGGGGACCTATTCTGTCCAAGAACCTCTATGGGAGGTGTTTCCACTGACCGGCGTGACTTCCTCGGCCTGAAGCTCGTGTACAGACTCGATTATCTCCCCTGTGAACTCATCCAGGACAGTGGTGAGCTGGGTGTACCGCATGTTGGACAGTGTTCTCCTCCAGTGTTTCTGGACCCGCGTCGTCAGGGACGGCAGACGGGACTGCAGGCTGCCAGCTGATGCAGGAGCTGTGGCCATGTCAGGCTGATGTTTCTGGGCAGATGTAATAATGAACATCAGTAAACTACATTGTCATGTCTAGACTCTCAAACCCCTGCTCAGTGAATATGCTCAACCTGATTATGTTGTGAATAAATTGTGTGTATAAAAACAGACGTGTCCTCATGTCTGAACATAAATATGATATTATTTGACATAGAGACATGGAGGACATGTCACATGTTCTGAAAAACCAAACAACAGTGAGGTGAGATGAGGTGAAAGGGGGTTTAATCTCTCTCTCTCTCTCTCTCTCTCGGAACACAACTTTTAGGGGTAAATACTTACTCCTTCATCACCTGATGAAGTAAGTATATACTCCGAAAAAAATGTTAGGAGTGTTTGGAAGCATAATAGTCTGTCCTTAACAAAAGATGGCATTACACACAAAGTCAAGCCTACCTGTTTGACAAGCATCTTGCTGGCAGCTTTACGACTGTATTCCTGTAGTCTGTCTCCACAGTTGACTTGTGGATCACTTTCCAGGTCTGAGTTATCTCCCTTCTCTGTCAGGAGGTCTCGAACTGGTTTTTGTAATATTGTCTGGACAAGGCAAATGATCAAGATCAAAAGGAAGAACAGGATACTTTTTCAAACAAATACTTCAGGATAACTTATTGCAAACTCACTACCAAAGACTGCGACACTTGGCAGTGACAATATAACTACTATTTTTCCATTTGAAAGATCAAATTTATGCCAATATCCTAGAACAATGAACAAAATGTGTAATTTAACTGCTGCTAATTCAGGAATTTTATCTAGATTAGATTATCCTGATTAGAGGCCAGTCTTTGTCCTAAAGTCTGCAGCAAATTTCAGACAAAATTGGAATCAAACATCTCCCAATTCATGCCTACAACTATAATGAAATAAAAGTGACAAAACCCCTTGTGTAATCATAAGAAATCTCTGCCTATATAATCTATTTATAACTAACATGTGTGGGGTGAATGTGTTTCACTAATAACAGGACCGATAGAGAGGAAAAGGCTTCAATGCTCAGATTAACATTATTGCATTGAAGACAATTTTAATTTACCTTTGAATTTAGGAAAACAAGAACCTTTAAAAAATTCCAATTTTGAACCAAATAATTTTTTTCCTAATTTGCATGCCCAGAACATTTAGTTTGAAATTGAAGATAATTCCCCATAATTGCTTGAATACATAATTACCAGACCTAGAATAGTCATGTTTACAAGCATGTGGCACTGGGCCTCTTATACTTCAATCTTATAAAGTGTTTAACTGGTGTAATTAAGCATGACAAAGAAAAAAACTTTAATTAAAGAAGAAATCATGAAGCTCTTCAATCCCCCTGTGCTGCCTGATATGTACCTGAAAGGCCTTGGAGTATTTGTGTACAGTCTTGTGAGTCTTCTCCGTCGTCTGCTTCAAGGCCCAGTAGCTCATGTCATTCCACCGTGCTATCTTCACGAAGCCCTGCAACAATATGAACAGGATTAAGAGAGTGCCCAAAATCAGACATCCAGATCTGAGCGTCTCCCTGAGGTAACAACAACTGCATCTTGGAACCTGACTGACACAGTGTCTGTTCCTGGAGTGAGACTGTTTCTTTTGGACTCATTACTTCAAGGGGTTCATTCCTATTGAACAGTTTTTCCTTTCAAAAGTTTTCCGTGATACATTTACCCTGGCAATATTTGTCCGGGTACAGTCAAACACGGTTGTGTCGAAGTTGGAGGGACCTACGTATATACTTTGAGTTATCCGAGGTTCGACACAACTGAAAATGATGAATAAAGAAGGAACACGCAGGAGCCATGCTTTTACTTCAAGACAACTGTAAGTTCAACACATCATAGTTCGACACAACCAAGTTTGACATATCAAAGGTTTAACAACAAAGTTCAACACATCAAAGTTTGACACAACCTAGTTCGACACAACCTAGTTCGACACAACCAAGTTTGACATATAAAAGGTTTAACAACAAAGTTCAACACATCAAAGTTTGACACAACCTAGTTCGACACAACCAAGTCTGACACAACCTGCAGTTCCATGTGTACTGATCATCGTTGACATTAGACCAAATCCTTGGCATAGACAAGTTCCCCCAACAAACAAAAGACCCACAAGTACTTATATCAGGGCCCCAATCCACAAAGTGAATCCACAGATTGTATATCAGTTAAGTCATGTGCTCAGGTCATGTCACCATAAGATTTTTCTGAGTCACCCACATGGAACAGACAGGACTCAAGCTCTCCGCTATACCTTCAGCTCTCTCTCAATGGGCGCCCTCTGGCGTGTCACGTCTGCCTCCACTCCGTCCAGAAACTGCCCGTAGAACTGGTACACATTCCACAGCAGATTCAACAATACGTCTGAAACATATCCAGTTTGTCAAGAGAGACACTTCATACTCAATTAGCTGATAATGTGTTTATTATAGAACAAACCTTGGATGCCTAGACAATAACAGTGTCAATGTACCGTTAACAACTTCACGTTGTGGAGACTGGAAGATCACAATGGTGTAGTGAGTGAGTTAGTTAGTTATGTGACAGAGACATTTGCAAAGTTGGCAAAAACCCAAGCGCGTACATAGGTACGTATGATGCTGGCAGACTAAAGATAATAGTTGGGATAAATCTGGGATTCATACCAAGGCCCAGAGGATCCTGACATGGTAAAGGGACACTACTCTGCCCTGTAAGCACAAGGACATCCAAGGGCTCAACAAGAGCTCAAAACAAAATAATATTGTTGAGCATGTGACAATGTATACAAAACTTCCCTCAGAACAAGAAAAGTACAGTAAACTAGGTTTATAATGAACATGCTTATATCGAACTGTCTTTTGGTCCCGGCCATATGCTGTATATATATGCTTATAACAAACTACAGTTATAACAAACTAAACTTAGTGGTGCCTTATAACCGTATTTTACTGTATAACATCCTCTCTAAAAGACTGGTAGGACAGACAGCTCCAGCCATGAATATTCGTACAGTCACATCATGGAAAAATCATTAACTCCACATTGTGGCTGCACTCTGTCACAACTGACGTACCTTGTTTAGGCGACTTGTCCATGTGAGTCAACTGACAATGGAACGTGTACACCAGCTCCAGACGGCAGCGGAACTCTCCCAGACTGGAGGTCTCCAAGAACTGTTCCAGAGATTTCAGTATATCTTCAGCAGAGGGCTCTGGAATCTGGGTGAAGAGTAAGAGTGAGTTAGAGGCTGTATGAGGGGTAAGAGGGTGTCGGAGGTAAGAGGGTGTCAGGGGTAAGAGGGTGTCAGGGGTAAGAGGGTGTCAGGGGTAAGAGGGTGTCAGGGGTAAGAGGGTGTCGGGGATAAGAGGGTGTCAGGGGTAAGAGGGTGTCAGGGGTAAGAGGGTGTCAGGGGTAAGAGGGTGTCAGGGGTAAGAGGCTGGTGGGGGTAAGAGGGTGTCGGGGGTAAGAGGGTGTCGGAGGTAAGAGGGTGTCAGGGGTAAGAGGGTGTCGGGGTAAGAGGGTGTCAGGGTAAGAGGGTGTCAGGGGTAAGAGGGTGTCGGGGGTAAGAGGCTGGTGGGGGTAAGAGTGTGTCAGGGGTAAGAGGGTGTCAGGGGTAAGAGGGTGTTGGGGGTAAGAGTGTGTCAGGGGTAAGAGGGTGTCGGGGGTAAGAGGATGTCAGGGGTAAGAGGGTGTCAGGGGTAAGAGGGTGTCGGGGGTAAGAGGCTGGTGGGGGTAAGAGGGTGTCAGGGGTAAGAGGGTGTCGGGGGTAAGAGGCTGGTGGGGGTAAGAGGCTGGTGGGGGTAAGAGGGTGTCAGGGGTAAGAGGGTGTCGGGGGTAAGAGGCTGGTGGGGGTAAGAGGGTGTCAGGGGTAAGAGGGTGTCGGGGGTAAGAGGGTGTGGGGTGGAAGAGGCTGTTTTGGGGGAGAGGGTGGTGGGGAAACGAGGTTGTCAGGGGTAAGAGGGTGTCAGGGGTAAGAGGGTGTTGGGGGGAGGAGGGTGTCGGGGAAACGAGGGTGTCAGGGGTAAGAGGGTGTCAGGGGTAAGAAGGTGTCGGGGGTAAGAGGGTGTCGGGGGTAAGAGGGTGTTGGGGGGGAGAGGGTGTCGGGGAAACAAGGTTGTCAGGGGTAAGAGGGTGTCAGGGGTAAGAGGGTGTTGGGGGGAAGAGGGTGTTGGGGGGGAGAGGGTGTCGGGGAAACGAGGTTGTCAGGGGTAAGAGGGTGTTGGGGGGAAGAGAGTGTCGGGGAAACGAGGGTGTCAGGGCTAAGAGGGTGTCAGGGGTAAGAGGGTGTCGGGGGTAAGAGGGTGTCGGGGGTAAGAGGGTGTCAGGGGTAAGAGGGTGTCAGGGGTAAGAGGGTGTCGGGCTAAGAGGGTGTCGGGGGTAAGAGGGTGTCAGGGTAAGAGGGTGTCAGGGGTAAGAGGGTGTCGGGGGTAAGAGGTTGTCAGGGGTAAGAGGGTGTCAGGGGTAAGAGGGTGTCGGGGGTAAGAGGGTGTCAGGGGTAAGAGGGTGTCGGGGGTAAGAGGTTGTCAGGGGTAAGAGGGTGTCGGGCTAAGAGGGTGTCGGGGGTAAGAGGGTGTCAGGGTAAGAGGGTGTCAGGGGTAAGAGGGTGTCAGGGTAAGAGGGTGTCGGGGGTAAGAGGGTGTCAGGGGTAAGAGGGTGTCAGGGGTAAGAGGGTGTTGGGGGTAAGAGGGTGTCAGGGGTAAGAGGGTGTCGGGGGTAAGAGGGTGTCAGGGGTAAGAGGCTGGTGGGGGTAAGAGGGTGTCGGGGGTAAGAGGGTGTCAGGGGTAAGAGGTTGTCAGGGGTAAGAGGGTGTTGGGGGTAAGAGGGTGTCGGGGGTAAGAGGGTGTCGGGGGTAAGAGGGTGTCGGGGGTAAGAGGGTGTCGGGGGTAAGAGGGTGTCGGGGGTAAGAGGGTGTCGGGGGTAAGAGGGTGTCAGGGGTAAGAGTGTGTCAGGGGTAAGAGGGTGTCGGGGGTAAGAGGGTGTCGGGGGTAAGAGGGTGTCAGGGGTAAGAGGGTGTCGGGGGTAAGAGGGTGTCAGGGGTAAGAGGCTGGTGGGGGTAAGAGGGTGTCGGGGGTAAGAGGGTGTCAGGGGTAAGAGGGTGTCGGGGGTAAGAGGGTGTCAGGGGTAAGAGGCTGGTGGGGGTAAGAGGGTGTCAGGGGTAAGAGGGTGTCAGGGTAAGAGGGTGTCGGGGGTAAGAGGCTGGTGGGGGTAAGAGGGTGTCGGGGGTAAGAGGGTGTCGGGGGTAAGAGGGTGTCAGGGGTAAGAGGCTGGTGGGGGTAAGAGGGTGTCGGGGGTAAGAGGGTGTCGGGGGTAAGAGGGTGTCGGGGGTAAGAGGGTGTCAGGGGTAAGAGGATGTCAGGGGTAAGAGGGTGTCAGGGGTAAGAGGGTGTCAGGGGTAAGAGGGTGTCAGGGGTAAGAGGGTGTCAGGGGTAAGAGGGTGTCAGGGGTAAGAGGGTGTCAGGGGTAAGAGGGTGTCAGGGGTAAGAGGATGTCAGGGGTAAGAGGGTGTCAGGGGTAAGAGGGTGTCAGGGGTAAGAGGGTGTCAGGGGTAAGAGGGTGTCAGGGGTAAGAGGATGTCAGGGGTAAGAGGGTGTCAGGGGTAAGAGGGTGTTGGGGGTAAGAGGGTGTCAGGGGTAAGAGGGTGTCGGGGGTAAGAGGGTGTCAGGGGTAAGAGGGTGTCGGGGGTAAGAGGGTGTCAGGGGTAAGAGGGTGTTGGGGGTAAGAGGGTGTCAGGGGTAAGAGGATGTCAGGGGTAAGAGGGTGTCAGGGGTAAGAGGGTGTCAGGGGTAAGAGGGTGTCAGGGGTAAGAGGGTGTCGGGGGTAAGAGGGTGTCGGGGGTAAGAGGGTGTCGGGGGTAAGAGGGTGTCGGGGGTAAGAGGGTGTCGGGGGTAAGAGGCTGGTGGGGGTAAGAGGCTATTGGGGATAAGAGGGTGTTGGAAGAAGGGGATGTTGTTTGACACTACAATCCATAATATTTAGATATGAATCCTCTTACATCATCCTGTTGCTGTGGTGACAAGAATGAGCCAATCAGTTGATAGATGTAGAACCACCATTGTGAGGCCTTGCTCCGCACGTTCTCTATCTGTGTGTCAAGTGAGCGATTCCAGCAACTGTAGTGGAATAATGTTGGGATGAAATATTGTACTGATCAATGTACTGATAAATGTACTATGAACAAACACTATTGACAAAAACATTCATACCTGTTGACTGCTGTAATCATAATACATGCCATACTGTGATTTTACATACATGTGAGATAACTGGTAATTATGTAAGAGTCACAGCTGTTACTGAATTTTCTGTACCCATCTCACTTAGACTTAAGTTTGTTTGTTGCTTTGTTTGATGTTTACACTGCACTCAGCAATATTCCAGCCATATGACTGCGTCTAAAGAATTAATCAAGTCTGGACTAGACAATCAAGTGATTGACATCATGAGCATCAGTCTACATAATTGGGATATGATGATAATTGGGATATGCATCAACCAAGTCAGCAAGCCTGACCACCCGATCACATTAGTCGACTCTTACAATAACCTTAGACGTCTCTTACGACAAGCATGGGTTGCTGAAGAGCTATTCTAACACAAATCTTGATGTGTTACTCAGACTTAAGATGTTCAATAGCACGTAACAGTTTCACCTGGGTAATATGAGATCGTTTCACCCACCTAAGTTCCAGCTTCCTCCACTGTATTATCATAGTGGTGACGTCTGCTAGTTGTGTTGCCATGGAGACATGTGCAGCAGCATTTGCCTCCCAGTCCTGGGACTTCTCCAGCAGCAGCTCGAGGCCGGTGAGAAACTTCATGACGGGGCAGGTTACGGGGAAGGACAGCACCCGGTCCACGATCGTCTGCAGCTGAACAACACAACACCACCATTAAACATGCAAGTTACCAATAGGGTTGGTTGGTTGTTGGTTGGTTTGTTGTTTAACACCGCAATCAGCAATATTCCAGCGTTATGACGGCTGTCTGTAAATAATCGAGTCTGGACCATACAATCCAGTGATTGATATCATGATCATTGATCCAGGCAATTGGGATCAATGACATGCATCAATCAAGTCAGCGAGCCAAACCACCCGATCCCGTTAGTCGCCTTTTACGACAAGCATAGTTGCCTTTTACGGCAAGCATTGGTTGCTGAAGACCTATTCTACCCCGGATCTTCACGGGTACTGTCATGACAACAGTCCCAGTAGGGTAATACTGAATAACTATACTGAAGAAAATAAGTTAGGGATCATAAATATTTTGTGGGATATTGTTTGGTAGTTAATTCTGAGCACAACATTTTCACAAAAATATCCCCCAAAATATTCATGATCCCTAACTTATTTTGTTTAGTATTTGTGCTGCACTCACCATCAAGACTGGGAAAGAAATTCACCTGATGAAGGAGTAAGCATATACTCTGGAACGTTGAGTTCCTCATAATAAAGAAGTTCCCATCCATAAATTCCCTTCCTTATGTGTATCACTTCTAAATACCATTCAAAAGAAAAGAAATTCCTATTTCTAACAATGTGCTTATACGTGGACATTATTTGTGCAAGTACTGAGAATAATCAGTCCTTTGTCTTTTATGATATTGTTTTATACATAATGGTTGTATCTTTTTTCAATGACCACTGACCTACCTTGTGTGGGTAATATTACCAGGAATATTGAGATTTACTTACTACTTTCAGGGTGGGATGGTCGGGCCATTCCTGCTGTAACTCCGATACACGGGCTGAAAATCGGGTCAGAACTGGTCTACACTGGATCACCTCCGCCACATTGGAGTCTGTGTAGATGTTGTAGACTGGAGATTCCTTAGGCAGAAGTGGGTTGTGCGTCTCACCATCTGCAGACTGACCTACGCGGACAGACGTCTGGACCGCCCCACACACCAACAGGTGGCCGCCAAGACTCTCCACGTCTACTGTGCTGTCTGGAAGCAAGGACTGATGAACTGGACACAATGACACAAGTTGGGAATTTTTCCCACAGAGAAGGACAGATATTTGTACGAATCTTTTCATGTTTTTAATCAAGGTGATCTGATGATTTGATGTACTTAGCCCCGCCTTATTTCAACATAGATCTTGATTATTGATCAGATCGTGTTGATTAGGCACCGTCATTTTGTTTGAAGCAAATGCATGTCATTTGAGAGGTAGAATCTAATTGATCAATAGGAGGGACATAGAAGGGACATAACTCATAATAGCCACTGGTGGGGCTACGATCGAGCCATGAAGTTCCAGCATGGTTCGGCAAGGGTGGAAACAGGACTTTTATAGACAGTTATCTCGGGAAGATGGGGGCCTGTTGGAGCACATCATTCCAGTATGTGAAGACACCTTACACTTCATGCATCAAAGTCAATGAAAAGAACCAACCTAGGGCATTCCATCCCATCTTGCCCAGCTGTGCTGCCACCGAATACCTCGTTAGCGCAGGTAGGACATGGTCCTGGGGCAACACCTGCGGGAGCTCTGGTCTTCTGATCCACTCGGTGCTGGTCAGGGTGGTGAATATCTTCCGATGGCAGTCGAGAATGAGGGACATCTCGCTTGGACTAATTCTGTCCACTCCTGGTGAGACATCATCATGGGTTATCTCCTCTTGATCATCACCCGTTCCTTCCAGGCTCTTCAGCCCAATTACGTCTTCGAAATCCTGCACATAATTACAACAGAGGTGAATGCCTGAAAGTGACACTTCTGTTACACTGGACGCATACTTTTGTAGCAATCAGTCAATGGATACAATATATAGATATAATCTGATAATTATGAATACGAATAATGAAAATTTGCTAGACTATAGAGTGACAACACAACCCAAGTGCTAGAGAAATGAGACCACTCCAGCACACACACAGGAAAGAATTGAGGTCTTCCTGTGAGGAATCCCTCCAAAGTCTTAACTCCAACAATTAAGTGTAAGACAGATAAAGATAAGACAGATAAAGATAAGACGAAGAAGATGGCTTCATGCCACTTTTAGCAATATTCCATCACTATCTGAATAGCGTTATGAGCAACCGATTGGTGAATGACATTTGGCCCATCATAAATGCACATATTATTATACTATCGTGGAGGGGACACCAGAAATAAGTTTCACACATTATACCTATGTCGGGAACCAAACCTAACCTTTGGCGTGACGAGTGAACACTCTAACAACTCGGCTACCCCACCGCCCCTAAGAGAGGAGATGAGGGAAGGAATTGATCTCACCTTCTCAAAGGACGGAAAGCTTGCACGGAAGTCTTCCTCCTCCTTCTGCTCGTCGCTGCGGTCGTCTCCGTGCGTCTGGGACTTGTAGCGGTACAACGCCTGTTTCTCCTCCTCCTTCCTCCGCCTCGCCTCCTCCTGCTCCTGCCACGCCCTCACAAACAGCTCAAACAATCGAGACAAGGTGAAGGTCAACTGAGGTGAGAGTTCACCAGACATCAGACAGTGGGTCTTGACCAACAAGACAGCATCTTTCAGAAGCCTGTAGGACAGAAATCAGGGTCAGTGTTGTGGTCTAGCATAAGCAAAGGTGAGACAGGCACACAAATGTGTCTCAAACTTACTTGGAACATATTTCTTTCTCCTGGACAGTTGCTGTGTCTGTGTCCCTCTGCTGGGTGAATCGGCCGACTGCTCGCCATGTGACGTCTGCTACCAGCATCTCAGCCATCTGGAGCATGCTGGGAGATTGAGGGTGGATAGCTGGGAATCTACTCAGACAAATGACGGTCTGCTCTGGGGTGCTCAAACTTTCAAACTGCAATGAAACAAAAATAGAATCATGTTTCTCTTGACATAAAGCCATATATTTCTATATATACAAGTCATATCTCTTTGACAATAAGTCAAGCAGTAATGGGCCACATACCTTAACTTTTTGTGCCAACAGATCCACCTCTTGTGCAATCATTCTCATCCCTAGGGACACCTGGAAGAAAAGGAGGAGTGTCATAACTTATGATGTTTGTTTGTTTGTTTGTTTGTTGCTTAATGCCACACTCAGCAATATTCCAGCAATATGAAGGTGGTCTGTAAATAATCGATGATTAACATCAGGAGCATCGATCCACGCAATTGGAATACAATGATATGTATCAACCAAGTAAGCGTGTGTGACCACCCGATCCCATTAGTTGCCTCTTACGACAAACACTGTCACCTTTTACGGCAAGCATGGGTTGATGAAGATCTATTCTAACCCAGATTTTCACGGGAACATAACATGTGAAGAAGAGACAACTCCCAAGGAACATGTCTTTAGATTGAGGTGTCTGAGAGCTTGAAACAAACATCATACGCACTTGTGTGTTATATGCACCCTTAATTATGGGCAATTAAAATCTATCATGTTTTATACGCACAGACTTTTCTTTTGTATCATTTCAGGCTGTCAGCATAAACCACAAAATTCATGATCTTTCAACTCTGTTTATTTATCATCAAAATTTTATTCTAATAAGGATCCCTATTTCTAATTTTGGGAGCACCCTGGGCGCTTATTTCGTTGAATACCTTACTTCATATATTGCTGCAGTTGGGGGAAAATACTCTTTCATAATCCTATGACATAGTGTGATGTTGCAAGAATGTTCAATATTTACTCATTACACACAGAAATTCTTCAACATGAAACTGAAGATGGTTGTCCAAGTCTGCCCAACGGACTGTCCCTACCTGAAGCATGGCCAGTGTGAAGGGCTCCAACAGATCCTTGTAGCATGGGTATTCCTGCTCTAGCCTCTGCAGGAACCTGTGGAGTGTCGTCTGCCACACTCTCTCCTCCCGGACACAGCTGGTCGCTGTGATGTCACCTCGGAGTTGGTCCTGCAGCATCTGATTGGCTGAGAGGAGCTTGCTGAGTAGGTCTGTCACATGATCGGTGGACCCCACGCTCTGGAGGAAGCTGGTGATGTCTTGTACTAACAAATGGAACTGCAATACCAATAAGGACGACTGACTCACGTACACAATGTACCCTTCATGACAATCATGACAGAATTTAGTGCGAAAAATCTGTTGTTGATAACAATGATCCTTGCCTAGGCTCTATTGGCACCACCCTGAATCAGTTAGATCTGACACCATCAGGATCCACCCAGTCCCAAATTTAGTTGGCTTTTGTGACAAATATGAGGTCCTAGGAACATAAACTGATACCAAGTGGCAACAATACTAGTCAGCTTAATCGCCTCTATCCCAAGGTCTAATAAAAACGTTTTGGCATTATCTGTATCAATGATGAAATCCATCGTTCAGTTGCCCATAAAGATGAGGTGTTGAGAGCAGACACACATCAAACCCACCTGTGACTCCTGGGGTCTATACACCTTCCTCTTCTGCAAGTCGGTGACCTTCTGGGTGAGCGTCTGTTGTCTCTGCAGCAAGAAGCGCACCCGCGGGTGGGGGCAAATAGACTCCGCCAGACCCCGCCCCGTCAACAACTGCAGCTGCAGCTCTACTGCCTCCAGCTCTGCCTCAACATCACTCAACTGCAGGGAGAGGACCAATCAGGAGATAATCAGCATTACACAGCTCTGACATTTCAACAATATCACGACATGTCAGCGTAATGTGGGGGAAAGCTCAAAGTGATACCATTAAAACATTGTGAAACCCAGATATGGTACAGGTAAACCAAAAAACATAATCAGGGTTAATCTGAGATTTGAACCCATCATCCGGAAATCTTGGTGGGACTAAGGGAGGTAACTCTGAACGAGGCTTGCAGCTTCTTAATCACTGGGTCACATGTACACAGAAACTAAAATATACAGTCCAGAAAATGAACAAAGGAAGCTATATCCAATGTAAGTCTTCTAAATATTTTAGTTCCAAAATAGTTCCAATATGCACCAAAACTTTGTCTGTGTGACATGACAAGCATAGCAGTTATTTTCCACTGATTCAAAAGTACCATAGGAATACAACAAATTTTCACATGATAATACAACTTGGAAATCCATCTTGGATATTCCTGACAATTAAACAGTTTAATTTCTGTTCTCTTAAGATTTTCATGCACCTATTTTCGTTTTTGACATAAAAAAACATTTAGGAAGTACATCACATGTTAATTCTTCAAACAGATCTAGTGCAGGCATGTACCTCATCTTGAAGATGCTCAAGCTTCACTGCCTGCTTCTCTACTGGATCAACAGGTCCTCTGGGAGCCAACAGGACCATATGCGACAGCCCCACATACACCAGACCCCGCCCGATGTTGCTGAGACTGTCCCCACCATCATCCTGGGTCAGGTCATGCAGGATCTCACAGCTTCTGTGGAGGACGGGCACAGCTGCCGGGTCTATGGAGTCGGTCACGCACTGGAGGCAGCTGTGTGCCCGTCTGATCACAGCAGACGTCAGCGCCGTCTGCTTCACTGATGACTGCAGCTCATCAAAAACTGCTGCATACTGGACTCTGTCAGCTGGTGTCAGTAGCGATTTGATGGAGTCCAAGAGATGGATGAAGCTTCTGAACAAGTATTTACTTGTTTGGTTTCTGAAATGAATGCATACATACAAACTAGGTCTGGGATGGGTAACACGGGTACTCGGGTTGGGTGGGTACTGAGTAGGACCCGGGTACCCACAGGACTACCCAGACCTGTGGTTATATTGTTTAATGACAAAAATGGAATATTGCTCACCTGAGTGAGTGAGTGACTTGGGTTTAACGCCACTTTTAACAGTATTTCAGTTATATCGCGGCGTGTCAGCTTAATGTGGGAGGAAAGCCCAAAGTGATGCAGGTCTCAGACGTTTACCACTTCGGTGAAACCTACAAGCACGGGTATGGTGCTGACAAACCTAGAAACATAATTGGGGCAAACCGGGATTCGAACTCACTATCATAGATTTCTGGCGTGCCCAAGGGACTCAACTCTGCACAGGGAATCGCGGCGCCTTAGACGACTGGGCCGCCCGTGCCCCTCTAAAAGTATCTGGAACTCCATGAGTACACTACAAGCCACTAATGTTCGCAGTTCTTTCTGACTGTGCACCAATTCCTTCAGACTTTTATATGTTTGAATAAAGATAAAACTTCAGTCAACTTCAGTGCATGGATGACCAGATCATTTTACGCGTGTATCTAAATACATATTTCCAAGGGACACGGTAAGCTATTCACAATCGGACATTTTGTAACCATCTGTTGAGACCTACAGGAGGTACCTGGGTAGGGTCAGGTAATAAGGGTATGGGTGCCCGGGTAGGGTCGGGTAATAAGGGTGTGGGTGCCCGAGTAGGGTCGGGTAATAAGGGTGTGGGTGCCCGGGTAGGGTCGGGTAATAAGGGTGTGGGTGCCCGGGTAGGGTCGGGTAATAAGGGTGTGGGTCCCCGGGTAGGGTCGGGTAATAAGGGCGTGGGTACCTGGGTAGGGTCGGGTAATAAGGGTGTGGGTACCCGGGTAGGGTAAGGAAATAAGGGCGTTGGTACCCTGGTAGGGTCGGGTAATAAGGGTGTGGGTACCCGGGTAGGGTAAGGAAATAAGGGTGTGGGTACCCGGGTAGGGTCGGGTAATAAGGGTGTGGGTACCCGGGTAGTAAATTTGGACTCATCCCAGCCCTCATACAAGCTGACTCTGGACAATGTATCTGTTGTTGAAACTAGTTTTGACACTGTTCCACATATAATAGGCACAAGGGAGCAGTCCAAATCAGGGAACACATCATGCAACATTTGTTACATGGACACAATCAACTCCAAATTTAGGACACAAGTTCCGAGTCTCCACAATCTGTACTTACTTGACACTCCTCTCTGGACAGGCTAAGATAGAAGCATGACTCCACACATGTTGCCGGATCAACTCCAACACTCTCAGCTGATAGTCGAAGTGTTTCAGGGGGACATCTACAGGCAGACACTCAGCCTCACTCTGGCAGCTGTGGTCACGTGACAACAGACTGAATGCAAAATAAGACACAGCCGATGTCTGGAACATTCCTGGACCCTGAAAAGATAAGATTAAAGGATGTCATCTCAAATTATTTGAGTCATAAATTATGAAAAGAAAGTTGAAATGGTACTGAAATATATTGTCCAATGAGGCTTACCAGTGAAAGTTCTGTTTCTGTTTCTGCTTGATCGTCCTTTGTTTTATTCCACTGTAACCACTGGCGACAGTTCCTGGAAGCTGTGCTCCTCCACAGCATATTCAGGATACTCTTGGAGAACGTCACATCTCGGCCTGCATCTTGTTCCTGACAAAGAACAGAAAACATACAATGTGAAAGTTATCTCTTATTCTTAATTTTATGACAACTTAATAAAAGCATTGAATTTTCAAAGATACTTCTCATCTTCATCCAATCACAAAATTTAAGCATTTTACGAATGACAATCAGCATTGCCATGATAAGCAAACTTTAAACTATACTACTCAAAAGAAGTTAAAGAACACCTGATTCTTTCAAATGATTATGGTTTATCTGTTATAACATGTCAGATTAACTATGGTCATATGAAAGAATCAGGTGTTCCTTAACATCTTTTGAGTAGTATGTGTCATGGAGGCAAATAATTTACGGAGTCTGAGCCCGGTGACCCAGTGGTCGACAGCATGAGCCCTGACCCGTCCCACCACGGTACTCATTAGCCATGTTCCTCAGCAATTTCCCATCTCACCTGTGTTTTCTTCATCAGCTCCAGGTGCATCAAAGTGTCAGGTGTGTAGTGAAGACAATAGTCCTGAAGGTGAGACAGGTGAGATGAGTCAGCTGGCACACCTGGTAGCAAACTCAGGTGAGACATCACATTCAGGTGTTCAAACAAGGGCCACAACTCTACAAAGCCAAACGGCAGTGTCGGCTCAGCAGTGGTCTCAGGGGCCGGCGGGACATTGTCCGATGTCCACATGTCTGTGTCCGAGGTCAGATGCAGATTGTGGCACCCAAGACAAGTCCTCACCTTCTCAAACAGGTCTTCAATGTTCTCTAGAAATAGATCAAATATATACCTATTATGTGAAACTCAATTCTTTCTTTCATTTTCTTCATTACACATTTCAAATTGCCTTGAACTTAGGGAATAGAGTTTGCTCTATGCTCTCTTGCCCACGTTTTGTATAGGTGCATACACCGGTATCAGTGCACAGCGAAACAGAGATTATCAATATGTGTTACAGAATCTAGCTATCAGATTGGCAGTCGCAATCCAATGTTGAATAGTGAGTAAGTGAGTTGTGTTTAACGCCACTTTTCACAGTATTCCAGTGATATCGCAGCGTGTCAGCTTAATGTGGGAGGAAAGCCTGAACTGATGCAGGTCTCGGACGTTTATCACTTCTGTGAAACCCACGAGCACGGGGAAGGTGCTGACAAACCTAGACACATAATCTGAGTGAACCGGGAATCGAAACCACAATCAAGGGACGCAACTCTGCAGAGCGAATTGTGGCGCCTTAGAAGATTAGGCCACCCATGCCCCCCCCCAATGTTGAATACCCTACAAGATACATACAAGATGTTATTCTACATACTACATACTTACTGCATATTAAATTTCATAATGATATATGCATAAATAGCTGTGTAGTAAACAAAAATGACATTTTCATTATGGCTGCATGGTGGCCTTGTATTTTAAGAGATCGTAAAAATGTAAACGTTAACGACAAGGGGACAGACAGTGCACCACGACTTTCAGTCTGGTGTGATGATAATGCCAATCTCTTGTCATATCTATTCCATAACTCATCAAATCTTTAAACAAACCTGTTGTTGTTTCTATATTTCTAATCAACCCTGAGAGTTCTAGTATTTGCTTCCGAACTAGGTAGCCACTGTGAACCATGGCCTTGACCTTGTTGAGTACAACACCAGAGGGCGCCTCCTCATACATGCTCACGAGGTTCACCAATGCCTGTAGCCTTCGCGTCAACATTGCTTCACATTCTGACATCATAGCAGCGGGGTGACCAAAGTCATTCCAGAATCTCTCAAACTGTTTGGCGGACATATTGTCTTGTCCTAGAGTTCGCTGGAGCTGAGTAACAGCTGATTGAAGCTTGGAAGATGAGCTGAAACAGACATTTATCTGCATGTTATTTTGACCTTTTGAATGATCAATGCAAATTGTGTAAGTTGAAGGATCCTAATCAAGGACCCTTTCAATCTTATTTTTCCAGAGAGTATTGTCAATTCTGATGTCAATTTAGACCAAAGAAAACACCTCAGTGATAATCTAGAACACCTATATACCTGGTGGATCCAAGACCATAGATGACAGCTCAGTGTTAATCTTAAACACCTATATACCTGGTGGATCCAAGACCATAGATGACACCTCAGTGTTAATCTTAAACACCTATATACCTGGTGGATCCAAGACCAGTGATGACAGCTCAGTGTTAATCTTAAACACCTATATACCTGGTGGATTCAAGACCATAGATGGCACCTCAGTTTTAATCTTGAACATCTATTTACCTGGTGGATCCCAGACTAGTGAGGGTTGCCAGTGTTTTGTTGTTAAACCAGTTCCAGTGTAAGGCGAGTTGACATGTGAAAGTCTGCAGTGTCATCTGTTGCCATCTTTGTGCCAAACACAGCAGACGGCACATCCAGGGCAGGCAGGACAGGATCTGACAGAAATGTAAGGAAGTGTAGACTGGTAATGAAATGTCATACTTTTATAACATAGGTGACCCCTCTTAAATAATAACCTGTATCACCAGGACCCCATGTCAAAAGTCAATTATAGCGCTATAACTATCCTCGGGTGTGGAGCCCTGGGATGTGGAGGATGTGGAGGGATGTGGAGCCCTGGGATGTGGGGGCCTGGGATGTGGGGGCCTGGGATGTTGGGGCCCGGGATGTGGGGGATGTGGAGGGATGTGGGGGCATGGGATGTGGAGGGATATGGAGGGATATGCAGCCCTGGGATGTGAAGCCCTGGGATGTGGGGGCCTGGGATGTGGAGGGATATGGAGCCCTGGGATGTGGGGGCCTGGGATGTGGAGGGATGTGGGGGCCTGGGATGTGGAGGGATATGGAGCCCTGGGATGTGGAGGATGTGGAGGGATGTGGGGGCCTGGGATGTGGAGGGATATGGAGGGATATGGAGCCCTGGGATGTGGAGGGATATGGAGCCCTGGGATGTGGGGGCCTGGGATGTGGAGGATGTAGAGGGATATGGAGCCCTGGGATGTGGGGGCCTGGGATGTGGAGCCCTGGGTTGTGGAGGATGTAGAGGGATATGGAGCCCTGGGATGTGGGGGATGTAGAGGGATATGGAGCCCTGGGATGTGGGCCCTGGGATGTGGGGGCCTGGGATGTGGGGGCCTGGGATGTGGAGGATGTAGAGGGATATGGAGCCCTGGGATGTGGAGCCCTGGGATGTGGAGGATGTAGAGGGATATGGAGCCCTGGGGCCGTATTTATCAAACAACTTAGTTTTGGCTTTAAAAAAACCTTAAGTTTCTGAAAAATTACTTAGCCAAGTCAAAAACTTAAGTTGGTATTCACGAAGCGTCTAAGTAAAAAACTTAGCTAAGTCTGCCGTGAGAAACTAAGTCGATTTCACCGAATGCAAACACGTGATCACTAAGGACTATCCCAGCTATTTTTAGCCTACCAGTGGAACTCTTTTCACTAAGAGAGAGAAAAACGTCATCGGGGAATTCCCGGACAGCGCAGACGATAATAAACACCGCTGCGAGCTCCAAGATAGGCCCACGCCATGACCGAAGACGCGAAAAAGAGACGGCCAAACTTTACCAAAGAAGAATCGTTACTACTAGCAGAGCTGGTGGCATCAAACAAGGTGGTGCTTGAAGGAAAGTTTGGCCCCGGCATCACCTCCTTGAAGCGACAGGAGGCTTGGCAGGTACGTGGTAAAAGTTCCGCGGCAGTGAGTGTTTTTTTTATGGGTTTTGAGATGTTTAGCCGCTTACATCATTGATTTTACATACATATGTAGCAGACAAGACCGTAATGCGTATCCAAGAATGCATGTGGTCGAATAATAACCAAGACGTTTTCCAACCTTCCATCATCACACTTCGTAAGTCCAGGTACCACGGGAATGATATATTTTGGTCATATTTAGACACTGAGACCCAAACAATTATTTTCGTCTTTCTCAAGTTGCACTGTGGTTTGTATCTTCATCGGGGTAGGCCTATTGTCTGTACCCCTAACAATTTTTACCCAAAATTTTCGGTGATTTTGAACCCAAACCAGTAGCCTAGATCTATGTCATTTTGTACTCCTTTTGGGGCATTTGCATTAGTCCTAGGCCTCATGTTAGTATCCTAAAGTTACATTACTATCACTTTCATGTCAAAAGCATACAATTAAGTTAGTTTAACTAATTTAACAATAACTTATTACAGGGTCAAAATGTCATTTCCATATCAAGACCAATCAATGTGTTCCTATGCATTAATTAGTAATAAATATATTGTGATGGATCTCATACAACCTCGATCTAGTGCTGCATAGTCATATTATGAACTTGATGAAATGTTATATTATGTAATGCACATATACTCTTGTTTACAATATTAATGTAAAACATATATGACAATATACTGAAATATGAATAATATTATTTTCTTAGTAACACAGTCCCATATAATTTTGGGTCTAAACAGCTTTGCTAAAACTGGGCTTTGGATACAAAATATGATCAATATCGCAATACTCAGTTCATGATACACTATGTATCACGATACATAATTCACTTAAATTTTTATATTTCAATGGACATAAAAACTATTAAAAGGCTTAAAACATCATGAATAATTGGTCTCATGTTTAAAAATAAAGATATCTCTTTTCAATGAGTACTTTATTTCAGAAATCAATTTGAGTGTAAATACCACAAGGACAGAAATTAAGTCTTAAAACTGTGTACAATGTACAGTGTGCATATAGCATGATTTAATACTAACAAAAATTATTAATGTAATTTGATGTGTTTTTCATTTGAGTTGTTATGTTTATATTGCAGATGATTACAGACACCCTCAATGCAAGCTTAATGCACAGGAGGACCAAGGAGGAGGTTGAAAAGAAATGGAAAAACCTGAAGAGCCAGTCAAAGAAAGCCTTTTCTAATTTCAGGCAGCAAACCATTGCCACTGGTAAACATACTTATGGATACATTAGTTTAGTTATTAAATAGTTTTGATAAAAAAGGTGACCTAAAATGATATAGTTAATGTGAAAGTGGAAAAAGGATATTGTCATTCCTTCACAGTTATTATTAAGACCTACATTGTAACTTGTTGCTGTATATTAAGAGTATAATTATACCAACACAAACCTATCTCAATGTTTGAAGGTCAAAAGAGTACTTGTCTCTATATTGTGTTGGTTTTGTGATAATATGTTTCTAAATACTATAACACCATTCACACTATAACCTATACTGCTTCTTGCACTTACAGGAGGCGGTCCACCTCCCATCCCTGTAAGTCCTGTCACAGATGCAGTTGTAGAGGCCATAGGGAGGGACAACATGTCTTTGACAGGAATATCCAACTCCTGTGATTCGACGGCCCTACAACTGCTTGATGTCATGACATCAAGAGAGAGGTACAAATGACATAAATGTTGATGTTGATATTGTACTAACATTATTGCATCACTTAGTATTTCATGTTTGTCAGCTTTGTTACATACTCCCCAAAATATATTTATGAAATCAAAATTTAAAGTATACTTCTTTAAAGTTCTTTCCCAATGTGTCTGCCACAGGCAGTCAATTTGCAATTATTGACAAGTCTCTGTTTAAAAACAAAACACAAGGCTCCGAATACACAAATAATGTATATATATTTCTTTCAGCGGTGAAGTTGAGGACATGGCCAATGTGTTCCACGTGCCAGAGAGGACTTGCCAGTGCCAGAATCAGACTTCTATGGAAGCATTAAACAAAGAAAAACTTGTATTAGAAATTGAATGTTTAAAATTAAGAAAAGAGTATCTAACAAAGAAAATTTACAAAGTAGAAGAATAGACTGTAAAGCTCATGTCACGCAAGTGGGGACCGACCATTTGATATTTGCTTGGGGGTAGGGGCTAGTATTATATTTTGTTTCAAGATTAGATAGTTTTTCAGCTACAGACACAGATATCGCATTATTTAAAAATATGAGCTAATTGTTTTTAGAAAAACACCTTGCAACAATGTATTTTTCCCACCCACCCCCGAATATCAAATGGGCTGTCCCTTAGGAAAATTTAAATTAATACTAAGTGCATACTTAGAGTGCCAAATAATAGTAGCAGGAAATAACTTACATGGAAAGTAGGTGATTGCAAACTGTTCCCGATATCTCAACCCTGTTGCTGCAGGTGCAATGGCTGATAGACCTTGCATCTGTGCCCTTAGCTGTCCGGATTGGCTGTTTCCATGTACAACTGGCATAGGCACATTCCTGTCTTTGCTGATGTTATGCAGCACTGCACAGGCAGTTATTACCTAGAAAAATGTTAAAAAAGCCTATTCAATACCCTTTCATGAACTGATGTGGCCTTAATCTTAATGACAAATATTTCTAGAATGTGTTGAATTTGACAAAGAGTGAAATGTATGGTCTGTATTTCAAATATGTTATCCTATGTACTGTTTGATCTCAGATATATTTGCCTAATTTTTTTTTTCCCTTAAGCTAGATATAAAATAAGTCAAAAGAAAATGAATATTGAACATCAATACAGATACAGATTATGAAATTGTGTTGACTTTTTTTACAATAACACATGACAGTGAGTGAGTGAGTTTAATGTCATATTGATGAAATGTTACTGTCTTCATTGAATAAAAAATTAATGTTCACCGTATTGTGTTTGTTTATTTATCAACCTACAGTATATCTAGTCCTGACAATAATAATGTGAAAAAGAAATAATTCCATTAAAGTGTAAGTCTATGAAGACTCTCCATTTTTTACTGAAATTGAATAAAAAGAAATGAAAACATTTTCTAATTTCTATACCTTGCACGCCTTCTGTGGAGAAAGTCTGATTTCCCCATGTAAAACATGAAACCGACGTTTCAGCTGCCCAATTCCCCTCTCCACACAACTCCTTGTTTTCTTATGTGATCTGACAATTGCAATGAATAATCATTATTAGCAGATAATCATATAAAATTTAAATTGGGAGTATAAGAAAAAGAAGAACACATTTTGCTATGTTCTCAGTGATAGAAACTAACATTTTCAATCCATTGGTCATTATAATGACAACATATTGCAAACCCCTTAATATTGCTGTTTCTTGTTATGTGTGTGGTTATATTTCATAGAATCAATGCTTCATACTAGTATGTTTTCATACATAAAAGAGAAGTGAGATAAAATGATTATTATTTCTTACTGATGAATACATAATCATACATATGTTTTTACCTGATTTGCTACTTACATAATTTTACGACACTTAAGTAGGAATTAAACGGAATGATGCCTGAATAATACTTTACAGCAAATATGTGTAACTCTTCCATTCCGTTTTTAGGTTTGAGATAGTATTCTACCTAACCAGGGGAAGTCACTCTATTGCTGAGTGCTCGTAGTGAACTGAACGAAGTAATATTACCTGTTGTAGTTTGTCTGTGGTCCTTGGAGAGGACGCAAAAATGGTGTTAGGATCCATCTCCGACAAGGGTAGCCACTGTCTCCAAGCAGATGACAACTTACTGGTAGCCGGTTCCCCTCGAACATCCGACATAACCCACTTGTTGTTAAAATGCGGGAGTCGTGTGTTGAGCCAGGCCAACGTGCAACGATGTCGATAATATGATCGTCGCTGTCAAACACTATTTGTGTATTTACACTATGGTAATTATGCCTGTTGACAAATTCTTTCTCATTGACTGATGGGGCCTGAATTTGAATGTGGGTGCCATCAATTACCCCAACAATACCCGGGAAATTGGCAGTCTGATAGAAGCGCTGTTGGTGGCGTCTTATTTCTTGGGGTTGTACAGGAAAGGTAACAAATCTACGAAGGATACGGTGACTTGTGAGGGAGTCAAGCGTTTGGAAAATCACCCGAGATATAGTGGGTTGGCTCAGACCATGGTCATCACCGTTACATATTTGAAACTTGCCAGTGGCAAGATAACGCAAAGTGACAAGCACCTTCGTAACGCAGGACACGGCACAACTCCGCTGTGTTATAGGACTCAACTCCTGTTCAAGGATATCACAGATATAAACAATACTGTTCCTATCAAATCTGTACCGCTGTATCAGTTCATTGTCATCTAATGAATGTAGTATATCTCTTCTCTCATTAAATATTCTTGAATTGCGTCTGGCAGCCATTTTACATGACTTAAGTCAAACATACATGATTTAAGCCTAGCAAGGTGAGTCTTAATAGTTAAGTCAAAAAATGACAAAACTTAAGTCTAAGTCTTTTGATAAATATGACTTAAGTTTTTCCACTAAACTTAAGTAAAAAAACAAGAAAACTAAGTTTTTTTAACTGACTTAAGTTTTATTTATGACTTAAGTTGTTTGATAAATACGGCCCCTGGGATGTGGGGGATGTAGAGGGATATGGAGCCCTGGGATGTGGGCCCTGGGATGTGGGGGCCTGGGATGTGGGGGCCTGGGATGTGGAGGATGTAGAGGGATATGGAGCCCTGGGATGTGGGGGCCCGGGATGTGGAGGGATATGGAGGGATATGGAGCCCTGGGATGTGGAGGGATATGGAGCCCTGGGATGTGGGGGCCTGGGATGTGGAGGATGTAGAGGGATGTGGGGGCCTGGGATGTGGGGGCCTGGGATGTGGAGGGATATGGAAGGATATGGAGCCCTGGGATGTGGGGGCCCGGGATGTGGAGCCCCGGGATGTGGGGGCCTGGGATGTGGGGGATGTGGGGGCCTGGGATGTGGAGGGATGTGGAGCCCTTGGATGTGGGGGCCTGGGATGTGGGGGCCCGGGATGTGGAGCCCTGGGATGTGGAGGATTTAGAGGGATATGGAGCCCTGGGATGTGGGGGCCTGGGATGTGGGGGCCTGGGATGTGGAGGATGTAGAGGGATATGGAGCCCTGGGATGTGGGGGCCTGGGATGTGGAGGATGTGGAGGGATATGGAGCCCTGGGATGTGGAGGGATATGGAGCCCTGGGATGTGGGGGCCTGGGATGTGGAGGATGTGGAGGGATATGGAGCCCTGGGATGTGGAGGATTTAGAGGGATATGGAGCCCTGGGATGTGGGGGCCTGGGATGTGGGGGCCTGGGATGTGGAGGATGTGGAGGGATATGGAGCCCTGGGATGTGGGGGCCTGGGATGTGGAGGATGTGGAGGGATATGGAGCCCTGGGATGTGGGGGCCCGGGATGTGGAGGGATGTGGAGCCCTGGGATGTGGAGGATTTAAAGGGATATGGAGCCCTGGGATGTGGGGGCCTGGGATGTGGAGGATGTGGAGGGATATGGAGCCCTGGGATGTGGGGGCCTGGGATGTGGAGGATGTGGAGGGATATGGAGCCCTGGGATGTGGGGGCCCGGGATGTGGAGGGATGTGGAGCCCTGGGATGTGGAGGATTTAAAGGGATATGGAGCCCTGGGATGTGGGGGCCCGGGATGTGGAGGGATGTGGAGCCCTGGGATGTGGAGGATTTAGAGGGATATGGAGCCCTGGGATGTGGGGGCCTGGGATGTGGAGGATGTAGAGGGATATGGAGCCCTGGAATGTGGGGGCCTGGGATGTGGGGGATGTGGGGGATGTGAAGCCCTGGGATGTGGGGGCCCGGGATGTGGAGGGATATGGAGCCCTGGGATGTGGGGGCCCAGGATGTGGAGCCCTGGGATGTGGGGGCCTGGGATGTGGAGCCCTGGGATGTGGAGGATGTAGAGGGATATGGAGCCCTGGGGTGTGGGGGCCTGGGATGTGGAAGGATGTGGAACCCTGGGATGTGGGGGCCTGGGATGTGGAGGATGTAGAGGGATATGGAGCCCTGGGATGTGGGGGCCCGGGATGTGGAGGGATATGGAGCCCTGGGATGTGGGGGCCCAGGATGTGGAGCCCTGGGATGTGGGGGCCTGGGATGTGGAGCCCTGGGATGTGGAGGATGTAGAGGGATATGGAGCCCTGGGGTGTGGGGGCCTGGGATGTGGAAGGATGTGGAACCCTGGGATGTGGGGGCCCAGGATGTGGAGCCCTGGGATGTGGGGGACCGGGATGTGGAGCCCTGGGATGTGGGGGATGTAGAGGGATATGGAGCCCTGGGATGTGGAGCCCTGGGATGTGGGGGATGTAGAGGGATATGGAGCCCTGGGATGTGGAGCCCTGGGATGTGGGGGATGTAGAGGGATATGGAGCCCTGGGATGTGGAGCCCTGGGATGTGGGGGATGTAGAGGGATATGGAGCCCTGGGATGTGGAGCCCTGGGATGTGGGGGATGTAGAGGGATATGGAGCCCTGGGATGTGGGGGATGTAGAGGGATATGGAGCCCTGGGATGTGGGGGATGTGGGGGCCTGGGATGTGGAGGGATGTGGAGCCCTTGGATGTGGGGGCCTGGGATGTGGGGGCCCGGGATGTGGAGCCCTGGGATGTGGAGGATTTAGAGGGATATGGAGCCCTGGGATATGGAGGGATGTGGAGCCCTGGGATGTGGAGGATGTAGAGGGATATGGAGCCCTGGGATGTGGGGGCCTGGGATGTGGGGGATGTAGAGGGATATGGAGCCCTGGGATGTGGAGCCCTGGGATATGGAGGGATGTGGAGCCCTGGGATGTGGAGGGATGTGGAGCCCTGGGATGTGGAGGATGTAGAGGGATATGGAGCCCTGGGATGTGGGGGCCTGGGATGTGGGGGATGTAGAGGGATATGGAGCCCTGGGATGTGGGGGCCCAGGATGTGGAGCCTTGGGATGTGGGGGCCTGGGATGTGGAGCCCTGGGATGTGGAGGATGTAGAGGGATATGGAGCCCTGGGGTGTGGGGGCCTGGGATGTGGAAGGATGTGGAACCCTGGGATGTGGGGGCCCGGGATGTGGAGCCCTGGGATGTGGAGGATGTAGAGGGATATGGAGCCCTGGGATGTGGGGGCCCGGGATGTGGAGCCCTGGGATGTGGGGGATGTAGAGGGATATGGAGCCCTGGGATGTGGGGGATGTGGGGGCCTGGGATGTGGAGGGATGTGGGAGCCTGGGATGTGGGGGCCTGGGATATTGGGGCCTGGGATGTGGAGGATGTGGAGGGATATGGAGCCCTGGGATGTGGAGCCCTTGAATGTGGGGGCCTGGGATGTGGGGGATGTGGGGGCCTGGGATGTGGGGGCCCGGGATGTGGGCCCTGGGATGTGGGGGCCTGGGATGTGGGGGCCTGGGATGTGGAGGATGTGGAGGGATGTGGAGCCCTGGGATGTGGAGGGATGTGGAGCCCTGGGTTGTGGAGCCCTGGAAATTGGAGGGATGTGGAGCCCTGGGATGTGGGGGCCTGGAATTTGGGGGCCTGGAATTTGGAGCCCTGGGATGTGGAGCCCTGGAATGTGGAGGGATGTGGAGGATGTGGAGGGATGTGGAGGGATATGGAGCCCTGGGATGTGGAGCCGTGGAATGTGGAGGGATATGGAGCCCTGGGATGTGAAGCCCTGGGATGTGGGGGCCTGGGATGTGGAGGGATATGGAGCCCTGGGATGTGGGGGCCTGGGATGTGGAGGGATATGGAGCCCTGGGATGTGAAGCCCTGGGATGTGGGGGCCTGGGATGTGGAGGGATATGGAGCCCTGGGATGTGGGGGCCTGGGATGTGGAAGGATGTGGGGGCCTGGGATGTGGAGGGATGTGGAGCCCTGGGATGTGGAGCCCTGGGTTGGGGGGGCCTGGGATGTGGGGGCCTGGAATGTGGAGGGATATGGAGCCCTGGGATGTGGAGCCCTGGGATGTGAAGGCCCGGGATGTGCAAAGTCAAAGTTTCCTTTCAAATTGCATGACTAACTCTGAATCTGTTTGTAGAACTACATATCCAAAACATCAGCTCCCTGGGCTTCATGGTTTCTGAAAAAACTGATGCTTCAAAGTTTGTGTAACAGTTTCAACTTAAATTCAAGTCACGTCTTGGTCCTACATGTCTTCCTGAAGTTTCAAATCTATTATCTGTTTCAGGGAAGATTCTCAGAGTTATTAAAAGAAAAACATTAACCATTTCACTATCCTTTTCACTGGCATGAACAAACCTAAGTTCCAGATTATTTTCACATTTCAATTACTGCATTTTTAAAAAATTCAAGTTTCAAGTTTATTTAACTCCATGAACAAATCTGAGTTGGACATTCCCCCAAATATCATACGTATCCCTTCAGCCAGTTAAGAGAAGAAGATATATCCAATGGGCAGACAGACAAGAGATGGACAAACATTGCAAATGGTTTGAGCTTCATCCCCCATGACCTTCATCCCCAGTGAGCTAAGCTCATCAGCCTGAGCCAAAATTACAAGACAGTAATGTGTGGGTGTATAATTCATATGGACATTCTCCGTGAACCAAAATAATTTTTTCTGCCTTATAAATGAAAATGTAATGCAAATAGACGACATAAAATCCTGCCAAAAATTAAACAAGATTAAGAAACAAATATCAGTGCACAATTTTTCTTAATGTAATACAGCATCTTGGCCTGAGATCTCCCTGCTGCAGACAAGGAAACTATCAGGAAGCGTAGAGTAGCAGTCGAACGTCTTCCAGAGTCTCGGGGTCACAGAGGCTAACAAGAACAGCCATTCATCAAATAAATGGCATTTTGTTAAATGTCATGCAAAAATACCATCAAGATTTTCCTTCACATTGATTATTAATAACTTTGTTTCACCTAATTAAATTGCACATTCATTGATTTGCCCATGATCGGGGTCTGGTGCTTCCCGGTGCCTGGTCAGTGAGTCATTGGACACGGAACACGCAACTTGGGAATTCACACGGTGGAAATGTAAGTTAAACTATTCCTGAATAATGTGAAAATTAAAACGTAACTAGTGAGTGAGAGTGAGAGAGAGAGAAAGAGAAAGAGAGAGAGAGAGAGAGACATGAGAGAGTGAGAGAGACATGAGAGTGAGAGAGAGAAACGTGAGAGAGTGAGAGAGAGACGTGAGAGAGTGAGTGAGAGAGAGAGAGATGTCTCAACACACTGAGAGAGATGAAATGAGGTGAGGTGGTGAGCTGTGAGTGAGGTGAGGTTTGAGTGAGGTGAGGTGTGAGTGAGGTGAGGTGAGGTGTGAGTGGGGTGAGGCGAGGTGAGGTGTGGTGAGAGTGAAGTGTGTGGAGTGAGTGAGGTTTGTGAGGTGAGTGAGTGAGGCGAGTGATTGAGGCGAGCGAGTCAGTCAGTGAGTGAGTGAGTGAGTGAGGTTTCATGCAACTTGTAGCAACATTCCAACAATATTACAGCAGTGAACACCAGAACAGGCTTCACACACTGAATGCAGGAAAATTCCCACTCAACACAAAGCAGAGATATGTGGGGTAGTTATGGACCTTCACTTTCTTCACTCACTCAATGTATTGTTTCAAAATCTAAGAACTCACCTTTGTAAATGTGGCTTCAGAAACAACGTCCATCTTCTCAACAAGGGCAGACAACTCTGTCTCCATCTCCTCATACATGTTACTCAAATGGACAATGGCTGTAGATGTTGCGAATCCTTGTGATACTGCAAAATTAGAAGGATATCAATCACGAAGAACAAGGACCAGGAAACACAATTACTGACTGAAAATATAGTCACTTCAGGGATTTCTAGTTGCCATTAAACTCTTACTTCCGATATTTTTTGTTGATCTATAGATCTAGCTCTAGCTCACAATACATGGACTTATCAACATTAATATCTAAATCTTAGGCTAATGATCCCCATTACGGAGCCATTGGACAATTACAATTGACCCGATGTTGTTGTATTTGAAATAAGGGAGGCTACTCTTGATTAAATTCATTGCCATAATTAAAGGGGCACTGATCTCAAGCAATTCCCCAGGACTAGTTGTTGCCTTTGTTATTGTTTTTTCCCCGTGAGTACCCAGATGATACGCAACGCAACTGAGCGTGACAAGAGCCTGGGCTACCGTCTGCAAGGACAGCTAAATAAACTTGGAAGCAATATTTGTTTTATGCATTTTTTTAACACTGATTGGTTAACCGTGATCAATAAAGATTTCGACAAAGGGCGCATGTTAATTAATTTCTTCAGCCTAAACAGACAAAAAGAACGGCGGAGCTCGTCGGATGTCGTCGTTTGGAAATACCCCAGATGGTTATAGTTTAATAATAAAAAAAAGTATCCATGCAGTGAAAGCATTTTCCGATTTCGGATTGCATGGATAATACGATTACTACTCCCTTGTTGTCACCCACGTTTTCTGGTATAACCCTACACTTGTGTATTTGTCGTCATTCACTTGAAGCTCAGTTAATGAATTTATTATGTATAATTAGTGGTAGCACCACTCAGAATACCTGACAAAGGTTCCCATTTGGCATTTATTGTGTTTGGGGTAATTATTCAATCTAAATCCAGGTTTGAAGTGAGGTGAAATGTGTGTTATGTAATATGCACGTGGCAGCCCAGCAAGAGATGAATGATCAGTTGATTTACATTTTTGTAAATCAACGGATCGTTCCTAGTCATCAAAGGATTAACAGAAAATATGTTGATTGATTAATCACTGTTATCTTGCACAGTTGATATGTCAAAAGGGAGTGTTTACATGTCTAGGTTTACTAAAACAAATGGAATACACTCATACCATAACGTGAAGTGACGATTTAAAAACAACATACTTTGTTCAAAGGGTTAACCGATAATACGTTGATTGATTGCTCATTGTTATCGAACTCTATGGATTTTTTTAGGAACCGTGGACTTTATGAAAATAGTTGTCACGTGGGCTTTCTCAGCCGACCCTTAAGACTTGACACCTATGTGAAACACCTGAAACAATCTAAGTGATCAGTTGAGAAACGAACACGGGTTATAATATCCCGAAATGATATATATATTTTAAAATATTTGATTGTTACAGAGACACGTGACATCAAATAAGTTTCTTTGTACATCTGCAGACGTGTGGGATATTGTTCCTGTGTGTGGATATTCACGTATACATTCCTCGAACAAGGAAGCTGCCTAAAATTATACACATAAATTTGGTAGGTTGTAATTATATATTTGTATTTTGTTTTCCTTCATTATTGTAGCATTGAACAGATTCATTCTTGTTCCTCTACGTCTTGGTTGGAAAATTCTTCGATGCGCGAGAGACGTTGTTTTCACAAGTCGTTTCCTTTGTAAGCATGTATATATTACAGTCAATTTGTAAAATGTGATTCTCTCAGGCAATTTATAAAATGCGTAAATATTTCAGTCATTTTGACTGAAAATCTGTCCATTTCTTTAACAGATTGACTAAAATTGATAAAGACGATCAAAAGGGTCTAAAAACATCACAATAGATTATTATGTGGGATTAGAAGCCAAACAAAACAGAAATGTACTTTTCATCGTAACATTTTCAGTCTCTTGGTGATGATATTCAAGATAAAAATGTTTGGAATTCGTTGACATAATAATACAGATGGACATAGTTTTCAGTCAATTTGTAAAATAACTGAATATTTAGGCGTTTAATAAATTTCCTAAGTGAAAATTTTGGACATTTTGACTGTAAAAACATAAACACGATAAAATAAGCAATGCTCAGGAGAAATATTTACTTTGTGTTGCAAGTCAAAATAGTGTAAACGAAAATCTCACAATTACCAAGCAAGTGACTTATCAAAACTTCGTCACCATTACTGATGCTACCCAGAAAGATACCTACATTTCCTTATTATTTCCAAAACTGTATTTCATTTTGTTGATCAATGTGACCATACGCCCCTTATACTATCAATAAAAGTGACAAATGCGCTTACGAATTGCGCAGCACAGGTCACGAACTCTTCTAGATTTCTGCTAAATCATCCGGGTACTCACGGGAAAAAACAATAACAAAGGCAACAACCAGTCCCGAGGAAATGCTTTAGATCAGTGCCCCTTTAACATGAAAGCCTAATTAACACTGGTTAATTCTCTACCAGACAATCAGAATGTGTGTTTCTTGAGCCCTCCGCTTAAACGCTCGTAATAATGAAGACTGGTGGACCGAAAGCAAGAATGTCAAGTTGTTTTCGTACATTTTGATAGTTAATTCAGAGCAACATTGTAAAAGGTCCTTCAACACTGTGAAGGAGTATAACTGTCATGTCTGCCAATCACTGTAGGCGACCTGTTGTACTGTGTTCTCAGCAAAGCTAACATCGAGAATGTTCCCATAGAAACAGTAGTGTGCTTCAGCAGAAAAACACAAACTTGGAAATAATGAGGATATTTCTAGCCCCTTGCACATGCTGGAAACTTTCAAATATGTGAGTCAGTGTTGAGAATATGAACTTGACAGTTTCTGATCTTTGACATGGTGATGAATATTGTTCAAGTTCGACTAAATTCAACAAATTGATGCTAATTGTTAAACATGGGATAGACATTAATTCTTTCATAACTGCATTTATCGAGAATTCTAAGAATGCTTCCCTTGAGCACTGGGACAAGTGGGGTTTTCAACTAGGCTGCCACATCAGTGGAGGGATTTCGGAAGAAGCTGCTTCTGATGGACAGGGCACAACGGAAGACAGACACAAGACGATGGAAGACATACCACGACAAAATCACCTGACTTTCACTTGACTATTGAATGACTTTTTACAGTTCACAGAAAACCCTGAAGAAAGATAACCAATTGTGTAAGTCTCTTGTACCAGGTACATGGCAGTCAAGGTATTTACACATTTCAACAGCATCCACTCAATCTCCATACTGTACTATACTACTAAAAAAAAGGTAAAGGATCACTTGAATCTTTCAGTTTACTATAGTAACTATACCATTAATTACAGTAATATGAAAGAATAAGGTGGTCCTTACTTTTCTTGAGTAGCATATACTGTCCTTATATGGATACATGTCTTTTCATGGGAAGGACCAGTTCATATGAACAAGTACCGTTACCCCGGTAATTAGGGTTTTAAAACACCAGACCTGTCAACCCCTCATCATGACAATTATGGAGATTTGATCTTAAAACTAAGGGAGATTTGACCTAAAACTGGGGGAGATTTGACCTAAAACTGGGGCAGATTTGATCTAAAACTGGGGGAGATTGGACGTTAAACTGGAAGAGATTTGACCTTAAACTGGGGGAGATTTGACCTTAATCTGGAGGAGATTGGACCTAAAACTGGGGGAGATTTGACCTTAAACTGGGGGAGATTTGACCTTAAACTGGAGGAGATTTGACCTAAAACTGGGGGAGATTTGGCCTTAAACTGGGGGAGATTTGGCCTTAAACTGGGGGAGATTTGACCTTAAACTAGAGGAGATTTGACCTAAAACTGGGGAAGATTTGGCCTTAAACTGGGGGAGATTTGACCTTAAACTGGGGGAGATTTGGCCTTAAACTGGGGGAGATTTAACTTTAAACTGGGGGAGATTTGGCCTTAAACTGGGGGAGATTTGGCCTTAAACTGGGGGAGATTTGACATTAAACTGGGGGAGATTTGACCTTAAACTGGGGGAGATTTGACTTTAAACTGGGGGAGATTTGCCTCCAAAGGGGGAGATTTTTAAATTAGTGAAGATAAGAAGTTATTTTTCAACTTTTATTTTTATTAATTTTATTAAGAAAACAAAATATTTTAAAACAATAAATTTTAATAAAACGCTTGTATTTTTCTAAAGAGGGTATGGTAGCTAGGCAGAGACTAAATGGATAAATTTGTTCCTACTTTTTGGTCATCACATTTTACATACTGTTTTCCTTGCTATCATATGGAGACTTATTTACTGAGCAGATTATTTTATTTCATTAATATATCTTCAGTTTGGACAATGAGAATTTATGACTAATCCTATTATTCACTTCACCCTGACTGTTTCTAGGATTGTCAGCACCAGGACTGGTTTCATCAATGTGGTGACTATTAAGGCCTGCCTCACTTTGAACTTGCCTCCCACACTACATGACTGAGGTACTGTTCAAAGAACACTAAATCAAACTCACTCTTCCAGTGTAAAACTGGGTGAGCATTTAGAACCTTGAAAAATGATAATCAAATTCTGGCATGCAGTTCTCTTGAAATAACATGCCAGCTTTTCACGGGATGCAAAATGATAGAAATCCCTTTATAGCCATGGAAAGACAATTGTACCTTAGAAGTATCCGAAACTTTGTTTAAAGCTATTAAATTAATTCCTCCCAACAGAACGAATACTCAGTCACCCCCAACACTCCTCAGTGGTCGGCGATGTTGCGTTCAGCCGATGCTACAAGCACACCATCACATCGGGAACCCTCCAGACAAATCAAAATCCTCACCATGAGACCTCATTTTATCTTCTAAAATATTCTTTCAATTAACCCCGAAGAGCGACATGTCACTGAATTCTATAATCATTGTAGCTGAATCGGAAATCAATCCTCCCCCTCATCTGCTGCCTAATCTAGTGAGCACACCACTGGTGCTGAACAAATATCAAAGGAAACCATTCCCCCCTTCCCCAGATGAGAAGTAAACTTTTCCAACAACATCAGTAGTTAGACGGCAGGTGAGGTGTTA